TGATAAACTAAGTTTGTTAAGAATACATTTTTTTAAAGTCTTTTATGTTCATTTGGTTACGTCTTTATATAATTTAAATATGTTTTTGGCCAAGTGATTTCTTTTACGGATATACTTACATTTAGAATACATATATTTATATATATATTTAGAATAAAAATAAAAAACATTTGACATGGAACCAGCAAAAACATGTTAAAAATTTTAGTAATTTAATAACTTTAGCATTCACTTTTATTAACAAATTTGCATTTTGATTGAGTTTCATTTTTCTGAAGTTTGTAGCACATTGAAATAGATGTCTTCGAACTCATAATGTATATACATTCTTGATCAGTTCCACTAGCAGAGTTGTGTGCGTCTTTTCTCAGTTGTTATGCAAAATTATTGAAATAAGGTTTACTTCCTCAGTTTTGAAGATATTTTGGTGAAACTGTGGATACGACCGAATCAGTTGAAAGACGAGTCTTAATGTTGTGGGATCGAGATAGTCATAGACAAATTTATCAGCGTTTCTGATACAATAAACAATATATATCATCCTTTCCGGTACAATATAACTACACAAATTGTGGCATATTCGGCTTACATGAGTCGTGAAATACAAAACAAATAACTGATATTTTAACTTATGCCCAATCTAACTTGATTGGAGATGAAGTTCTTCGTTTATAGGCAGCGAAACGCATTTCAAATTATAACTAGCAAATTTTTGAATGTTAGAAACTAATTTAGCACAACAAAGACAATAAATATAAACAAATCGATTAAATTAATTTCTATATATTGTTAATATTTAACATAAAATATTTATTTATCTAATTAGATTTAATTACTTAACAATATGCTATGGTAACTATAAATTAATATGCTTCCATTTCCACTGGCAATCCCTGCTGATGTAATAGAATGTCATTTACTCAGTATTTCCCAACTTAATGTTTACTCATATATCTTTTATATTATCTGATCTACAAATGTTATAAAACGATTTGCTTTCATTAAAGAAAAAACACAATAAATTTCCCTAGTGCGACATTTTGTATGTTTGTAATATTTGGCTGTAGTAATGTTAGATATTAAATTTAACGGCTTAGAGTGCTGAAACGGCAGCACTTTCCAATACATTCAAGTGATATGCGTGTGTGTGCTTCAATTGAAATATGACACCACTGCATTCAGGAAACCCCCGAGAGCTATAAAAATTGTTATAACTTACAGCCCAGTCTCATGTGTAGCAAGCAGCAAGTAGCATGGCAATAAACACGTACGTAATCATTAATCATAAATGATCAAAGTCAAAGATACTGAACCCGAGAAACAGACACACTACACTGCAAATTACTCACACACTCACGGACTCAGACAGGCACAGAACATACACTCAATCATGTGTGTACGGGTGTTTAGGGAGCAGGCCTCGGGTCGTTGGCTGGGGCTGCTTTAATCAATTCCAAACAACAAACACTTGGAAGGCGACGCGCACCGCTAAAAGAATGCAAGGTTATTAAGGCATATACACAGAGAGTATTTTGTATGGTTTGTATAAAATGTTTATTGAGAGCAGCAGTGGGAAACAGTGTGCAACAACAAGTGCAAAAGAAGAAGATAGCGAAATGATGGCAGTAATGTGTGAGAGAGCGTGACAAATGCCTCTGGCCGGGAAACAGACGACTTCACATTTGCCAAATTGATCAATTTTACCCGGGCAAGTTCTTGACGAATCCACAATACACTCAGTTGTATGCATGTGTGTTATTGTTCTTATGCTAATACGACTGTGGAACTTTACAATTGAAATAGCAGCAAAAATTTATGACTTGCCATTAATTTGTTTGTAATTTGTTGTCCATTTCGTTGCGCTGTTCGCGCCAGCGCCAAATGATAATTTCGATAATAACTTAGATGCAAATTAATGATAATTGACAAGCATTCCAGTTTAGTTTACGGTTTACTGTATGCTGTTAGTATTTATAATGTAGTTTTTGTTAAGCCTTATCATAAAATTGCCATTGAAATACACATATGAGCTAATTATAAATAATGTGAAATTTAGATTACGTATACGCAACGTAATTGGCGGCATTCAAATGACCTGGAAGCATTAAGTTCAAGTTCAGTGGAATTGTAAATGACACTCAAACGTAACTGAATTTTCATTCATTCATTCATCTTTAAAGTGCATATAATTGGATGAAAATGCAATTGAGTTGAGGGGAAAATATGTAATTAAATATTACTTTAGAACCACAATTATGGTAATGAATTCAAATTGATTGCATTAAATTGGAAAATGTAATCATAACCTTACTGCAAATGAGAAGAGTGAATAAGCATTACATTTAAATTAAAAATTGAGTAAAATGAAATTTCTATGTTTATTTGTTTGTTTTACTTTGATGCACATTAAATATTAACATTAAACAAAAAACGGATGGCTATTAAACTTATTTATTTTCCTATCACTCCAGGTGCTTCTCAGGTGCACTTAAATAAACTAGGTAATAGACGTAGCGCTGCCGGCGATTTTGCGATGTAAACAGAAAAATATATAATATAAAATGAAAACATTCGGTCGAGAAAAACAAAACAAAACAGAATTCGAGCGAACAACAAAAGATTAACAGTGCCTGGCTTTATATACGTCCGAGAAGTTGTGTGCCTGTGTGTATATATATAAATTTATGAGTAGTTTTTCCATGTTTTTATTTTTTTTTTGTTTTTTGTGTATTTGTATTGTGTGCAGGTCAAACGCGTGGCCGCCTTTTGCTCGCTTGCTGTTTAAAAATGCGAAAATCTACAAGTGGTTGGTGAACAAAGCAATTCAAAATATACTCAAGTGAAAATGGCATTGAAATTGCTTTGCATTTATTAAACGCCTTATTCAAAAGGCATATGGATGTTAATACTTGCAAATGTGCATTTCAATGATATTTGCAAAGTATTATTTATTGCATAAACATATCCTTGAAATTAAAATAACATTAAAGTATAAATATTTTGGAATTAATTTATACTTTTTAAAAATAAAAAAAACGTCACAAATAGTATATTAATCCTTCTAATCTAATCTTTCATTAAGCAATACATTTTATATATATTTGTATATGCATATTCATTTATGCATTGTCGCTTTTTATGAATTGCTTTGAAAATAAAGATTGTTTGTTATTTATCACGCAGCAGCTAAGCCTCTTAACACTGACTTAAATTTTACACATTTTTATTTAAGCTGAACTCCACTTTAAATTCAACTAAACTCTGTGCAACTAAAAGTTGCAACTAGAGTGTTGAAAGCAAATCTTGGAATAAACTTCTAGCATGCCAACTCTTACAGCAGCTAGTTAGTGCAATGCGACAGCAAAAGCCTGCTGGCAATGAACAAGTTTTTCTTATATTTGTGTCTACTTATTTGAGTGTGCGCCTAAGGAGTGTTTTAGCTGTTGACCTTTTTTGGTACAACCACAAATATATGCATTGCTGGTACTTAGCTTCTGTGTGTATTATTATTAACAGGCTTCACATACTGCGACCTAGTTAGATCTATCTCCATCCACCCTGATTTTTGCTTGAATTCCAGAATTTTTGTCTGTGTTCAAGAATGAACACGATTATTAGAAGTAAAATCACAACACGTTAAATATTTAGAGAAATGGTCCCTAGCTAGCAGGTACTGAGACCACAGCAGGGATCACTCAAATACATGATAAGAATAAATAGGGATAACAATAGATATGTAAAACATCCTATGCACTGATTAGCATTAATCCCCAGATGTGTCTGTGTAAAAATAGTAGATAATAGATTAACACTATTAGCTATATAAGGCAAGGATTTTAAGTAATAAACTCAGATTGATTTTACAACTCGATTAGCGTATTAGTTCCTCTCTCGGTCTACAGTGCCCTGTCAAGGACTTTCGTATTACAAAAATTGCAATTCTACATAATATAAGAAAGTCAATCGTAATATAAGCGCATAGGAAATTGGAACCCGGACTACTTAGTTTTGACCTGTGCTCCTAAAAATATATGATTTTACATTTTTGTATATCTGCAAAACAATTTATTAAATTAAATTAATTCAGTCATAATTGGTTGGTTGTTCAGTCGTATATCGTCTGTAATGTGACTTAATTTTACAAACATATAATTTGAAAATCGTTGCCACATTGTGCCATAAAAGCTATATTAACATTCTTACATCTGCATTTTTCATTAAATTAACTGACTATATAATGTTAATGAATAATATTACAAGGTATGTAAAGCTGCAGGAATTTTTGTAGCATCTCCGTTGAGAGTATTGTGTATTGTGTGTTGTGGCAAGTGCTCTGTGTTTGTATGTTTGTGTCCAACTGAGTTAAGGCGAAACTTTTCTAATTGAGGCAAAGAGATTGTCAAGCAGTTACAGCTGACAAATTTACATATATATTATATATATATATATATATATATATATATATATGTATACAAAAATGTGCTACATATAGTAGAGTTGATAGAAGCTAAAATGTAAGTACAGAAATTTGTCACAGTTTTGCTATCGCGTTGTTGTTTCTGCTTGTACTCGATTTATAAAATAGATACAAAAACTTTTTTGCTGCTCGTAAAAAGTGGGAGTGCTGGCAAAATGTTTTTCATAAGATAAAAAAGTGTTGAACTCTGATGGAGTTACCTTTTGGCTGTTGCCATAAGTAAAAGCTTTTACAGATCAAATAAAATATGAATTGTTGGACTTAAAAGTACTAAAGTGGAAAAGATGTGCAAAAACTAACAAAAATCGTATTCTTTAAAGATTACAAAAATTATTTTATTATTGAAAAACGAAAGAAAACTGCATCGCTTGTTAAAAAACTTGAAAAATAAATCTTTATGTTTTAAGGAAAATTAATTCAATGAAAACTTGAGCCAACATATGTGATTACTTAATTGCTTATACTCTACAAAAAGGAAACCCATTTTCATTTGTCTTTTCCTCTCTCGCTCATTTCCTTGCAGCGCTTGTCAACAAGTGCATCGTGTCGCCTGCACTGGGCAGGCAATCTTTGCGCGCAGCTGGCGGCTGTGAGTTTTCGTTTTGGTGCTGGCTTTTCCTTTTGCCATGGTAAGCCACAATGCGAAAATTGTGAAAACGGCAAATGGCACGAACGCATCTACAATTGTAACTGGGGGCAGTAATGCCGACACGCAGCCGATCAACACAACGACAAAGCCGACGACGATGATGATGGCGACCACATTGTCGGCATCGCTAGCCGACTTGAGCGACCAGGAGAACGGCACAACGGGTAAGTGCGACAAACACTGAGTTTCACAACCCAACGCCTCCGGCTAATCCATAACATCGTGTCAGATAACCAAGACGGAGGCAATGCTGGAGCAGAAGCAGAACCACTGCTCCTGCAAATCAAATTAGTTTTATAAAGGATGCCTTCTCAATTCATGCCATATTTCCGCGCTATTCCTTTAACGTAGCTGTTCGGTCGTCTACCCTGTAGCGATGTGGTCTATTTTTTAAGGGCTTATACATTTGTAAATAATAGGGCATGATATAAGAAATAAATTTATATACATTTATTAGAGTTTAAAAAGAATTTTTGTATTGTTCCTGGAGACACTGGCTGTATGCAACTAGAAATAATTTATTTAAATATAAATTGGAGGAAATAATATTATAATAAGCCACCCCATTTTATTGATCCGCATCAATAGCAGATTCGATCTAGCCATGTCTGTCATCCGTCCATTTAATTAGTCATTCACTATTTACGAAGGGCATTCTTGGAAACAAATCCTTAAATATTTTATAATTTTCGAAGAAACCGACTAAACTCAACCACAGTCTTTTGAGTTTGTTAGCTGGCTTTTGTGCTTGGTGCTTGGTGCTTGTTGCTCTACTATTAAATTGAGTTACGCGACGACTGCCAGTTACTCCTCCCATCCTATGCGGACTTCCTGTTTCCCTAGGCTGATGTAACCCTGACGTTGGTTAATTTGGGTTTGTCACGATAATATCAGCGCACGCCCATTTCTCTGGGCCAATTCTGGAAATTACTTTGACTTGACGCAGTTGTAACACTCGGATTAATTAAATTTGTTTTAGTGCGCCAAAGTTAAAATAATTATAATTTATTTTTAGTTCGACTCGACTCGACTCGACCTACGTTTTCTACAAACTTTGAGTTGTTATTCCACATGACTGCTGTTGCTTTAAACTTTATCCCCATCCATCAATCTGTTTTATTTGCTTTAAAAAGAAATAAATGGTTTCGCTAACAAAATCTTACTGAAACTAAGCCCGTATCACAGATTTATTTGAAAACAATTGTCCACATGTAACTGGGAATATTTGATTTATATTAGGCTGCGATTGAGGCAAAAGGGCGTTTATATATTTGTAGGTGGTCTTTACGCTGCCCAAAATGTAACCTGTTGACCGTTATTTGCCGATATTGATTGAAGCGTGATGGCTATGAAAAAGTTTTATGAATGAACCGGCGTCATTGCCTTTGGGTTTGGAATCTCGTTTATTGATTGAAATTTATTATGCTTTAAATAGGCGACCCATAAAAAAGGTGAAAGCTACATGAATCTCTTTAAGCCCATGGAGCTCATCACATCTAAGTCTTTAAAAGTCAAAAGGATTGAAAGTGTATTGAAATCAGATGGCAACTTGTATCAATCATTAATGTAAATAAAAGTCAATTGAAGCATATAATGAAGTATTTTACTTTGTTGCCTAAAGTTAATTGCCATTGGCTTTGAAAAATGCCACAAGTGAAAATAAAATAAAAAAAAAAACAGGCAATATATTAATTTGAAAATAAAAAGGAAAAGTGCTTTGGGCCAATTACGACCGAAGCATCCATCCACAAATTCTTAAAGAGCACGACAAGTCTATTAAAATGTTCTTATAAATGGTATGGGTTAATTGGGTATTGCCAAAAAAAAATTCCAAGCATGTTTATTGATTCACAATTTGTGGCCTTAAACAAAGGGACCAAAAACAAAATACAGAAACAATTTTTGGGAAAGGTTGTGCTTATGTGTATGTGTCTAGACTTGAATAAAGGTAGTCTAGTCTTGTTAAAAGTAGAACACAATTTATTGGCCTTAATTATGGAGTTATTTTAATAGCTATCGGTACTATTATAAAGCTGAAATGCTTTAATTTTAGATTTGTTCCATCATGTTTGTATGATGGAATATATCAATACCTAAAAATAGGTGTTATAATGTATTACAATTTCTAACAAGCATAAAATTAAAATTCTTTAAAACTGAATATTGTGAGAACAGAAATAATATTTTTTATAAATAAAACCGATTTAATGTTTTCAATATTAAATCGTTTACATTAAAATTATTTTTTATTTTGATTAAAAATATATTAATTTTAATTCGAAATTAGATATGCAAAAACCTACTATCAAATTCAAATTTCTTTTGGAACCTCTGCATTCCTTGTGCAGCAAGTCAATGTGTTGATAACCAAATTTCCTGTCACCCTGAGCGTCATCCCCAGTAAGGAGTGTTGATATTGTTGACTCAATTTCCATTTTAATTTCATTAGCATGATGATGGGAACTCAAAGCATGCCACATGGCATACTCACCCACATATACACACAAATATACACTCACCCACACGTGATGCTAATGAGGCTATAATATAAATTGCTTAAATTGCAAATAATGCAAAAAGTTAATATTTAAGCCAGAGGAAGATGTTGCGTATACCCCGAAGAGACTTTGGGTTCATGGAGCTATTAACAGCAATTTGCTTAAATTGTACATCAACAGCTGAGCAAGCAATAAAACATATAGTCCTTGTGTGTGTGATTGTGGGTGCTTATGCGTTAGATATATAAATTATGCATTTGCCTTCTGAAAGACAAACGAAGAAATTTTGCAGACTTAATAAAATGGGCATAATATGTTACCCGGAAACTCGCATTAACAACACACATGTTGAACGTTGACATGAAGCCTGTGGAATAATAGAAATGAATCCTGTGCAAAGGATGAGTCCATTTTTTTTTGGGATGCTCCACGATAAGTGCTCATTTATTTCAACATCTTTGTGGCCAGCTTAGCATAATCTGAGCATACTTAAAGTTCTTTATAGTATCTTCAGCTTTGATTGTTAAAGAAATTTAATGGAGTGCTAAAAACCGAGAGCAGTGTCAAGCTGATAAACTATCCTTCTGGGGCAGTAGCCTCCTTGCCACCAGCTTTACTTTTCTACGGAAAGTTCAACAAAGTTCTTGGCATGGGCTGCATTTTGTCGTCTGAAGTTCAACCATTTGGCTGGTTTCGTGGTTACTTTCATTATTGTTTTAATTGGAAGCAGCTGTTTGGTTTACAGCCTTAGCCTTAGTGGCTTTAAAAATTATGTGCGCAATCAATTGACTAAAAATTTGATTAAACTTGCTTTGCAGAAAGCAAGCAGAAATTTCGCTTAGGCATTAAATTGAGTCGATCTTGTTTTATTGCTACTATATATAAATTTCTGAGCCATGTACAAATATTGAGAGTAATTAAAAGATAAATAATAATAAATTGGAATTATTTGGCTTTATCTGTAATGAAGAATAACTACAAAAAATATTATTAATTGATTTTAATTGATTAATTGAATTTTAAATGCACTCAGCTACATTTCTCAGCTTACAGTTGATTGAATAGCCAAGTTTTGTATTGTTTTCATTATTTATCATATTTTCCGGGAAGTACATTTAATGCATCTTATAATTAGATCCATGAGCACATCATGTGTCAGCTTGCATGATTGCTCGCAGTATCAATTAATTTGACATCAACACTCCAACAGCAAATTGATGAACCAAAGTGTTAATGAGTCATTAGAAATCATAGAAAGGAAAATACAATTATTGACCTCATATTGATATCCTCATGGACACACAACCCAGCCTTTCCTATGTTGGCAACTAGTTGCTCATCTATCATCATTGAATGGGTGCCTGTTGTTTCCAGGAAAGCTTTTACAGTTTGCAGTCCGCTTCCCATACACCGCTCACACCACCCATATTTACAGCATCTTAATTGAATTTCAATTTTCAATTTCGCCTTTTAATTGAATTCAATGAAAAAGTGTCGAGGAAGTGTCAGCGCTTTGTGTGCAACTCCCCACATCCCTACAATGCCACACCGTCATCCAGCTAACAGCGCGCAAAGCTCACCCGCTTTGGTGATGCCAGCGTTGATGGTTGTTGTTGTTGCTGTTTATTCAGCTGTTGCTGCTATGATTGCTGCTGCTGTTGATGGCGCCATCGATGCGACAAAACATACACTACACCCACACTCACACCCACCCAACCACACACCCTCGACCAGCCGCAATCCCAAGTCCCTTTAGCCAAGCGCCCTTCATCAGACCATCAGCCATTGGGCTCCGCAATTGGCTTGGTCTGATTGAGTATATTCACTGGCATTGGTTTGCGACTGACTGAAAAGTTGTAAAATTGATTGGCCAGTAAACATGGGCGAACCGAGAGATAAACAAGCCATTATGCTAGCATAATGTGCAAATGTCAGAAATTGAACCCTATTTGATAATTGTCAATGACTTAAAGCATCGCATTTAAATTATTATTGCAATTGTAAAAATAAGTATGTTTTTATTTGTTGAGGTTGGGTATTTGTGTTAAACAAATCACAGTATCAACTTAAAATGTTTACCATATTTTAACAATTATTTATCATTATTCTGAGTCAGCTGATTCTATATAATATATATTCAAATTTAATTTCAAATTGCTTAAGCGAAGCAAATGAAAATTTTAACCTGTAATTCTGAAGTGAATTTTAATAATTATGAGATTAATTTAAGGGCTTACAAAAATAAATGCTTATACAACTTTACTCTATAATATCTGTATCTGTGTTTGCTTTTCTGAGTGGAATACTGTGTCTGCATCTGGCTGTGGTCTGTCCCATTTTGCCGATTTCAGAACCGATGTCGCGCTTCCCATACAAATGCAGCCTGTTTTGCAGTCATCATGCTTGCTTGTGTATTTCTGGCTTAGTTCATATGGGATTTATGCCACTCAGCAATGGATATATCACACAATGCTCGCGGATTTGCAATCGCGTCTACTTTTCTGCCACCGGCACACACACACACACACACACACACACACACACACACATATCTGTAACACTGAAAGGGTATTAGGCGACATTGCCGAAAGAAATAAAACGAGCTGAAAAGAATTGTATATGTATATGTATGCAAATTGCTTTGACAGTGGAAATGCGGTCTGGGTTGTGCCATTGTTGAGATTACTATTATTATGAAAATATGCATATTACTTACAACTTGACGATGGATGCTATGATTCTGCCTGTTATACGAGAGCTTAAATGCGTACAAGACATGCCTTTTGATTGCGGCTCTGATTTGGATAGCTCAGCAGTGCTTTGCTGAAAATATTCTCGGCATACTCGTAAATCGCATTTGTATTGCAAAACGTTTGTTGCTTGTGGCACATTCAATTTGAAATTCACATTTGTGACAAATTGCGCATCGTTTGCCCCCAAGGTCCAAATCTATATTCCCTATCGATGCCAAAATACAATAAATACTGGATATATAGTTGGCACACCGCCGTCTCTCCCTTCATATTTCCTTAGTATTTCATATAAAATTTATGGGCACTTTGAATATTGTAAAAGTTTTAAGTCGGAAATTGGGCAAAGTTATGAAAATAATCGTTAAGTAGCAGCAAAGCGCATATACATATTAAAATTGTGCTTAAGACCGGATAATTTTGCTTCTGGGCAAACTCAGCTTTTAACAACAAATGCATAAATATAAACTTGTATGTAATCAAATAAATGCTCTCTAAATACATATATATTATTATTAATTCGATTTGCAAGCCATCATAATTATATACAATTAAATTGTAACACCAGCTGTGCTCTTAGCTTAACTCACTTGCAGTATTCTTAAATTCAATGCTTAACATTTATAATTCGAACAACAAATAGATAAAGAGATATATATATATATAAGATTGGGTTTCTCAAGAACACTAAAGGCTGCTGCGGCACTATGTCCGCTTTCATTGTCGATTTTGTCGTTTTCCGCTCAAATGGTTGATTGGCTTCCGAAAGAAAGGTAACAAATATGAAATGACAAACCGAAACAGAATTACAAAAAAAAAATGCTTAGCAGTCGATTTTGTGAAGTTGGCGGTTGACTAAGCTTTGGCTTTTGTCTCAGCAGAACATTATTTAGTAGTAGTACACGAACACCAACAAATATAAATGGGGAGACCATTGTCTTGCCCCAAAACCCATTGGAAAAGTGGTTTCACATTGTGCAAGAGAAACAAGAGAAATACGTGCGCTGCCTTTAGACACATTCCTTTACTGTACTGTGTGCACAGTGTCCTAAGATGAGTGTTTAGTAAAATTTTTATATATTATATATATTTAATTTGAGCCAAAATATATGTGTTTGACTAGTCCTAAACTCAGCTTTAACTACATTTAGTTTTTTTTTTTTAAATATATATATATAAATATCTATTTATTTTATAATTTGCTGCCACTGTGCGTAAGTAGTAGAATTTTGGTTTGTCAATTTGGCATTGACGGTCCCCATTGCCAAAGTCTTCGACTGCACCTTGATTAATGTGATGGCATGACATACGTCGTCTCTTTACTTCTCTTGTCCTGTACCCTGCTCTGCTGCCATTAGCAGGCTCTGTGCCACAGAAATTTTGTGTTGTAGCTGTGGCTTGTGGTGACACCAGCTTGTGAGGCAACTCCACGTCTTTCAGCATTTCAGCAAGCATTCGCATTATTCATTGGAGCCAAACTGTTGATTACTTTAGCACTGCTGTGGATCTAAGCTGTTGATTTATTTTGTGGACCATTCGAGTTGTTGGTCAAATTTAATCCGTAAAGAATTGTGGTAACTTTTGTTTTTAACAAAAATGCAAATATTTAAAACTATTATTCTTAAAATTCAAAATTGCGTCTATTGCTTAAATTGAATTTATTTCCAAATTGAATTCAAGTTGTACATGTTGTACACCAAAATCAATAATATTATTTCATTGATGTAAATTTTTGGGTTTAGTACGAAACAAATGTTATCTCTTTACATTATATGCACAACAAGGACTCAAACTCATTTAACTGTATTACTGCAATAAATAAAGGCTTAGAGTAAACAGATCAAGGAGCTGTGTCTGCCGTGAATGCAGTAAAACGTGCTGCTGGACTCTGTTGCTATCCTTAAGGGTACTCTGCGCACGATGGCACGTAATTCTGGTAATACTTGCCACCATCTGAAATTTGTTATTTACAATGTTGCAGCAGGTGGCGTGCATTGAATCGTCGTTTAGTCGTTGCACAACGTGGCAAGCTGGAGTTGCAGCCTTGGCCTTCGGATTTTCGCTTTATATTCCTGCATTTTATCTTTGTTGTCTTACATGGCGTATGTGGAAAATTAGCATGTTGCACAATACATTGCATATTTTCGGGCGAACGTCGAATGCATTTAATACGAGTTGCACAACAAAATACATTGGACAAATGTGAAATTTACGAGCTACACAAAAAAAGAAATTTAACAAATTGTAAATTTAAAGTTAATAATCTAATGCAATCATTCAAATGTAAATTCTGAATATTTCCCGAGTTGTTATGAATGATTGGCAAACAGGGCACTTGCATGTGGCACGCAGAACGGTCCTAATGCAACTGCTGCAAAACACATGACCACAGATGGTCGAGGCAGGTTTGCGCTGTTGCACACATTTCAAACACACTGGACACTTGTAGGGCTCCGAAACCGCACTTAAACGTTGGTTGTGTGACTGCTCAACGAGATTGCGCTCAGATGAAGCGGATCTAAATGGATAAAAAGTAAATGGAGTTGCTGCTTCATTGTCGCCAAGTATATTCAATCTATCAAGCAATGCCAGAGAATGGGCAGGCATTTCCGGGAGAGGTTCAATATGAGGACATCGTAGGCAGGAATTGACAGAAGCATTCCCACTTCGGCTGATGCTTGTTGGAAGATCCTGTGCTCGAGATGACAATGCAGCGTCAATTGGATTGATGTCACTATAAGAACATGCTGGAGCATCCATGAGAATATCTGTAAATTGTTTGACATATAATAAAAATTAATTATAAAAAATATTTACAAAATGAGCAGGCCAAGTTAAAATGAAAAGACTTTCGCATCTAAGCTACGAGCGATTTGAATTTTGCAAAATTCTTCGTATTGTACACAGTAAAAAAAAGCCTGCTACTTGTATCTCTATCAAACATTCTACTAATCCGACTTACCATTTTCAGTACCCATTCTAAGACTTTCCATGCTCAGCTCCAGATTATCAAATTTTTGTTTTACTAGAATTGCCAAACCAGATAACTGTTATGATTCTATATTTTATGAATCGTAATGTGTTTGCTTACTGAGTGACAATTCCGCTTTTATCTCCTTGATTTCTTTTTCAGTTCTACGCCAATCGGATCGATTCGATTCTGCATTAATGTTAGGGACTTCATCTGAATGGTTTACTCTTGAATTCAAGCCTAGAAAATTGTTATCATAATTCATGTATAACAACTTGAAGTATCGATCATCTCTTAAGCATTTTGTATCGATACGTTTCAAGCTCTCCAAAACGTTCTGCAATAAATACGTAAAATTTAAGATAATGACAAAATATAAGATAATGACAGTTCTGACTTGTGGCAATTGAGTTCCCTTCGAGCCTCGCGTTGGATATGCCATTATGTTAGACTTAAGTACAACCTCCGCTAATACTAAAGATTTTTTTTTACCAGAATTTAAAACAACTGAAAATTGTATTTAATTTGTTGCCAACTTGAAGCGAGTCTAGTAATATCTGAGTCCACATACAAAGCTGGCATGATTGTAACATTCCTGTTAATATTCATTCCCTGATTCAGTTTGAATCTAACAGATATAGTCAATTCAAATTGATGCTGATGATGCCATTTCAAAGTTGTGGTGTGTACTATCTGTGAATACCTTGGCATGTGTCTGCACGTACTTAATCACATGGAACTCGGTGAAAAGCCGCTCTGACTTTCCATTCACAACATAGTCATATAAAATCTATGCCAGCAGCTTTGCAGTCAACATCATCCTGTACGCTGCCAAAGTCTTTAACTGTTTCGTTTTAGACGGTTTACTTTTATGACCTACAACAGAGCAATGCTGTAGACAGATGAGCGCATATGTCATCCTTTCACACACACAAACACACAAACACACACACACAGACACAAACACACACACACACACAAAAACACACGAACATTCACCTATCTAAGTGGATGGGTATGTATTCGTTGAATTCAGCCAGCTCTTTCAAAAGAAATTCTGTTTGATTGCAGAGAATAAACAAGTGAAGGCAGCTACAGTGCACATCATCTATTTGCGAGGGTTGCTCATCAAGTAATGAGTTTTTTCCATTCATTACATTAGTAAAATTAATTACAAGCAGACGAAATACATTATCTTGATATGCGCACATCAACAAATATAACACAATATAAATAGTATCCTTTCACATTTGACATTTTAATTAATAAATATATTCAAGACTAGAATGGTGGGTTCGGTTCTCTTAGATTATTTACTTATAAATCGACCCTCGTGAATAAGTGACTGTGTTGATTTGTCTTCCATTTTTTTTTTTTTTTGTGGCATATGTTGAATTTTACACAATTTTGCCTTGGAGTGGGATTTTATCCATACTTTGCGCTCCAAGCTTGCGGTTAAGTGCTTTTCTTTTTGATGCTGCTCAGGCTACAATAACAATTTTAAATTGTCGTTTTTATTGATAATAATGCAGTTAGAATGTTGTTTAATGTTGATTTATTGAGTCGATTTGAGTTCGCCAAATGTGAATTCGGGCTCTATGCGGGATATGTGCTTACAAAGGAAATAAAGGATATTTTTAAGCGCTTGTCGTAATAAGTGTAATGCGTTCAATAAACCATTTTTAATCCCATAAAGTATATACATATATATTTTTTAATAAAGACATTTCGGTTTATTGTTACCTAAAAATGAAGTTGTCAATAAGAATATAAGTCATGGAAAATTGTCTTCTTTTGAAATTAAATTTGATAAATATCAAATTAAGCCGTTCATCTTGAAATGTTTTTGTTTCGAATTTATTTACATATTGAGCGAGTCATTTGACCAACTCACATCCATTAATGATTTAGGCTGGCTGTCAACAGCAGATGAAAGCAGCCAGACTCACTTGACTCTTCGAGTGTATTCGACCATCCACAGAAAATTTCGCCTCTCATTGAGACGCACTTGCATTGATTTATGTATTGGTTCGGTTGAATTTAAAAATATATATCTGTATGCCGAAAAAATCAATGCTCTATTCTGGTGTAGTACAAAATTTAAGCAATATAAACAATAAACACCTGGCACAGCTATGGTCTACTAAAAATAAACAACTCACACTTTTTGCTGGGCCAGATATTGAACACTGTCCAGCAATGTCTGTGCCATAAATAAATCAAAGAACTTTAATGCCGCCAATTAGCAGGCCACATGGTTACTTTCCATATCGATTTGCACACATCCATACAACAAACCAAAATAAGCTAAAGCACAAAGCCAAAATATATTCATTTTGACATGTTTGGCAATTGACCTTTCGCTTTTGACTTAACGCTGTATTTGTAATTGCGTCTGGTTTTGTATGTGAAGCTGTTATGTGTAATGTGTGCACAATGGATAATATCTATGCTGATTCGCTGACATCCGTCTTGCGATGTCTATTCATTAATGATTATTTTCTACTCAATTACAATTTGCATAATTTAATTAATTGCATTTGTTTTGAGAGCTGTGAAAGGATTTTTGGGTAATAAATTGCTTGCTTGGCATATAATAGAAGATATACAAATGAAACAGTTGACAAGAGAGAGAGAGAGAGAGAGAGAAAGAGAAAGAGAGAGAGAGAGGTTCGCCATTTATTTTAATTTATTTTGATTCTTAGGAAACTTTTAGTATAGATTCGTATAAGCTTATTAGGTTTAAATATGCCATTGGCCTCTCTGGTTTACCCGATTCGTAACTCTAGATTTTGGTTAAGTTCAGATAATAATCTATAATATGATGGGATTGATGGGATTGGCACATACGTTGCCATTAAATTTGATTAGTCAAACTGCTGAATGCCAAACACGAATTGTTAAGCGCATTTCATTTTGGCTGTTGTATTTGCACTTAAAACAAATGAGCCATTTAACACGCAACGCTAATGAGCCAAACACTTGACTTTTTTGTATTTGCAGCTGAGGATATACATCTGAACGATTTATATACACGCTACCGGCAGAGGCTGCGCAAGTCGCTCTTTAGATCGGGGCTGCTCACATCGCTGGTGGCATGTGTCGTGTCCATAATAATTGGCGTCGTTTACGAGCAGGTAAGTGCAACAGCACTAACTTTTAGTTGTGGAAAGTTAATGTGTGTTGGGGATTATAGCACCTGTTGCAGACACTGCTGCTGGCATTGGCAGCCCTAATCTCCGGCTCGATACTGACGGGGCTCCAGTTTCCGGCTGTGCTCAGCTCACCAGCGGCAGCCCTGGCCTTTGCCATTGTCACCACCTTCTCCCTGGGCACCATTGCGGCCATTACAGGCAGCGAGCTGGCTCCACTGCCCATGTATGCATTGTTTCTGGTAAGTGGCCCAATCGCTGGGACAGCCAAGCTGGCTGCGTTAGTTGGACTGTTGGATTGTTGGATTTTGAACATTAATATGAGCATGTATTGGCATTGCAGGGCATCCACACAATGCTGCCCATTTCCTGGCCGGTCTCTGTGGTGCTGGCGCTATTTATGACTGCCATACACATTGTTTATAGAATCGGCTCTAGTCCGGACTACGCACCCAATCTGCCAATGGTAAGTTTATTTGTTTTTATTATTTCAAAGAGGATTCCGATCACAATTTAGTCGTAAAAGCAACAGATTTCTATGTGCAGGTCGAAGTCGATGTGCATTGTATGTTGAAATATTATTGATTTTTATCTTGTGTGCACGTTGAGAATTTGTTTATTTATTTCAAGTTCACAGAAAATATTATCTCTGCCTTGCCGTTTAACTTGTTGTTTCTTCTGCTTTTGTAATTACCAGCTTAAATGCTCAGCTGATATTATTAATATACAAGAATGTACTCCAAGACTACGCAATTATAACATTGTGATAACTACTCATTTTAATTAATTCTAAAGCTGCTAAACTTTAATTGGCACAACTATATACAAACAGTTTGAAGCTAACCGAATGAATAGCTCTTATTTAATCTGCTTTAGTTGAAGTGGGTCCAACAAATAACTTGTTTAGTTTTGCGAACAATTTCCCCCTCAGCGCAATTTGTGTGCTCTGATTGTGGTTGACAGGGCTCACCCAGCGTTAATTAGCTGGGACACAATGTTGGGAATTCCGATTACGGGCCTGTGGTTAAACATAGTTGGATTCGGTTGCTGCCTGACTGCCTGCCTGCCAATTGGCTCCATCATTCAATGCTCTTGACATGACCCCGTTTAACTGTCAGTTCTTTGTTTTTCCCTCTCTCTCTCTCTCTCTCTATCTTTCTCTTTCGCTCGCTCATAGCTGTTTGGTGAGATTGTGATGCTGGCCAGCGCATCCGTTTCCGGTCTGTACTATCGCATTATGTCGGATGCGGCACACAACCGCACCGTGGATGGCACACGCACTGGCATCGAGCAGCGCGTCAAGCTTGAGTGCGAACGTGAGCAGCAGGAGCAGCTGCTTCTAAGCGTTATACCCGCTTACATAGCTGCCGAGGTGAGAGTACTTTTCAACTGTGTGCTTTTCAAATTGCTATTTTTCCCTCTATCCTGTTAATGGCAGGTCAAGCGTAGCATTATGCTGAAGATGGCGGACGCTTGCCAGCGAGCTGGTGGCCAGGCCTCCACATCGGCCACACGTTTTCATGAGTTGCACGTGCAGCGGCACATAAATGTCACAATACTTTTTGCAGACATTGTCAACTTTACGCCGCTGTCCTCCTCACTGACTGCCAGCGATTTGGTGAAGACACTGAACGATCTCTTTGGCCGCTTCGATCAAATCGCCCAGGTGAGTGCGAGTACTTATTATTAGTTTATTTAGTACAACATGTCATAATACCCCTCACAGGAGAATCAATGTTTGCGCATTAAAATTCTGGGTGATTGCTATTATTGCGTGTCCGGGCTGCCCATCTCGAGGCCGCAGCATGCCAGCAATTGCGTTAACATGGGCCTGCAAATGATCGATGCCATCAGGTAAGTTTCTCTATCTCTCTCTCTCTCTTTAATATGTCAACATTGGCGCGCGTTGCGTATACGACATGTTTGCCTTTGGCCATACCTTTTGACTCAATGTTTGGTGTTTGGTTTTTCTGTGCATGTCAAAGTGTGTGTGTGTGTGTGTTGATGTGTGGGTGTGCATGTGCGTGTGTTTGCTGTTGCCGCAAGGGCTTGTGCAAACGTTTATTTTACCTGTAGCACTTTGATAGTTTCTGTGCGCTATTGGGTTATAGGTGAATAAACACTCACACACACACCCACATAAGCACACACTCATCTCTGATACAAGTAAGTGTAAACACCCGGAAACTCATGCAACAATAAATTGAACTAGCTGTGTACTTCATGTAAGTTGTGTGTACATGAATTTTAAGCTTTAAACTGGGCCCAGATAAATGTCAAATTATTGCGATATTTTGTATTTTGCTGTCAGCTTATTGTTTTACTATGTCAGCTTTAATTGCCACAGATAGACACGTATCCCGTTTTTATTGCGCCTATTAAAAACGTATTATGCTATAAAAAAAGTACCCAAAAAAGATGGAACAAATAAAAAACAACATAAAATACAATATACAATATCAATACAAAAGCCATTTTATTACAGACTAGAATATTTGGCCAAATATCCGTGTACATAATGTCCGAGAGGTTCCTCAACTCTCAGCCGTATACTCTAACAATGGGTATTATCATCGTATAATCCGAGTTTTTATAGCAAATGATTTTTATTTTTTTCATTTTCGTTATTATTATTATTTTCCTTTTTTTTTAATCTACACCTTTTTGAAACTTATTTGGCGACAGACAGCTGAGAATATTTAAGTTTCGGCATGTTTCAGTTTTTGATGCCAATATTTTTATTGTGAGTCTCTACAATGGGCACATTTCTTTTGTGTTTGTTATTTTTTTCTGAGTCGGCCACTTTCTTTCATTTCATTTTAAGTATTTCTTTTGTTGTTGGCCAGAAGGCATTTGGCTTTTCAGCTTCTGGATGGCTGTTGCTGCTCAAGTTGCTTTCTCGCTTTGTTTGTTCTATGCAGATGCAGCCCATTAAGCAGCCCTTGTGAAAAATACAATTTTTAACGTTTTTTTGGGTGTGTCTTAAAGATGAAAGTTTAATTGTGCAGCGCAACAGACGCTTTCAGCTCTCACTTTGTGTTTGGTCTGTGCTTAGTCGCTGCTTGCTAATAAAATAAAAAACTATCCATAAAAGTAGGCAATGATTTTTTTTAATTTACCTGAGCATAACTCATGCTACAGCTTACTGACTAAGAACTTAAGAGTATGCTGTAAAGATGGTCCTTAGACTCGTGTATAATATTGAGAATACTGCAAACAGGATCTAAAAGAAAAGGCGCTTTGCAAAATAAGGCACATTCGAGTAATAATACTCCTGCATAATTAAATTTAATTTGTTAGGCTTTGACGAGCAAAAAAAAGGCCTTTCAAACAAACTTTTGCTCTTAAGCAACCTAAAGTTCTTCGCAGTCCTCATAATTGGTACAAGATGTTGTTTGCTTGTAAGTATTGCAATCGTAAAATGAACCCAATGATCCACACACATACAAAAACAAATAAACCAAAAGGGCTCCCAAGTGATTTGTTTTGTAAGGCGATTTGCTCTCGTTCTCGGCTCATTTGCTACAGAATACAGAATACTGTACACTTTACTATCAAAAACACTCTTTAAGGTTAATAACTCAAGGACTTGTTGGCCGGCCAACTCCACACAGTTGTTACGAGTACGAGTACGAGTACGAGTACGTACATATATATACATATATATGTATATATTAATATATATGTATATACGCTAATATGAGTGGCCTGCTTTTCGGTTAACCTGGCCAGGCCTTTGCCAGTCATACATCAGGGTTGAACTTGGCCTGTTGTTGTTTTATGGCTCATAAAATTGTGCTCGTTACACAACTATAGAACTAGTTGGCACATAAGTATGTAAATATACATATGTATATAGTGTACATATGCTTTTGTACTCAGCTCAACATTGCGGTTTTCATTGTTTGACTCGCTTCCCTCCCTCCCTCCCTCCCTCCCGTTTCGCTTCTATTCCGGCAGACACGTGCGTGAGGCGACCGGCATAAATGTTGACATGCGAATTGGCATACACACGGGCAACGTGCTCTGCGGCGTCCTTGGCCTACGCAAGTGGCAATTTGATGTTTGGAGCGATGATGTTACCCTAGCCAACCACATGGAAAGCGGCGGCGTTGCGGGGTAAGTCTTTGTTTATTTTTTCTCATTTGATGTGTCGTGCTAAGGCTAACTAGCAATACAAAACGTACACAATACGAATGTCTGCTCACAACGTGGTCAAAGGAAACTGCAGGAGGACTTGTGCTCCTACACCTCATAATAGGAATTTAAATGAGTATTCATGGACAGTGCAATTAAACACGCCTCTTGCTTCAGGCCATACCCACAAACAACTACAGCACAAAGCATATCGCAAGCAGGCATTGCGCTTAATTGTAGTATAAATTATTAGAATTGTGTGTGGTCTAAAATTAGAAAAACGCTCAGAGAACTGACACTTGTCGGTAATTATATCATTGGATTATATTAAATGAGCTCTGGCAAAAATTGTGTTGGACTTTGACCCATCACGATAATTTTTATTTTTTTAATTTTAGGAATGTGAATAAGTTATTTAAATAATTTTTCATACTCTCTCTAAATATTGATTTTAATTGGGAAAGCGAGCAGTGAGTTTATCTAGTACTTTAAGGTATAGATACTGTCTTGAATAACTTTTGTATGTATGGAGTTCCTTGATGATATGAACTATCAATCTGAATTGGTAGTCAGATCAATCTGTGATTAGGATAATTTATATGTGTAGCTAGTAGAGTTTGTACTGAATATGGATGGATGCATATATGGGTTACATGTTATAATGAAACAGCCTCTGCAAATTTACAAACAAAAAGGCAAATCAATATAAAAATAAACCACATAATTCTTATAATATTCCGGCTATTATCTGGTTTTGCATACGCATGTTTAAAAGCAATCTAGCTTGAATTGTGAATTTGTCCTTTATTTAGACCTGGATTTGTCTCTTGCCACATAGTCCCACTTATACTTGGGAATTGTGCACTGCCAGTTTTCATTTTCCAAGTGTTTTTCTTTACTTATATTATTTTGTAAGTGACAACCAACAAGTGTTTATTCCTCTTCGATTCAATTGACATGTATCTTAATATTTTGGGTCCTCTGTTCACACATGTAGATTGCAATTATTTGAAATTGAATTGAATCGAAATCAATGAGCCGAATGAAAGTCAGTCGCTTCCTTTGCTCGTTACGCACGAATTCATTGTGAATGCGTTACAAAAGCATAAATAAAATTACAAATTACGAAAGCCGAAAGGGCAAACAGAGAGAGAGAGAGCGAGAGAGAGAGAGAGAGAGAGAGGGGGGGAGACAGAGACAGAGAAAGAGAAGGAGAGAGATAGAGAGAGTGACAGGAGGAAAGCTATGTGTAAAGGTTCTTAATTTGCATGAAGATGAAGCAAATGAAACTAGGGCGAATAATATATGTGCATATGTATATTGTATCTAAAGCCCATTGTCATTTTTTACAGCCGCGTGCATATCACAAAGCAAACTTTGGACTTTCTGGGCGACAAGTTTGAAGTGGAGCAGGGCGAAGGCGGCGGTCGTGATGCTTATCTGGCCGACCATAAAATCGAAACGTATCTCATTGTGCCGCCCAGGGTGAGTGCTGTATTTCAGGTATTCAATTACGCGTTGCTTAACTAAACTGTCACGATAGCCCGCATATATGCATAGTGTGCCTCGGGTTGTGGAGTGCATAGAGCATACGGAGCCTGAGGATGAGCATGCAGCGCCAGCTAAGGAGGATAATGATGTCACCGAGAAGCTGCTGCCTGCGGAGTCACGTTCTCCTGTTCCTGTTCCTGTCTCTGTTGTCGGGGATGCGGGCGAGAGGATCTCACCCACCTCCGTGCACAGCCAGGATGTGACAGTGCCTGTGCCTCTTGCCTCCGCCGCCTCGATGTCCATCAAGGAAATGTCCGAGGAGGAGGATGATATCGCTATCACCGAACCGCTGGTGGGCAAGCAGCCGGAGCAAGAAGCCAACAGTGATGCTCCGTTACCAAATGGAGATCATCGCGGCAGCGGTGATTCTGCCGCATCGGAGTCGGCACCAAAATCTGCAGCACTGTCTCTTCCCACCGAGGATCTGCTTAGCATGAGTGGCAGCGAGAGTGGCATCTCAAACAGCTGCACCCAGGCAGCTGCTGCAGCAGCTAATGCGGCCATAGCCACGTCCACAACAACAACAGCAGCCGCAGGCATCGCTGCCGCCAACAGTTTAGCGGTGGCCGATGCACCTGAACGCTCCCGACGCAAGCTATCCGTTCAGGGTAAGTAGCGCTAAGCATATGTCATTTGGCTATTACACTTGGGTAACATTGTGAGCAAAACGATAAGCTGGCTTACATTTGCATATTTATCACTCAAAACTTGCTGGTCTTCTATAATTATAATTCTTGATTATTTATATTTGAAATAAAAGTACATATTTAGAAAGTTTTAAAGCCGAGAAATGTATTTAAATTTGTCTTTTTATTCTAAATGTTTATGTATGATTTTTAGTTACTCATTGTAAAGAAAGTCTCAAAGTCTATAAATCAAAATAAAAACATATAATTCATTTATTTTAGATAATTGTTTTTGCATATTAAAACTAATTTTAATATCAACCATTTAATATATTTGTTAGAAAATTTCTGCTTTTCATTTAATTACTAAAGTGACCCAACATTTGTTGAATTCCTTTGGGAAACCCCAGAAAAAACAGAATCAGAGCAAAAGTAAGAACAAATTCAGTGTACTTAAAATTTCTTGCTTTTCGAATTAAAGTTACTCACGTCACACATAATTTAAAATAAAATGATTTTCAAATTATTTATTAAAAGGTATTTAGAAAATATGATAAGACATAGATGATTGATGATATTAATCATACTTGACCCGTCGAAGAGCTTAGCATGGAGAAACGCAAATCGATTTATTTGACTATAATTCTGAATGACAAATAAATCGATTTGGGGCTCTCCTAAAATTATCTTCTGCACAAAATAAACGAAAATCAAATGCCAGTGTAAAGCTTGCTTGATATATTTAAGCCTTCATATAGTCATTAATTTGTTTAATTTGTTTTTTTCATTTTGGCCCCCCATTCAGGTCTGATGTCCTTTGCCGACAGACGCCGCTCTTCAGGCGCCTTCATCGAGGGACGCAAATTGTCCATCCACAGCGGCGAAAGTTTTCGCAGTCATACGGGTGAGTGACAACAGGGAAGAGGGAGTGACAATGAAGGGGGATGTAGCTGTGGACATGAAAAGAAATCTCATAAAACGCAACAGTTGAAAATCACTTTCGAAAATGAGCTTCAGCTTATGCATAATTTTATCGCTGGTCTCACAACTTTTGCATCATAAATTTGATGTGCTTGCATTTGTTTGTGGACTGACCTTTGTGCAAAAGTTTGCCATGGCCATGGCCACTGTTGACCAGGTGGTCCGTCTGGCTCACAACACTTTGCTATAAGCCCCCTTGGACATACAGCTGAGCTTCGTAAATGTTACCACTGCAGCTCCGGTGCTCTTCTGCCTTATCAGTTTTAATATTGGACCTCACGTGGCAGCTGGAAAATTGCCAATTGATGGCATTTTTGTTTCAGACACGTGCAAATTCGCTTGGGGCATGCATAAAGCTTATTAAAGATTCTGCTGAAAGTTAACAAACAAATTAAAATGTAGCTTAAAAGTCAAGGACTAAAGTTAATAATGGTAAACGGCTTTAAGGCTCGTTAATCATGTGAATGTCAAAATGTTGACAACGGCTTCAACATATTATTAAAGCTGAATCAATAAAAGGGAAACAGCTTTTGCTATTTTCGACATGGGTAGTTTCTTATAGTTGCATAGTTCTGGTTTTTGTTTGACTGGTAGTGGATATTTATTAGATTGAATAACTTACAAATCTATGACGTCTTATGAAATTGATTTGATTTATAATTCCAGGTCATGTCACACGCAATCGCCCCTCGTCAAAGATGACCAAATATGTGGAATGCTGGGGTGCCGATAAGCCCTTTGCCAATATAGCTGAATCGAAGCTCGTGAAAAACATTGGACTGGCGGTAAGTGAATGGTTGTCTGTGTGCCTATAGCCATTTACAGCTTTAAGAGAGCTCAGCCACTGGCAACAGCCGGACACTGGATTCAAATTAAATTTCAATTGCCAGGAAATGTCGCACAACTGGCCCAAATTGAATTTGACAGACTTTATTGCGTGGTCAAGTTAAAGCAAACAAAAAAACAGATATGATTTTTAAACCATTGTCAGACGGCTGTTTGCTGTTCCTATGCACGAAGACAACATCAGACTGGGTAAAGTTTATAATCATTCGCTTCCGACATCTTTGCAGAGCATTGCCATGATTGAATCAAATTTGCTGCCACCGGAGCGTAAATGTTTCAATTTTAACTTCTTGGGGCCGCCCACAGAGCTGAAGCCGATAACCATGTGGTATCGCAACACACCCCGGGAGGCAATGTACAGGGCACAGCCGGACACCCACTTCCGGTACGACCTGATTTGCGCCTTCGTGCTCTTCCTCTCGCTGGCCGTGGTGCAGCTGATTGTAATCGAATTGTAGGTGAGCTCCAATCCCAGTGGCGATTTGCTTGACCCAGATGTGCTCTTTGTAAATTGATAGGAACCTGGCATTGCTTGGCTCGCTGCTGGCCAGCTTCGTGTCCCTAGCCCTGTTTCTCTACTTGAGCAATATGTCCGTGCCAGATATGCATGCCTCGAACACTGAGCGCAATGGTCCCGGCCAGGTGGTGGCAAGTAGTCGGTATCTACGCCTGGCCATGTTCATTATCGTCAACATACTCATCTCATCCTGTGCCGTTTTCAGCGTGGTAAGTTAATGTCTTTGATTATGATTTCAACTATTCAGCACTAAATCACTTTCAGATTAACTACTCGCTGCCCGATGAGATTCCATTTGTGGCCAATAACAGCACAAATACCACGGATGTCTTCAGCAACAGCACTTTCCTGGAGGAACCATTAGACATTGCATATGCCATACCCAAAGCACCAATTTTCCTCTTTTGCTGTGCCGTCAGCTTGGCGGCCATATCGGCATTCCTGCGATCTGGATTCATACTCAAACTGATTGCCATGGTGGTCACTCTAATCGGACAGATGATTGTTCTCGGCTATAGCGATCTCTATGTGCAATACAATCTACTCAACTATGATAATGGGTGAGTATTGTTTGTGAATAAGTTAATATAAAAATAACTACGATTTCTTACTCCATCTGATCACATCTTAATATGATATGAGTTGATATCTTCTCGCCAAAATACTGGTATTCCTAAGTAAACAAAAAGTTGTTCATAAATGAAATCATCGTTCGACCAATAGTCTCTATGACAGCTATACAATATAGTGGTCTAATCAGGAGATTTGTCCTTCCCAAGATACAATTATTAATCACTCTTTAAAGTTAAAAAAAAGGTTTAAAAAAGCTTGTGAAATGCAAGTGCACCGCTGCAAGGTTTAACAATTTATTCTGTTGTTCATTTTACAGATTACGCCTAGAAGTGAAGGGCTTTCTGCTGTTGTTGCTCGTGATTGCCGTGTTGCATATACTGGACCGTCAAGGTGAATATGTGGCACGCACTGATTTCCTCTGGAAGGCAAAGCTGAAGGTTGAGCAGGAGGAGGTCGAAACAATGCGAGGCATTAATAAGGTATGCAATTTACGAGTAACGACTCAGCTGTAAAATGTTGCCCATGCATGTGCTATTTTAAAGATTCTGCTGGAGAATATTCTGCCGGCTCACGTGGCCACACATTTTCTACACCTGGAACGCTCTACGGAGCTGTACCACGAGAGCTACTCCTGTGTGGCGGTCATGTTTGCTTCCATACCCAACTACAAGGAGTTCTACGATGAGACGGACGTTAATAAACAAGGCCTGGAATGCCTGCGTCTCTTGAACGAGATCATTTGTGATTTCGATAAGGTAAGCTGACTTTGAGTTGTACTTATAAACTAAGCTTATCTAATCCTTGTGTGTGTATTTAATAGTTACTTCTGAAACCGAAATTCAGTGGCATCGAAAAGATTAAAACCATAGCCAGCACCTACATGTGTGCATCTGGGCTAAGGCCCGGCAAGGAGGATGGCGCAACGGTAAGTTATAACGATAGATCGGTCTAACAATCTATGTATCTGTGTTAATCAAAATCTCTTTAACGCTTTACTAATCCTGTATATAATACAATGCGAATTCCTGGCATGCCGATTATAGTCGCGTAGCTTTGCGGTAAGTCTATTTAAAACAAAAATAATTATAAAGGCATTTATGGTGCTGATAGATTTATCATAGTTTAGATATTATGAATTATCTTCCCAGTTTCAATAAGTTTTTAGATTTCAGGAGCTAAACGTAAACCAAAGATTCCTTGTCAGATTTTATCAATTTGTTGACTAACACATAACATTATATGTTAACATATTTACTAAACAAACATACGTTTTATGTTTGGCTTCAACCACACCTTTTCCCAGTTTAAAGGACTTATCACTGCCATATTATGTACTACATACATATAACAATGTCAACAAAAAAAACATTTGTGCAAAAATTGCAATAGCTGACTGATTTTCATTGATAGCAATTTATTTACTGTTTGAATGCTTCTTAATCTCTTCTTAGAAGTTTAATTAAACTCGTAGCACACGAAGCAGACCCACAACACTTTGTGCAGTCCAACAAAGACCCTTCACATAAAGGCAAAAAAAAGGGATCCAAATGAAGGTGGCCATTGGGCGGGGATTAGCCAAAGTTTAGGCGGCATACGCTCAATTGGCTTTTACTTTTGTTGACCAAACCAATAAAGCCGAATACGACCATAATGAAATACCTTAAAGCCAACTAACGCAATTTTTGTTCGATCTCGTTTCTATTCGTCTGTTTTTTGTGTTTTTTTTTTTTGTGTAGGATGAGAAACGCACCGAGGAGCACAATGTGGTCATTTTGGTTGAGTTTGCAATTGCTTTGATGTCCATATTGGACTCGATTAATCGCGAGTCGTTTCAACGCTTCCGCTTGCGCATTGGACTGAATCATGGACCGGTAATTGCGGGCGTGATTGGTGCCCAGAAGCCGCAATATGATATTTGGAGTAATACCGTCAATGTGGCATCCCGCATGGACTCCTGTGGCGTTATGGGTCGACTTCAGGTAAGACAACTACCAACAATAATAAGGCCTCGGTGACCTGTACTAATTAAAACACCTTAATTCGCAGACAACGGAAAATACAGCTAAGATATTAATGGGCGCCGGATACGAGTGCGAGTGCCGGGGTCTAACCTATGTCAAGGGCAAAGGCAATCTAGTCACCTACTTTGTAAAGACACCATTCGATGGGAAATTGTAAATGGATGCGACCAGTAAAAAACGCAATTTGTTGTTAATTATAATGCTATTTATGTATAGACTATTTTATGTTAAGGCATGTTGTTATTTATTTTTGGATTATTTCATTTTAGACATTTAAAGAATTTTAAGCATTTAATTTGCGTTGCACGTTAGCCATTACTTTAAGTATCTGTTTTAGTTAGTCTTTAGTTGTTATGTAGCACAATTTGTTGACAATTTTATGCGTAGCTCACATAAACAGCGAATAATTAATATATAAAATATTATGCGTATTCGTATCTAGTATAAACATACAAAATTGTGGAAAATTAATTAAAAACAAAAATGAAGCAAATTAGCCCACCCCTAATGAAGTAATCAATAATATATCTAATATAATAGTAATATATAGAAAGCAACCATATTTATTGTGTGCTCCAATAGATTGTGATTATTTGCTAATATATTACTTAGTCAAGTAATATATCGGAACTTCAAGATGACTATGTCGTACTCTATTGGAGCAATGTTTTAATTAGCATAACGTTAACCAAACTATGTGCCATCAAATTTCTAATACAACGGTTAATCTAATTTCAACGACCTCTAGCTAAATTCTGTACCCACGAAATTGTATATATTTTTGTACAATCATTTTTATATTGTGACACACTTTCTAACTATATGTAACACCTTGCTAGACAGCCATTAGAAACAAACTTCTTAGAAGTTATTATACGAAATAAAACCAACAGTGGAATTTTGCAGGGTGTTCTGCAAGGAATCCTAACTGAACATATCCCATCTAATACGCTATACCTCCGAGAAAACAACAATAAAATTTAACTTTCTAAACGTACTCTATGCATATCTTTGTATTTGCCAAAACAAATAACAATTTAACCACAATGTAATCGAAATATTTACGAATGTATTAAATATATTCATTTTGAGTTGAAAATATTATATACGAAAATTAACATTTTTAGGCATATTATAGTTGCACATACATACGATATAGCTTGCTGTGCTTTTTATATGTAATTAAATTATTAAAATAGGTACATTAACCAATTTGTTTGGCTATTAGAAAAGATTTGCTTATAGTTACTCAATAATTTTATCAAATACTATTTATTAAATAATATACAATCAAAGAGTTTTTCAAGTGTTTTTATTATTGAAAAATCGTAAATTGGTAAATTTTTGAATGAGTTATCTATTAGAATTACAATATGTTTAGTCAGTTAGTTAAAGTGCATTCATTTTAGAAGTTCTTCAATTAAGTTCTGTTTCAGATTTGATATATATTGTATATATTGTGGATCTTTCCATCAAACCTTGCATAATTTTTAACATCCATACGATTAATTAGAAAGAAATAATATTCAAAACAAAGACAGCCATAACTTATATTTCTTGCTTAGCACCAAATAATTTTGACTTAACTTAAATTTCTTACCTAACAGTTAATAATTTTGATAATGATGAAAATGCTTTTCATTACGTGCTTCGGTTTTATGAACCTGTCATTCTTGACTACCATGCGATATCACAGGCTGACAACTGAATATAAGAAATTTCTGGGCATTATACCCTATGGAAGGGAGCAACATCCGGTGATTTGTGAATGCGAATATGGATACAAATTATGCACCCTTGCAGCTGGTTATGAACTCCTATATTGGATATGTGTCCAATTTATTTCCGACCGCAATTTCATGAACAACGTGTTCTGGGCATTTAAATTGCCTTGGCTATTCCTCTATCTTAGAGGCTTGGTGTCGATTTTACTAGTCCACTATCAGCTTCTGTCGGAAGAGAATGCCGAAGACTACTTATTCAGTTACAAGCTGCATTTCGTGTGGCATGCGTTTGTCTTCATATTCTCTACATTTTGTTGGCTTAAAGAGCACCGTTTGCCGATGCAACAGCGCGCACATGAGATCTAAAATCATTTCACTTTACGTCGCACTGCTATAAACATATACATACGTATTTGTGGATAGCCGTCAAGTGGTGTCCGGTTACGTGCGCCTTCCATCAGCAAAATTTGAAATGTAAACGTGGCAATGCATTTGACATAGTCAGCACTTATCATCATTGTTGGATTTCTGGATTTGTAATATTACTCAAGTGGGGTCATAAATTGGATTACTCAACGCAGGCGCAGACTCGTACACAATTCAGTCACCCTTCAGGCGTTCATAACTTATGGACTTCAATTTTATTCAAATTATTGTACATACCATTTGTTTTAAATGTTGGTATATGTGATCAAAATGTTATTTTAATGTTTATGAAAATAATACGTATTTTAAAGCATACAAATTAGATACAAAAGCAAGATTAAAAACATACTTAATACTAACGAGATTTCATTAATTGTGTCTAACTGGAATAGTGTTTCTCAGATGGCATCAATGTTAATGAATATACATATATACAGATATTTATATGAACAGTACACAAGAAAAAAATAAACAAAACATGTAACAAATCACAGAAACTAATTCGAACAAATCGTATCTAACAACTAATTCGAGCACACATTATATATACATTCATAATTCGATATATGTTTTTTGTGGAGATCTTCGATTTAAAAGTGGGGCAAACACACTTTGCCTGCGAAAAGCTCCGAGACAACAGTTATCCATAGCGCCAGTACAAACATTATATATGAGATGCCAATTTTAAACGTATTCGGTAATTGGTAGGCCTGTCCGCCAATCTCTTCGATGTGAAATCCGAGGGGAAAAACAACGGCCGCCATACAGAATAGAACCATTGCCGCAAATCCCACCCAGCGTGCATATGGAATAACGTTGCGGTCCCAGGTGCTCGATGCCAGCAATATTATGGTTGTTGTGATGCAGATGCAACCAATGAATATGCACACGAGTGCGATCAGCCATTCGGGCTGCAGATCGGGCGTATAGCAAACTTGTGGCCTGTTGTACAGCGTCATGCAAGTCCACATTAAGCCGAGACGTATATCACCTGAAATTTACCAACAACAAAACATTGTTATTGTTTAGTATCTGTGTGTGTGTGTGTGTGTCGTTGGTATGTATTTTATGTAGCATCTACCAGCTTCCTCAGTAATGATCCAATCGGGCAGCGCCAGACTCACAATGGCAAACACATCGGCGGCCATGAACAGCGTGGCACTTATTGTTGTTAGTTTGTCCATATTTATTGCACAAATTTCACTTTTTTATTCAGTATATGTTACTTTCTTATTGTTTCTGCTCTAGAGTTGGCAGTGTGACCACATTTGGTGAGCACGAAAATATTTAGGTGCTGCCAACTCTCTGCCAAAAGAGAGCTGCCCACTCGAAAGCAATTAATCGATAGCCAATTATGATAGTTGCCCGGTGTTTTCAAACTGTCTTGCAACAAACTAAAGTTGCTTGTGCCTGTTTTATAAATAATAATAAATTGCAACTAATGATGCTTGATTAAGAAGTATATATCTTTGATATCTGCATTCAATCCAAATAGTGTTGTAATTATTTTTTTACTGAAAACATGTGTGCATCTTGATTATAGTGAAAGTTACATACAATTAAACGTTGTCATGTAAAAACAAGAATCTTGTTAGTTTGAATGTAAGAATGTAAGAATTTACATAGCTAACCGCCTCTCTCTACAACTCTTATCGATGTTAATATTTAATCGCTAATAAAACCAGGACAAATAAATTGTATTCAAAAGTTTGTCCGCAACTCGACCACTTAGCCCAAGAGCGCCTCAGGTGTTGCCAAGGCATTTGATAAACAATTACAATTACGCTTAAAGGAATTATAGTTTGCCATACTCGAATAAATGCGGCCAGCGGGTGCCGGTAAATGGAGAAGTGGACAGGACATACACAAACTAAGCTGACGTGTCCTTAGCTGTGGACAAGCACCTTTAATACCGCTTGTGTCATACGTGTACTATTACTATTACGTACAGCCCAAGGTGTATTCGTATATCTTTACTGTCCTATCTAACGGATGGCTCCAAAGCAGAACCACATTATAAGTAATTCTTTGTAAATACTTTTGATTTTCAGTGCGCAACAATTATCCGGCCTGTTGTCGGAGGCGTTGTGCATACTGTTAACCGCAACCCATACACATGCAACCCATATAATGTTATTAGCTATGTGTACATATTTGCTGTTGCACTCATTCAGTTTTCGACTGTGCAACGAGACGCTTGTTCAGCCAATAAAGCGGTTTGTCGGCATCGGCATCGGCCAACTCAAATTTCGTCGCGACAGCTTAGCCTCCAGCACCGAAACCGAAATCAAAGTCAAGCGAAACTCCTGTCAAAAGGGAGTTTGATTGTTTATTGTTTATATGCGCTTTGGGTTTACGAGTCGTGATTATAAACAAACCCAATTATGCTTAATCGCCTCATTTTGCTTACTAAGAACTGGACACAAAAAAAAAAAAAAACAAATCAAGTTATTGTACATATAAATACAAAATTATTCATTTGATATTCGGCTTACAGTTCAGTATCATTGAAAAAATAAAATATTTGGGAATCAAATAACTCGATTCTCTTAAGGTTGCCGCAATTTGATATTAATTCAAAACAACACAGTGAAGCTGAAATTGAAATGATCTTTGAAGTTTCCATTACGTACCAGAAACTTAATCCACAAACACTTTCTTATGTAAGGGAACATTTAAAAAATGACTAAAATTTTCACAAGTCAATTTTGTTTAATTTTTTTATTTGAGTAATTGTCTTTACTTGTAGTATTAATGTCCTAACGTACATTCATTAGATGCAACTCATCAGCTCCTGAAAACGCTGACGTGGCAAATTTGCTGCGACTGTTAATTGGGTTGCCGCTTATGTAGTGTACAAAATGTGATTAGGAGCGCAGCGAAAAATCAAAATTGTCCAGGTTATTCTATACACGTAATTAGAACCCAACTATAATAATACTATTTTCAGAAGCTTTTATTTATATCTAGGGGTTGACTAAATATATAAGTTTAAATATGTCAAAATGATTCATACCTAAAAAAAAGCTAATTTGAATCGAACTATCAAATCTTATTGACCCTTATTAATTCGCACAGCATCAATATTTCTTAGTTAGAGCTGATTAACACATCCTTTAATATAAATAATTATTTTATATAGTATTTAACACAATATTAGTAAAGTCAAGAGACAAATTTCACAAATTATAATTAAAATAATTAAAATGTTCGATGTCCGAATTAATGGTGGACAGTATTAATTTGTCGAACGTTGCAATTTTTAGCACGGTTACCAGTAAGCCTCAACAGCCATTATCTGAAAACTGACAACGTTTGGTGAATCTAATGTATACAATAATCAAATGTTATAAACAATTAATATATGCTATAAAAGGCAAAGCATGGAGAACCGTGGGCACAGTTGTCAGGGCGACTTGGCCGCAGACGAATCTCATTCTCATTTTGGGTCTGAATTGGAGGCTTGTGTGGCTCAGGAAATAAATAACACGGAACTGGCCAACAAAGACTCCGAGTCCGACGTGGATTGCACAGAGCCAACTGAAGATATGTAAGTAATTGAATATAAGCTCTCTCCCATAATCATCATTAGTAATTTGTCAGAAATCACAAGGATACAGAACCACATAATGAGTATAGGCGAGATGATCAAGAGTTGAATTCTGCACAGAAATCTAAGCAACGCGAGGACAGGCCACTCGTCTTGGAAGAAAGGCATTCGCTTTCTATGTAAATTTGCAAGCAAAATTTGTCAATTAGAGTGCACAAATTGTGGAACTACCGCAGTCCACAATTCTCTAACAATTCGTAAACATTTTCCAGAGCTGAAACAAAGAAGCGCCGTGCCAGAGTCCACTCCAATGCGCATTTGTTTATACCCAAGGAGTTGGCTCGCAGTCAACTAAATCGGCGTAGTTATTGCTCATCTGTGAACACTCTGGATGGAATTAGCAGGAACAGCGACTACTGCATTCGAATGCTTAAATTTCCCGTTGGATCGGGCCGTGCACGTTACGTTGCAGAGCAAATGAAGAGGAGAAAGAGCAGAAAATCACAGAAGTTGCAATTGGAGGAGGAAAAGGAAGCAACAAATGACATGGGATGCATTAAAAGTGAACTAAATGCCCAGTCGTTGCTAGAATGCAATGCTGCGACTGAACAATTTGATGAAATATTGGCATCGAGTAGGTCCAGTGTGGAGACAGAGAATCCGCACCTAAATCGACTGGAAAACGGTAACGATTGTTTCATTGCACTCGAGGATACCACTGATGAAACTGAGAATGAAGAGGATGGTACGGAAGAGCTGATTGAGCGCTTATCCAAGCGCCAGTTGAAGAGAGATGCGCGTTTGCAGTTGAAGTGAGCAAAATATTTACAGACATGTTTCTACAAAAAGTAATAACGATTATTTGCAGGCTGAAGGACAATAAGCAACAGGAGCAGCTACATTATCAATGCTTTCGTTGGCATAATCCCAGCTGCAATGATAAGGAGACTAAAATGAGTGCTTTGAAGGACTTGGAGCGTATCGGCTCGTCGGCCAATTTTGAAGTTCAAGAGGACTTTAATGATGTAGTAGCAACAGCAGATAATGAAGAGCATCAGCAGCAACCACAACAAGTGACAGAATTACTTGAATTATCAGACGAGTCTGTAAATAAATTACCGGAATTCCTGCCTGATGTGAGAGTAACAACACAAAGAGAGAAACAACTGCAACTGCAAGAGCACATATCAAATGAATTATCAGACAAGCCTGAACATAAATTGGACAAATTCCTGCCAGATATTAGAGTAGCAACTCAACACCAAGAAGATGAACAGCAGCAGCAACATAACAAGTCTATTCAGGCTGTTAGCATACCGAGATCAGAGCATCTTCAACAGCAACAACAACTCATTACTGATGTGCCACCAACAACTATCAACAACTATCGTACATTTGAGGCGCAACCTGCAGACTTGACAATGCGACGACTTTGTTTGCAGCCAATAGACACTAGGGACATGTTGCAGCTACACAGCGCCAACACCAATGCTGGCAATAATGTTCTCAACGAACACTTGCAACAGCCTTTCGTGGAGCCATCGGATTTGATGCAGCCATGGCGGATGCAGCAATACGAAAGGCTCGTGTATCGGCCACCTGCACCACAGCAACAGTTGTCACTTGCCATACAGCAGCAGCAACAGGTACTAATGCGAGAGCAACAACTTCAATCGATTTATCAAGAGCATCAATGGGACGAATGTCGAGAGGAACTGCAAAATCTCAACGCACAGTATAAGACATTAAAATATAAGGAAGCTGAGCAGCTGCAGGGCTTAAGCAAATCACTCAGTGAGCTCTATGACAATCGACTAATCAGAAAGCGGCGACATGATGAATATCATAGAACGTTTCTGCAAAAAATGGAGGAGAGTAAAAAGCAAGAAGAATGTCTTCACGTTCAAAAGCATAAGCTTAAGTTGCAAATACAGGCGGATCTAAGCAGCTTACACCAGCGTATTACTAACAAAAATCGTGAATTGCAAGAACGGGCATGGCAATGTCAACGACAACAACAGCTTCTTCACCAACAGCACCAGCAACAGGAGCTCGCATACAGGCAACACCAACAGCACCAGCATCAACAGCAGCTGCATCAACATTTTCTTCGGCATCTGCAGCCGCCACGCAGGCCACCGCTAATGCAACCACCCCCAATCCCACCACAATCAGTTTATCATCCACATTGCATTGAAACACCAGTGGCACAAAGCTTTGACGAATGCATTATGCGACGTCAGCGCTTCATTGACCCGACACATCAGCCATTTCAGCAATCCAGAGCGAATGTTGCCATAAATCCAAGTAGGGGTTACTACGACCATTTGACAGTCAGGAGCGATATTCCGCACTTTACACTGCCTGAGTTGCCAATCGCAAGTGGCACGACTCAAGTGAATCGAGCGATTGAGCAAACTGCAATTACGTCCATTATAAGCAACTACGTCACAAATTTTTTGAATGATACGGAAACAACGCATCGATAGATCAGTCTGGAAAGAAGAATGCTATTTGTGATCTTTTACTTGCTCTTACTTAAGATATTAATAGGAATTTTAAATGAATAATTCTCAATTAGTAAATATTACTGTGAGACATAATAGATCCTTTGGTTTATTAAATATTTTTCAAATATTTCAGATTTTTGTCTGCTTAAATATATTAAATTTTAGTTAAATAAACCTAACAAAATTGCTTACACTAAATATAATGATTGGTTTAGTTGGAAATTTGGTCTTAAGTTGAAAATATACACTTTATTGGCATTTGTTTATTTAACTGTATACATTTTTCTGACTGCACCCAAACGCACTCCTGGATGCCTAAAGCAACAGCACGGACAGGACATCCACTGCCGTAGCCATGCATCACATATCCATTATCATTCCCATTCCCAGTTCCAAATCCATTTGTATTTCTCTTCCCATTACCATTATTATTTCCATTGAAGTTCACATTCGGATTCGCGTCAGATGATTCTCTAGACGGCATTGGCAGCCAGTTGCTTCTAGAGTGCTCCAAACTATTGCTGTTATCATGCTCTCTTTGAAATGCTGGGCATTTGGAAGAAACTGTTGGTTGTAGGAATGGTGTATTTCGAGGTGATAATTCAAGATTCACACTCTGATGTTCGCGATCTTCGTAATGATGTCGTTGATAGTCGAATGGGCATGGCATTGCCCCAAGTAGATGCTGTTGTAGAGGACATGCCTTGGGCAATGATTTGCGCTTGCGTAGGAGTTAGGATTTGAATGAGGAAAGTAGGGATTCTGTTCGAATTACGCTGACAGGGTAGACTGAACCGCAGCAACGGAACAACTTGATGATCCTGTGTAGCAGAGATTTGTTGTAGCTGTTTTTGTTGCTGCTGCTGTTGCTGTTGTTGTTGCTGCTGTTGTTGCTCCTGGTGCTGCTGCTGGAGCTGTATTTGTTGTGGCGATAACTGTATTGGCAAAATAGTTTGGTACTGACATAAAGGTGGCGGAGGTTGATTTAGATATTGACTGGTTGGAGTTGTTGCTGAGCTGATATTATTAAAGCAAGCCGAAATCTACTTATCGTGTGCAACCGAACTGCAAAAGGTGTTAGAGGTTGCTAATTGACCTTGTTGTTGATTTACTTTGGTTGTCTTATACGCACATTGGCCGGAAAATTGTGGCTTAGCGCTGGGTTTGGCTGCTGTTAGATCAAATGATGTCTAAAGCCATCCAAATTATAATAATGGGGAATTGGCACATTTCAGTCAAAGAACAGTACCTCGTTCTTATGCAGTGCTGATAGCTTTCAGTGCAACATTTTAAGTAACAATTCTCTATCTACGTACTTGCTCATTTTGAATACATACATACTTACACACACTTGGATCTGGACTATTTTATTGTAGAAACTGTCAATATATTTTTAGCGAAGAGTTACAGTGGTATACATTGCGGTCGGGTGGCAACGCTGGCAACAGATCTAACAGCAGCAAAAGCATTACTGGAATAAGAAGAGTTGTAGAAGAACAGCAGAACAAAAGAGTCGAGTCCTAAAAGAGCAGTGTTATTAATAATAAACGGGACATAATCACTCTTACATATATACTCAACATATACAGTGTCTCACAGCTTATTTCGGCAGTGTCTAGCAAAAATTTTAATTGCCTGCCATAAACTAATAATACAATATATTTCAAAAATTCCAAAGACCTATGGCAGGTACATATATTAATCACCATAATGACTATATGACCCCCATATGTATGTGCATTAATCAATATATGTATATGTGCATTAATGTAAAATTCATTTTAAATTGAAGGCTCTGAATTTGTTGTAATTTTAAATGACACTTTGTTCATAAGTTGCATTTAAATTTCATAGATGAAAACGAAAAATTGCTACAGTTGTTTAACATTCTAAATATTTTATGCTGCTTGCTAAAAATATAATCCTTTTAAAAAGTATTTAAATTATTGTGTATTTTGACAAACAAAGTCAACATTTACTATTTTGCTTAGGGAACCAGGTCTTTATGCTGAAGCTTGAACATTATCAAAATTCAGATGTAAGATATAAGAAATAAACAATTTATTTTCGGATCCCAAAAAATATATTAAATGTCGACCAAAGAGGATGAGCAAAACAATACAAGCCACAGCTTCATAATTCTTGTGGACGACAATGGCCAGTTCAAAGTAAGTCCCAGTAACCATAGCAAAGAGGAGGTCAATATGCAAATAGACAAGCAGAAGATCGGCACTGAATCTCGGAAAAAGTCGCGTCGTGGTAAACAAAGGATACGCATAGCGCTGCTTGAGGATGTTGACAGCAGCTCGGAGGAAGAGCTGAATGAGAGTAACATGACCGGAACTGATGCGCAGTCTCTGAAGACGATGCATGATCAACTGGTCAAAATGCACAACGAGAGGCTTAACGTCAAACCAAGCTTTATGGTGCTGGAGGATGCTCTGGTGGGAAGGCACATGGAAGAAACGCTGCAGAGCCACTGCAACCGTACCATATACCGCAATCATGCAGAGCAGCAGACATCGCCATGCGACATTGGTGCCCATACTAGCTCCCAAACCGATGAGTTTCCGCTGCACAGCGCCGTGCGGTCCAAGATGCTCCAGGGACACAACAGAGGCTGTCAAGCGACAGATGCGAATTTGAAGCTACCGGATTGTAGTATTTCCAATAGTTCTGTCAAAAAGAATCTAATTGCGTCGTCAATGCGTCACTTCAGCCAATTGTCCAACAAATTGAACCAGCACCACAGAACTAATCAGGCACAGGCAGAGAGTGTGGGAGCAGCATCTGCACCAACACATGCCACAACTAATAACACTGTGCCACACTTAACGATTAGCTTTATGGCACCCAACTCACAAATGGCGACTCAGCAGCAGCAGCAGCAACCATTGTTGTCAGCGGCACCAGCAATTGGTCCGAATAACAATTGGAGCTCTTCATCAAATACCAGCAACAAGTCATTATTGCCAATATGCCAACTTTCCGCAACCACAGGTGCAACAGCAGCAATACCTGGGAGCACCAGCAGCTTATGGCAACTGTTGCAGCAGTTGCTGCTTGCTGAGGCCAACGTCAACACAGACTTCACTCGGCTATTGTCACCCGCCAGGAGTGGCATCTTATTGCAGTCATCATTTGCAGCAGCCAACACAGCTGTATCCCACAGCAAGGTTGCCTCAACAACGTATTAACAACTGCTATTATTATCCGGTGCAGTGCCATTGCCAGCGTTATAAAGCCTTCTACGATAATCAACAGCAACAACAGCAGTTGCTGCACGATCAATGTATATTCCCTGCAGACAGGATCAGCATGGACTCACCACTCGCCTCTCTCTCGCTTCCCAAGCAAGTGGAAAAATCAGAACAAAAATCAACATTTCGAGCCAAAACTTTTGATCCACAGGAAGCAACATTTCTGACCAAGCACAAGCAGCCAGAATATCCAAATAACTTGCCACAATAAAACCACAAGCAGATCCGAAAATTGAATTGCTTTAATTATTTAATAAGAATGCTACTTTTGTTGGTTCCTTTTATTGTAATTTGGAATCTTGCTTGGCCCAAAATTCAGCCAACCGATAGGCATATATTGTATGCTATACTTGTCTAAGGTTTTCATATAGAAATCTCTTGTAATTTTTCTAGGCTTTGTATTCTCTTCATTGAGTTCTTGGTGCTGCCTCAGTGATTGCTCTTTCTGTTCATTTGGATAATCAAATGATTGTTTTTGCTGTTTCAAAACCTTTTGTACTCGTTGCTGTTGTTGATCTTGTTGTAAACTCTTAAGCAATTTTGCATATTTTTCATTTTTTTCGCTCTGTGCATATAGCTGTGGTTTCAACTCTGACTGTGGTAACTCTCGGAGTTTTTGCAGATACTTTTGCTTTTGCTCTTGTAGCACTTTCACTTGCTGCGAAAACGAAATACTTGGGCTAGTATTGCACTCATGTAATTTATGGAATTCAAATTTGGAGTTCGGTTCAACTATATCACGATTATTATAAGGATTATCAGATTGATTTGGATGAATGCAAGAATGAATATTAGTACGATTTTGATGTAATATAATCCTTGGCGTCTCATTATTGTGAGAATAGCCAGATTTAGGATTTGAACTCGCAGTGGGTTTTCGCAACTTCAAAACAGTTTTCTCTTTTTTTTCTCTTTGCGAGTTAGATCGAGAGGACGCCCAAGGATTCGGATAGGCACTGGCCTTTAGGGAAGATTCAGGTTCAGTCATTAACGGTCTTTTGGATTGGGCGTTGTAGGTTTTCTGGAATTCCGAGCGTTTTGAGTTAACGTTTTTCATTTGCGGCAATTTCGATTGACTTGATTTCACTTTATGTCGGTCATTGAAGCTAATAGGAGAATTATCTACGTCTATTGTTTTACTAGTAGGTACCGAACCGAGCTCTGCTCTGTCTTTTGGTAATACTTGCTTCTTGAACCATCGATTACTGAGATAAGGTTTTAAGTTTTAGTTAGTTGTGTATGAATATTTCTAGCTTGTCACTTATCACCTCTCTGGTTGACATATGGTGTCCATTCTTCCACTGTGGTGGCTGTTCTTTTGATGTGGTACGGGTAATTCTGGATTTTGGGACTCACCTCTGCAGTTGAAAAATATTATTTATTATTATCTTTAACAGAAAATGTACAAAACCAATACTAAACATTGATTAAGATTCAAGTTTGTGTTTATGTAGCAAATCGCATCACGTAAGCGAAATTACGCTTAATAGCTTATTATATTGTTGTTATATTTGTTAGTTTTACAACTCTTACTTACATCGGCTTCTTGAGACAAAAGTTCTTCATATTTGAATTTGGGTTGAGTTGCAAACCATTAACAATATTAATTATTTTATGCTTTTGAGCCATATCTACAGATTCTTGGTCTTTAGATTGAAGTGGTTTCCGAAGTGGCCGAGAGATTTGGTGCCCATTTTTAACATTTACTGGTAATCGAATGTAATCTAACAGATCATTAAAACCATGCGATTTTTTGGCTTCCGCGGCAATTTTGGCCTGCCTGGGCTCTCTAGGTATAAATTCTGAGTTAGCATTTGGCGTTTCGTACTCTCGCTTTGATTTAATATTGGTGGACCTATCTTTTGGCTCATATGGGTAACTTTTACAATAATCAGACCCTAATTTTATTTGTGCTCCTCCATCAACTGCATTACCACCTTTTGAACTCTGCAGCTCACCTCTCTGGCACTCCTCGTTCCTATGTGAAATGCTTTGCCTTGGTATCCCGATTAGTTCAGAGCGAGTGTTTGATTTAGTTTTAGACTTTGACTTATGAACTACCTTCGTCCGGGGTCCGTAGCCCAAGGGTCGCACAGTGATGCCCCATTTTCTTGCGGATGCAGATGGTAATGCAGCTCTTATCTTTACTGGAATTGGGGGAAAACCTGTCTGAACCACGGCATTGTTGCTGGTGGGAGGTAACAAGGTCTTTAATTTGAGTGCGTCTCGTTGCATATTCATGTGCACGATACCCCAAGGATTACGCACACATATTGAGGGGGGTATGCTAACTCTTATGGGAAAATTACACTCAAACCTTTATCAAGAAAAAGATGACATATTTTGTAAACGATAAACTGAAGCAGTCTCGTCCCAATACTACTTACCAAATATCATTGTTTTGTTTGCACTCAGGCACAGCAACTCTCATTGGGTATGGATTTTTCACGTTGCGCTTCCGTCTAATCTTTCGCACCGGCTTTTCTGTCCTTGAACATTGTGTCTTCATATCAGTTTGGATTTTCTTTGGCAGAACCTTTTTTCCATTCACACTGGATCGGAAAATGTGGCTGCAAGAGCATGACGTAATTTTACTTAAAAAGTCCTTTTTATCTGTATTCCATACTTCGGAAATTGAATTCCTTTGAATTGGTTCTTTCTTTGACGTTAACTTTAATGGTACTAAATTATCTGATCTAATTGGATGATTCTTATTTTTTTCTAATCCTGCCTTTAATCTAATCTGTGCTAAAGTCTTGAAGTCTTTTCGATTAAATATGTCTTGAATCACTGATGCTTTTGTGGATGTTTCTAATATCTCATTTTTTAACGATTGCTCTGTTGATCCTATCAGCTTATTGTTGCTATCGCTTCGATCGTTCATCTGCTTATATAGTTTATCCCTGGTTGAATTTGTATGCCCTGAGCTTTGCAAATCACTATCCTGACGTCCCACCCGATGTGACTTCAACAACACAGAGTCATCCGTTTTTATGTACTCCAAATTTTGAGTCGATGCAGATATACCTTCCAGCATTTTTAGGCTTTCTCCATCCACTAAGCTGTAAAACTTATGATTTTCCCTTGCCTTTTCCTTCATGCATTGACATGAATACTGAGAGCCATAGCAATTACAGCTTCTACGTAAACAGCAACATCTTCCATTGAAATTATACATTTCTTATTAAATAAATCTAAATAAAAACAATAATTGGCTTGGTTATTGTTTTTAATAAGAAATCTGTAATTTAAACGGAATGCGTTGTCAATCTCATTAAGGAAGCAACACGTTTATAATTCGAAAGGGACAAAACTACAAAATTTGAACCCCAATCTGTGAAATTATTTCAACGATTGACAACATTTTCAATGCGTTAAAGAAAAAGTTTTAATATCTTTGAAAACCTAATTGATTTATGCTTAAAGAACAAAAACTAAACTCTGCACACGTTTTATTTCTGAAAGCCTTATCTATTTTGACAATTTATATACTTAAGTTTATGCGTAAGCGACATTAATAAAATATTTAACTTGAAATGGAAGCCTTGATCGAATTGGATTTTCTTTTGGATAACACTCTCCGTATGTGAATCAAGCTTGTAATGTAGCATACTTTATACAAAAGGTCGTCGTTGCAATCCGTTTTCACTGTACAAAGCACGTTACGTTACGAACTCCTTTTGGCGCATCTTTGTTGGCCTCCCCCTTCAGCGACCCTGCCAGCAGCGTGGCATCATGAAATGCATCCGAGCATAGCGTTTCCTGCAACACGGTCGATGGCAATGAATACTTGGACACGTTGCCTGCTGCTGGTATTGTTGCTGCTGCTGGTATGGTAGTTGCTGCTGCTGGTATGGTGGTTGCTGCTGGTATTGTTGCTGCTGCTGTTGCTGGTATGGTTGTTGCTGCTGGTACGACTGGTGCTGCTGCTGGTATGGTTGTTGCTTCTGGTACGGTTGATGCTGTTGGCATGGTTGCTGCTGTTGTTGCTGCCACTCCTGCTGACATGCTTGCTGCTGCTGGTACGATTGCTGTTGTTTATGTTCCATACTATATTGAGCAGGTATGTAAAAGCATTGTTGGCTCTGCACTGCAGCTCTAGATGCAGCATCACAGTACTGACAGTGTGCCTCTCGTGCTTCGGTCGCTGCCTGTTGTAAGGCATGTAAGTCCAAGCCCATTACGGGTGCTGGCGCCATCAAATATTGTACATCTGAATTACTTGGACACTGCACGGGTGGAGCTATCGTTGCGTCTTCGTTATCCAATGCAAGTGATTCTCTGCCACAATCTGTACGCGTTTGCTTATTTGACTCTACATGTGCATGCCCCTTGACTTGTTGTATCTTAGATGCACCAGATACCTTGTTTAGTTGCACTTGCACCTCTGATATTTGTAACTGTGCCCGATTCATCTGGTTCTGTAGCTGCTGGGCAAGTAGTTCGGTTGGGCCATTCGAGGATGTCTGCTGGTGATGACAGCACATTATGAAGGAAGAACTCTGATTGGGGGAATTGCTTAATTGTTGCTGTGACCTAAAAGTCGGCCTTTTCCAGGCACATTCATGATTGTTAAGTGAATGCTTGGGGGCACAACAAGTGCATGAGTTGATGGCACAATTTCTGTCTTGTTCCTGTTGGTAATCAGGTAAGGAAAACTCTGTTGCTGCATTCCAATGCCTGTCCCGATTTGCCTGCATTTCCATTTGATTCCCCTCATTACAGTCGATGCTAATAGCAAAAAAGAAACTAAATCATCGAAAATACATCGATACTGTTTCATTTAATAAATAAAGTTACCTTATAAAATGTTGCTCGGTCACCTTACAGGCAGCAACCATATTCTCATCATTGAACAGGGAGCGACTCGCCGCTGGATATTGACCATGATAGCATTGAAGCACTCTTGGAAGCTTACACTTAAATTCATCAAATTTGGAATTTTTTGCAACAACTGTTTTCATTGCAGTATTATTATCTTTGGACTCAATTGCGCCTGCAACAGCTAATCCAGCATCGTCTTGCTCGCTGTTAGCAGGATCATCTTCAGCTGCTTCTCCTTGCGACCCAAACAATCTTAAGCTTTCATTCGGCGGTTTCTTGATGTTTGGGGTAACAGAAGGGGAACTGTGCTTTGATTTGGAATGCACCATGATAAGCGGCATCCTATTCGATTGCAATAACATTGCTGAACCTTTAATCATAAACTGGTTGGCTTGTTGGTTTTTTGCAACGTTGAATGGTGTATAAGTTTCAGCGTTGGACTCATTGTCTTCATCGGATTGTGAGGCAGTTTCGAATCTATTTACCATGGATGGTAACTTTATTACAAATTTATTGCTATTATACCACGGTTCCCTTAAATTATGCACCATATCAGGAGATGAAGAAGATGCGGCTGTTGGGTTTCTCGCCTTCGGTAACAAGTACTCGTTTCTCATTATCGAATTACGTGGACGACACCATCCAGATGCTCTGTTCCTGATAGTACCTTCAACAACACGCAATCGGTTGCCATGCCCGACAAAGCTTTCGTTCCAAGCCCGACTGCTGGTTTCTGTCTTATGAAGTCGTCTTTGGCACTTCTTTGCGTACTCCGATGCCGCAGTGTACCACATGGGGCTGCTTCTTCGTGCCTGAGTTTTACGCATTTTGCTGGAGGCATGCAACCAATTCAACAATACTTCCGTTCAAATTAATTTGTTGACATATTTGAAAAGTTTCTATTTACAACTTTGATTGACAAAAAAGCGTAACTGTTCAGAGACTTTATGGTTGTCAGAAAATCCGTCGGTTGTCTTTTGAAAGATATAAAATATTGATAAGAAACCAAGCAATTATCTAGTAGATTGAATTAGTTGGTGATTTTGATTAATGAGACATTCTTTAGCATTTTATCTTCAGTTACTATATGTTATAGTGTATATATATACACACGTATAGACAGGGACTATTTTTAAGGCTACACAGTTATAACAGCATCTGAAAGGAGTTGGGGAAACCGAAAGAAACCGACTTTGATATAAACATCAAATATTTGTTTTAAGTTTTGAGTAAATTTTACGTTAATGATTTTACGATGATAATCTAAATGGACGAAGAGATATTAAAATGTGTGAGCCTTGTACGGAGAAGTGAGTCCTTTAAAAGTACTAAGACGTCGTTTACATTTTTTAACATGGTATTCATTTTCCAGTTTTTTAAACTGTATTGATTGCTGTAACTGTTGCAATGGATGGTAACTCAATATTCTTTTCATTGTAATTCCTATCTAAATCTATTGCTCCGCATTATTTTAGTTGCCAAGAGACTTGTAATGTATTGTGCCGCCCTGGGCTTCAGCGTGAAGAGAAATTCTCAAATATGATAGTTCCAAATTTTCTGTACGATCGTACAAAATCTAGAGGGAAACAGGAACCAAATAATAAAAATCGAAAGGTTTCAAAGAATAGTAAAAACAAAGACAATGAGCAAGGAAGGAAAATATGTTCCAATGATAATAGAAAAAATGTGGATTGCCAAACACCTGTAGCCTATGCCATATGTCAAGACCCACCTTCTGTTCTTAATGAAAACCCAAAGATTTCAAATAATGCTAAATCTAAAGATAAGGGATTTAATAATGAGAAAGAGAAGGAAATATGTGCCAATGGTAATGCAAATATTGTGGATGAACAAAGACCTGTAACTAATCCAATATGTCAAGACATCGCTTTACCTAATATTGGAACATATCAAAATTGCACTGCTAACCCGACGACAACTGTATTCCAAGCGCCCGACGGATCCACTATAAGAATTGAAAATGTACCATCATGCTCTGTTTATCCTGGAGTGATAAGCCCAACCAACCAGTTGTCTGGTGTGAATATGCAATATGGTGCAGCAAATCAACTCCCACCGCGGCTGTGTGATATGCCAGCGGCTGGACTACCCAGCAAGCAGACTGCCAAGTTTGATCCGTGTACGGGCAGAGAATTACAGCAATTACAGCCACAGCCAGGGCAGCAGGGACACTATTTTCCGTGTGCTGCGCCAATTGGACAAATGCCTGGCCTTTTTCCCTGTTTTTATCCCAATTTACAGTGTTTTCAGCCTCCCGTAAATATCCTTCAAAGTCCAAAGGAAAAAACGACGTTCCCTGCTGCCAGTGCTCCATCTAAAGAATATCCAGAAAAATCAGCGTACTGTGATGCCGGTGCCCCACCGCAAGAATATCCGCGACAAACGCCGGGCAGTTCTGGTTGTGCTCCTCCATCGCAAAAATGTCCAGGAGGATCCAATACCAAAGATATGAATAGAGTTGACAAGCCCAGCCCAAAAACTCAAGTGAAAGACAACAAAGAACATGATTTTGGGGTTAAAGGTAAACACAATTGTACAGGTAAAACGAAGAGCAGCACGAACCCTGAAATTGTTAACTGCTGCAATGCCACCCCGGATCTTATCGAGCGGTGAGTTCTATGTCATATCGAATTTTAATAGAACAACAATGCAAATGAAATATATAAATAGCCACTGTCTGAAGACTTATTGCTCATGTAGATTTTTTAATTGACAGCATTTGCAAGTCGTTGCAAGTTCCTCGTCCACCGGATAGCTGCTACCTTTTACTGCCAATTAACATGTCTCCAAAGTCCGATAAGTCGGAGGAATCAATACCCAAAAGCAAGCGGCCGAAGAAGACGGCAAGCAAAGACCGGATCACCACTTCTGACCAGAATGCCAACAATGAAGAGAACTCATCTAAGCCAACTCGCAACTGTGGCTGTAATACATTAATCAGTGGAAAGTAAGTATATTTCACAACTCATTGTGTACAGTTGCCTATGCCCAAAAATACTCAGGTTAACTTAATTCGTAGCATTGAGGACAAGTCGCAAGCAGCACAACCAAAAAAGGACGATGCGAACTGCTGTGCATCTAGCAGCAATTCCGGCTGCAACTCCTGCTGCTGTTGCTGGCCACGTTACTCCTACTACTATAATCCCTATACTTGCTGTTATTGTTGGTATAAGAATCGTTGCTGCTGTGGTGGGAACACTTGCTGCAATAGCTCCTGCAACCACTGCTGCTCCAACTCTTGTCCTACGCCCGCACAATCATCGAATGCAAACTTAGAACCGGATGCCAGCAAGTCAAATAAGCAACCCAAATCAGAGACAACAAGTAAATCAGCCTCAGAGAATGAAAAGCGGATCGCTGGAGGTGCCACAAACTCATTTGTGCCGGAAATCCAAGTCCTCTATGATAAATGGATGGAATTTAATGAGCATGCGTTCAATGCCAGCCAATTTCCAACGACAGCTACAAATTCTGTTCCATTTTATAACCATCCGTCTCAGTTTCCATTTTATACAGTGCAGCAGCAGCAGGATGGCAGAAACTACGGAACGACGTCTCCAATGCAAAATAAGCCGCAACAAAAACAAGCAACGGACTTTAACTGGGTGCCACTTTAGTGGTTGTTATTGATTAAGTCAAAATTATCAATAAATTCGAGAGTGCAAAAGAAGTTGATTAGGATGGAAAATGAAATAAACTAACCAGAGCTAAAAAACTATTGATTGTTTCGAATGACAAACCTATGCGCAATAATACTATAGAAGTATTAACCCAGTTTTATAAGCCCTGTTTTATAACTTTAAGTACAAGTCAAAAAGTGTAAAGTCCTGGCCAAATTTGATTGAAAGCTTTCAGCAATCTGCAGAAGTGGATTTCTACGATATAAAGTTTGTTGATTTTAATTTCAAATCACTCGATTGGTGCCACCTGTTGTAAGTGCTCATTATCGATCAAAATCATCAGTTCAATTATTTGTATTTCATGGTATTTTTATTAGTTTTTAAATTTTAATTTTTTTTTTTTGTCTGTATATCATACATATTATCTTATTAAATTTGTGGGCTTTGTAAAAAACTTAAGTTTCTTTAAAATATGCTTGACATAAATTATTATTATTTGTTTTAATGTTTGTGTTGATTGTTTAAGGGAAAACCTAACTAAAAACTATGAACATAGCACATTTTAAATTGTTTGTGTTGTGCAGCCATAAATATACGCGTATTGTATGCACAAAGAAATATCGAAATGACATTTGTTAAATGGAAAATTTTGATTATATAATAATAATAGACATATAAATTATGCGAACAAACCTATTGAAAGTTGCCTGCACCTATATGCGATTTCGTAACATAATTTAAACTGAGTTTGGCTTGCATTCTGCCCATAAACATTGCTGATTATCCTTTGTTTCGTGTATGTAATTAATAAATCGAAACATGCCTATATATATATATATTTTGCGTGTGTATATATATATATATATAGATGTATATATATGTGTATGTTTACATTATTCATAACTTAAAGACTATATGAGCGTCGAGCGCAGGCGCATTTATAAGCTTTAACAAAAATTATATTTAAAAAAAGAAACAAAAACTACGCACGTACTCGCATATCAAAATATTTACATTGGACAACTGTCAGTTTGGTTGTCAGTTTAAAAGTTGCTCAAGTCTCGACTAAGATTTTGCACTTGAAACGATCTGTTGTTATTTCTTTAATATTACTTGTAGCTTTGTGTGTAGATCTGTGTGTATGTGTGTATAGAGTACTCGTAGTTTTTCTTTAATCACATGTTGTACGCTCAACTTAAATGGGGCAAATAACTTAAGGAATTGTCGACAATGGATGTGTGGATTGCTCTCTCTTTCTCTCTAGGCATTCTCATCGGTTACATAGATGTATCCATGCTGCTGTAATATGCTCAAGCGTTTCTCGACGGCATCGCGATCTGTAAAGGCAAGATTAAGATTAGTTGTAGGTCAGCCAACCACAAGCAGTAGAAACTACTTGGTTACTGCTCTTATTTGACGTACATTTATTCAACAGCAATTTGTCCTGTGGATGATTGCACTTTTGCACCAAAGAGTGGAGCAAAATGTGTGCAGTATTGTAGCGTTCAAAGCAGTTCTTCGTATTTTTGAGAAGCTCATCCAAAGCAGCCGCCTGACACTGTAAAGCCAACGTGAAACACAATTCGATTAGAAAACATGTGTGGGCGTTTTTCTTTTTGGGATTCCTGCTCCACTTACCATATCCAGCGCATAGTCATAGAGTATTTTATCTGCGGTTATGTTAAATGCGTTTGCCTTCTGTAGGAGGCCGGTGCCATTGAGACGCTTCGACTCCGACAAGATGCTGCGATATTTGGCATTCATGGTGAGCAGCGCTGCGGGTAAAGCCAATTGCAAATTGAATTAGGCTTGGACGTGGGACACTCAATAGGTATTCAACACTTACCGTTCTTCACATTCGACGACGGCTTCAGCTGACCGTTGCGCAGCTGGTGCGAAGCCAGGTTTAAGCCGGACGATAGCAGCTGGAGGGCGCGAACAAGAAGCACCAGACGCTCCGCTCGCTTGCAGTGCTCCGGGGCGTGAGGTGGAATATGATGGTGCTCGGCTGCGTTCTGGCTGCCGGCGACCATCAGCGTTGAGAGCGGCGCACAACGAGAGTCGGCCACCTCTTGGATGCAATCGGTGAGTGCCAGCACGAAGTTGAGCTTGGAAAGTGTTTCGTTGTGCTCGCGATCCATTAGCGTCTCCTCGGACAGCTCCGGGGCCAGGAATGCATGCGGCTCTGTGCCCGGAGCTGTGTCCAGCAGGCTATGCAGGCCGCCAGTGGCACCCAATTCGGGCAGCGTAAAGGCACGCGGTCCCAGCATGTGGTGATGGTGATTGTTATTCTCCGATCCGCTGCCTGCAGATCCAATCGAGCCCAGGGACCCGGGTGCCACTAGCAGCGTGGGACTGCCAAGTGTTGGCAGTTTGGTCAACGCGGCGGACGGAAGCACCGGCGAGCTGTTGCCACTTCTGCGCAACGGCGACTGTGAGTGTCCCGGCGACACTTGCCATGTGCTGGGCGCATGCGCCGGCGGTGTCTCCGACAGCGAGCCACCAGAAGCGGAACGCATCCGGGTCGGCGGGGTGCCAATTGCAAATTGCACGGCCGGCGGCGAAATAGAGTTGATGTCACTGCTGACGCTGCTCTTGCGCTGATCCGGACGCGGCTGCTTAACACTGATTGGCTGCGATCGCGGTATTTGATGACCAGCAGCCGCCAAGGTGGCCACGGTGAGCGGCATGCCACTCTGCCGACCCGGCGAGCCGACGGCAACACCAGCGCCCACATTTGGAAGCTGGCGACGAGCCGGTGCAGGCACTGGCTTGGGCTCCGAGATGGGCAAACTGCTGGGACGAGGTGGACTGGATTGGTTCTGTGTGGGCTGCTGCTGCTGCTGCGGCTGACGAGCCTGCCCGGCTGCTGTCTGGCCCTGACGCTGATCCTCGGGCAGATTCTTGGGCACCAGCACAAAATCATCCGAGTCCTCGTGCGAACTGCAGGAGGCACTGTTGTTCTCGCTATCGCACAGCACACCCACCGGGGTAATGGTGGCGCAAATAGCCGGATTACGCACCACAGAGACTGTCATCAGAATAATAAATAATAGTTAGTCAAACTTTCGCAGTTGAAGAGATCAGAAGTTCAAGAGCAGTTGAAGTAAACTCACTGGCATTCTCCTCATCCATCGCTGCCTCCTGCTCTTCACGCTCCTTCTGCTGCTGCTCGGCCAGTTTGACCAGCTGCAGCTCCTGCTCCAGTTGCTGTTGCAGCGGACTCTTTGCCTTGAAGGGCGGAGTGCCGCTAGACATCGATGGCAAATCAGCTATTCATATAATCAGATGGTTAGATTAGTTATGAGCACAAGTGGACAGAGAAGAGTTGAAATCTTACCTGGCGAGACGGCTGCCTTCTTGCCCTGCAGAAAGGGATGCACAAAGAAGCTCTCATAGGATATGCGATCCTTGGAATTACGACGCAGCAGACACAGCAATAAATCGCGCAAATCCGGCGATACGCCATGCGGTATTCTATAAAAGATACACACAAACTAAAGTCAGATCTCGCTTTATTATACAACCCAAAGGTATATCTTACTTGGGAGCCAGATTCGCATTCTGCTCGTAGTAGAACTTCAGCTCGTTGGGCGTTTGTGCATAGAATGGCGCCTTGCCCGTCAGACATTGATAGACAATCGTGCCCAGCGACCAGAGATCGGCTTTTGCATCATATTGTAGCGACATAATCACTTCCGGTGCCTGTTAATATTTGTGTTTTTACAGTTAGATTGGGAAGGCGTCAATTTGATTTGAGGAAACTGCTTACCATGTACATGGGAGAGCCGCACAGGGTAGCTGCCATGACGCCCTCGTTGAGAAAACGAGCGAATCCAAAATCAGCTGTAATAATAAAATGACAATGTGATTAGTATTCTAATTTGCACTCTTAAATTCTTAAAAAATATATGTCTAGAACTTAAGAGTCTTAAAACATCTGAATTAAGTGCTTCTGGGAAGCCTTTGAATTTGGTGTATAAGAATAGTTCATTCCAAAACATGTTTTTATATTTCGTATTTTAAGTTTTTGAGAAGACTACAAATGTTTGCATAAATTATTCATGTTAATATATAACACATTTATAGAAATAATATTGAAACCACTATTATTATAAGCAGAGTTTACAGTCTAGTCTCTAGTGGTCTTACTTAAATTATTAATTGAGATACTATTTGAAGATAAATTTATTATAGTTAATATTTATAAATAAAAAATAGGAATAATCTTATAGATAAAAATACTGCATTTTTTTATTATTTAAATAGGATTTCCGAGCACTAGAATACTTCGCTAATTAGAAGCACCCACAAATTTATAATTTTCAAAGAAGATAAGAATCAGAGAACTGAAGAAACCTTAAATTATAAATTAATTTTTATTCATCAGTGTACTAATTGTAATGATACATTTATAATTTTAGCAACACTCTCTAAGCGATTTGCTTGATTGGATTTGCTTACCAATTTTCAGCGTTATTTTCGATGGTGCTGGCAAAGTTTTGCCATAGTTGTGCGACAGTAGAATGTTTTGTGGTTTGAGATCACGATGCACAATTCCTTTGGTATAAAGTGCTTTCATGGCACCAGCTACGAAAGTAACGAAAACCAACTTGTTGATTAGTTTGTGTTAAATATGAATAAGTCAACAAATTACTTACCTAGTTGTATGAGAAATAGTCTGACTGTGTCCTCGCTCAAGGTGCCCTTAACGCTCAGATAATCCGCCAGATCACCGCCATTGCAATACTGAAACATACAAAAAAGGACAAAAATTAGCGTCATTTCATAGTTCATAATTTAAGTATGTTAATTTGATTTTAATTTAATTCAATTCTCAATACAAACAAATCTACTGGAAATGTCTGAGCATGATTAACTGTGGTAATTTTATCTTATCTTATCTGCAGGTTCACTCCCACTTTTTATCTCTCCCTTCTTACTTACTTTACGTTACTTTCCTTATTACTAAACTGCTCCCGTTTAACAATTTGATGTTTCATTGGGCTTTTTTCTGGGTTTCCCCAATCCTTGCAATATATTTTGAGCAATTGTAAATATTAATACCTCTAGATTTATTTATTTATTTTATATACTTTATTGTTATTTATTTGTTTTTATTTGTTAACCAGTAACAAGAAACATTTAACTGGCCATTGTCTTCTGCTCGCGGTTAATATTGATGACAGCCAAAAAAAATAAAAAACAAATACAAATCATTGTAGGTCGTTCTGAGCCAAGTTGTTCGGCATTTGATTTAACTGCACAGCTGGCAAAATTACAAACAAAGAGATTTGTCGGCACGCAAGCCTGTAAGCCAAATTCAATTAGCCAACTGCTGCTGTGGGGAACAGCTATAAAAGACGCAGTGCATTCGTTGGGCAGACTATAAGCAAAAATTGTGTGGAGCAGTGTGCAGTCGAGCAGTGAAGAAATGGGGGATCCCGTGAGGACGCTGTGCAATGCCAGCGAGAGTCCTGTGCTGAGACCGGAGGCACGTGTCTCGGGCAACGGTGATCTGCAGTTTCTGGGATGGAATGTACCGCCGGATCAAATACAGTATATACCGGAACACTGGCTGACCCAGCTGGAGCCGCCTGCATCGATGCACTATATGCTCGGGGTATTCTACATCTTTCTGTTCTGCGCCTCGACCGTTGGCAATGGAATGGTCATCTGGATATTTAGCACATCGAAATCACTGCGCACACCATCGAATATGTTTGTGCTAAATCTGGCCGTGCTCGATTTTATAATGTGCGCCAAGGCGCCCATGTTCATCTATAATAGTTTCCATCGGGGTTTTGCACTGGGCAACACTGGCTGCCAACTGTTTGCGGCCATCGGTTCGTATTCGGGTCTGGGTGCTGGCATGACCAATGCGGCAATTGGCTACGATCGATTCAATGTCATAACGAAGCCGATGAATCGCAACATGACCTTCACCAAGGCGATCATGATGAACATCGTCATCTGGCTTTACTGTACTCCATGGGTTGTCTTGCCGTTAACCCAGTTCTGGGATCGCTTTGTGCCGGAGGGTTATCTGACATCCTGCAGCTTTGACTATCTGTCGGATAACTTTGATACACGCCTCTTTGTGGGCACCATATTCTTCTTTGGCTTCGTGTGCCCCACACTGATGATCCTCTACTACTACAGCCAGATAGTGCAACATGTCTTTAGGCATGAAAAGGCGCTGCGCGATCAGGCCAAGAAGATGAACGTGGAATCGCTGCGATCCAATGTGGACAAGAGCAAGGATACGGCCGAGATACGGATTGCCAAAGCAGCCATTACCATATGCTTTCTGTTCTTCGTCTCCTGGACGCCATACGGAGTGATGTCGCTAATCGGCGCATTCGGTGATAAGAGCCTGCTGACACCGGGTGCAACAATGATACCGGCATGCACCTGCAAGCTAGTGGCCTGCATTGACCCCTTTGTGTATGCCATCAGTCATCCCAGGTACCGCTTGGAATTGCAAAAGCGTTGTCCCTGGCTGGCCATCGAGGAGAAGGCGCCCGAGTCCAGCTCGGCGGTATCCACAACGACATCGACACAGGATCAGACAACGGCGGCCTAAGCAGTTAAATAGTTAAACAACGACGACTACGGATTGGAATATGTCAATGTTGAACCTTCTCAACTAACCGGAAATTGATCTTTGCCCGATACTTGATCTCGCCTCAACTTGTCTCAACACGTAATACGATGCAAGTGGTTTATAATAACACAATCGAATATTATTCGTATGATTTGTAGTGCACTATCTAAGCTAAACTAAGTGTAGCAAACTAAATGCAATGTTAAAAAATGTAAAAAAAAGAAAGAAAAGAAAATGAGAGAAGAATATAAATAAAATTTACTGCTGGAAGCATGGCAAACAAATCGCGTACTATGCGAATGAATTCAGCTCAATCAAGAGAGCCCACATGCCATTATTGTATGTGAATTATTCATGACATGTGATTTTCCTCAGATTCAACGAGATCTTTTGTCCGACCGACAAGCAATAATGGAATATAGTATGTACACATTTCTTGACTGCGACGATACTGTCACAAGGTCAAAGTGAAATGATTTATGACAATTTCTAAATCCGAAAAATTAAGAAGCTCCCGCTCAGTATGAGAAAGGGTTAATGGAATAGCTGCTTTGAAAGCTGCCTTATACAAAAGCAATTCCTTAGGGTTAACTTCAACTTTCAGTTGCTTGTGCAAAATTACCGCAAGCTCAAAATGCAGCTGTCTTTTAAAGCAGCTTATTCATTACGACTTATTTCCCTATTCAATATTTGTTTACCTATATTCGTTCGAAACTGCCTTTTGTGAGAGTTTAAAAAGGTTCTGAAAATTTTATTGCAGATTCAAATGACCTTCGAAATGCTAACAAAGCAAAACAAAGTTTGCAATGCGTGCCAAAAAAAAACCCTATTTTCTGGGAAATTGTATGCACAATGAGTAACAGCATTTTTTGATAAATATGCCAAAATGTGTGGACCACTTATGCGCACTGGACTGTAATGAGTGAACAATGAGCTCTAATAAAAATTACAACAACAATATTAGGCAATTAAAAAATAACAAAAGAGTTGACTTGGACTGGCGAACAGTCAAAGCACAAAAACGAAACTTAAAAAAAAAACAATCAGAATAAAACAAAAGTCAATGACATGTAAAGCACACAGCAAATAAAAGACAATTGCAACTGGGAGATAGAGATAGATAGAGAGTGAGAGAGAAAGAGAGAGAACGCCCGCTACTTCATGTTCACTTTGAGTTATATTTTGATAATTTTGAGAATATTAAAACAACGATTCGCATTATCATAAAACACACTTGCCAAATTCTAATGTAAGAGACGTAGAGTTGGTAACAAAAAAAAGCTTGGTCTGAGAGAGCGTGCCACTCTCTCTCTCTCTCTCTCTGAGTTTGTAGCGTTGGCATCGATGCCACAATCGGTGCGCTGCTCAGTTTGTCAGGGACGTTCGCACCATTCGCATGGCTCGCGGCAAATGTGTATAAGTTAGCCGCACATATACATTATTAAACTGTGAATAATATGCTTAAAGCTCGCGCAACTTGTAGACTTCAAACATTGAATGTGTCGTATAAAAACATTTTATACTAAAAGACGACACCATTCAGAAAACAACAACTAGATGTCGTCAGCGACTAAAGTTCAACCAGGCGATAAAAAACAAGCAGCATTTCAATGTGTACACATTTCTGTGTTCATTTCAAGAAACAAACTACAACGCAATGATAAAGCCTGTTTTACTGATTAATTTAAATATTTATTTAATACGTAATTGTGCGTAATTTTCGGTATTGTATCCTGAGAATAATCAATAATTAACACACAAAACTAATAAGAAAATACCAAAAAAATTTGAAATAAAAACAGTTGACAACAAAATAAATTTTTCAAATGGAAACAGCAGAGTCCGCAATGAGCTGAGTGTTTAATAACACAACAATTTGAGATAAGATTAGCGATTAGACAAAGCAAAGCGTTTAATAATTGCTCAGACAACCAAGTAAAAGTAAAACGTGTAGCGCACAAAGAGAGCGAGAGAGGGAAAGAGAGAAACATTTCAAAATTGACAGATGAGAGAGGGGTGAGGCAAAGTGAGGCGCAGCCGTGAGAGACTCATTCTCTTCATCAAAAGAAAAGAAAGAAAAAATACACTCACTAATGAAAACACCTGCACAGCATAAAACAAAAACATATGCAAAAGTTCGCTCGCTGCATTTGGCAGTCTTGCGGCTTTCGCTCAGCTTTTATATCGATATATCTCAGTCACAGGTTGGCAGTGAGCGTGTTCGGTTTGTCTCGCGTTTCGCCGAGTGTGCGTCTTGTGACGACGAATGCTTCAAAATTGCCTTTGCTTTTAGCATTGCTTGTGTGCAAATTCAAATATACGATATATGTATATAGGAATATATATATATAGACATGTGTATGTGTGTATTATAATAATTTGGCGGAGCCTTCAAGCTAAACGGAAATTATTTCAGTGAATCCGAAATTGGATGTGGCTAACAGACTAAGAAATTAAACAGGATTATCGACATATATAACTGAACACATACATATATATGACTACTACAAGTATATACTTATATATATATATATCTGTTGTAATATATTGATCATTGTACATTCGTTCTTTGAAATAAAATTACTCATTCGAGCTATTTACAACGAAATGGATACATCTAGTGTTGGAATTTCACATTTTCCCATTTCCCGCTAAACGGCCGCGATAATTAGATATTATAAAAACAACAATAAAAGTTTAAAACGCGTACTAAAATATTACAAAACTAGTGTTCAACTGGATTTCAGTGTTTAACGGCCTTATTATATAATCAAATTTCTTCAACTTTATTCAACAGTATGACAAGTGAAACAACAATTTCATGATGAAATATTACCCTGCATAAAAATAAAAGCAAAACAAAACAAAAAACACTACAACCACAAAGCACATTTAACAAAAAACAATAACCTTAATCAAAATGCACGTTTATTACAAATTTGGATTACTTTTAATATTTTTGCTGAGCGTCAGGTAAACAACAATAACAATAAACCTAAAAATAACAAGAAACTGTATAACTTGTTTTAAATCTTTTACCAGTTGTTTAGCCAATAAATAATTGCAATTTCTAGCTAACCTTTAGTCTTTTCAATTTAACAAGAACAACTTGAACACGAATAAGAAATTGATTATATCAAACACAATCGTCACATTCTTCGTGACACATTCAGAGATAAACCTTTCGCACTTGAAGACAAAGTACAAGGTACAACAATCCGCAAGCGAATTCAAAGAAAACCAGTTGAAATTACTCGGGTACATTTACTTAAACGGACCTTGAACCTGCATTATATCAAACTGACATTGTTTATAACAATTTTTTATGACCGTCGAAAACGGTAAAAATTACATAAGTACCTCAACTCAATTATACTCAATTATTTTTATTATATATAGGTAGGTATATGTATGTAAGTATGGGTTTATATGTGCGACTAGTTTAATCGACAAGTTGATAAGAGAAACGGTTGCAATTTGCAGATAATTTTCACTTATCAATAGCTGTTTATTCAATGCGGCAAACATTCAAAGAGTTTAGAGCAAACATACCTAACCGTCTTATGACTCAGACGTAGACACGTCTATTTACAGACAACTAGTGTCAAGGGTCCTCATTATTGATTTATGCCACACTCGAACTTCTTGTCCTACAAGTGTCCTCTTGACATTTTACGATTGACGGTATTTGGTCACACTTATCAAGCATGAATAAAATTATTTGAGAATAATAGATAACAAATTAAAATTGTTTATATCGATTGAGTTAAATTAGTTCAAATCAGCATTAGGTTAATCTTGAACTAATCGTCATTGAAAGCAACGTTGAGTGTTTTGTAAGCACACTTATCAACTTATAAAACTAGCAATATCTGTACTAAATCCCATACTATAAATACCTATAACTAAGTAGAGCTCAGACATCTACGTCTATTAAATGCACATACTTACATTCTAGTGTAGTCTTTATATGTATTCTCGAGAATGAACAGTCACGCAATTTAAAACAAGTTGCAAGTGGCGATTATGGGAAGCACTCGACGCACTGTCCGTCCATATAGTCAGTCCGTCAGTAAGTTACCTCGTAACATTTTAAACACACACAGACACATGTAAACTGAATGGAATGCTTGGCTGGCTAAATCCCGTACAATCTGGCGACGCGCCTAATGAAGGTTTCAGAATTTGCCAAGCGACATGACTTGGCCAAAATCACGGCAAACCCACAACAGAAGTGAGAGTGAGAGTGAGCACCAGAATCAATGAAGAAATGAAAACGAGAAGGCGAACAGGGGGAAAAAACCGGCTAAGTTGTCGCTGCAGCCATGACGTAAACTGGTTTCCCGCCCTATTTTCATTCATGCGGATCCACACGGGCAACAACAAACAGCAATAACAAACAAACGCGAATAATGATAAAGAGCGGCGGACAGGCGACTTTGAGTGCAAAACATAAAAACAACACCAAAAGATAAGACGCTTAACTAAAATATACCCTGCACTTAATTCACATTAAATATTCGAAAGCAGTTTATGTAAATGGAAATAAGAAGCTTTTTAAATTCTCTATACTAATCAGAAATACTAGTGTTTTTTTTTCCAAAAATTAAAACTAGAATCTAAGTTTTACTAATATAATGATTAGTAGAATAATAATTTATTTTATGTGGACTAATAAATCCGCATTTTTAGAAAAAGTTGAATAAAACCTTCAATTTAAAATTAAAGTTACAAATGAATTGATATAAAGTCAAATATTTATAATAAAATTTAAAACGAAAAAATAAAATAAAGGAGAACACAATAAAAAACTGGTACTCGAAATACGATTCTAAGACTTCAATATGTTACACCCCACTTAGTCTACTTACTATAGGATATTGTGTGTGGCGTGTTTAAATATGTTAGGAACAGTTGCTGGACAAATTACTGGGAGTGCCCGCCTGCGTCTGATGTAATCTCACGTCACAGCCAATTTGGAGTTTTTGGCTAAACAACTTGGAAAAAAAAAACAGTTCCTAATTAAACGACTCAACTTTGCTAATTTCCCAATAAGCATAAGTATAACAAGGTTGCATTCTGCTTTTTGGTTTTACAGTATTAGCTCGACAGCGCCAGCGGACAAGAATGAGAGTCTCGAATATGACGATAATGATGACTATTCTGATGAAGATCAGCTTAACGAATCACCAGAGATAGCAGAAAATCGCCAAATGCAGCTAACATCAACGACAACAACCACATTTAGGCCCATTTTTAGTGAGTTTGTGACTATTATAAAATCACATCATATATTGCATCCATATATCGAAATGTTTATATATCAATTATTGTAAATTCACATAATTGAATTTATTTATTATTTTTTATATGATTATGATCTTTACCTTTCTTATATTTTCTATTAAACGTCCACTCTCCTCTATGTTCACTTTTTCAATTGATTTTTTGCCACTATTTTCCATACAGGCATTCCACGTCGCAGCAGCCATGTGCTGGAGCCGAGCTGTCCGCGCAGTTGCCACTGCCTGGAGGATTTCAAGTATGTGCAATGCATCAATGCCCATTTGACCCAGGTGCCGCTGGATTTGCCCAAGAGGGCGGCAATTATTGATTTGAGTCACAATGAGATTGCTGAGTTGCGTGCCGAAGATTTTGCCAATTTATCCAAACTGGTCGAGATCAATTTAAGTCACAATTTGTTGAGGCGTCTTGACAAGGAGGTAATCCACAATGCAAACACATTTTTAATATTTGATAATAGTATACATTGTTTTCCGTTTAGGCATTCAATGGCTTGGAACGCTTGAGTCGCCTGCGTTTGGCCAACAATCAATTGACTAATATCGAACCCGACACCTTTGCGGGGGCCACCGATTTGACGCTGTTGGATCTAAGCAACAATAGCATTGTACAACGCACAGAGGGCTCCTTTTTGAATCAGCCCAGTTTAAATGATTTTAGCTGCTCGAATTGCAGCTGGACAGAGCTGCCGGAGCAGATTTTCATGAATATGAGCGGACTGACTGCTCTGCGCTTGGATCACAACGAATTCAAACGAGTAAGTTGCGCGCCAAATACCCACACGAATAGTTATCGATAAGTGTTGGCCGCAGACAAGTTGGCAGCACTGAAATATACGTATGTAGCATATGTAGTTATCTCGCTCTAGCCTCTGTCATGCGCACTTGTGCCCATACCTATACGCTGATGCTTCTTCTTTATTTTTTGTCAGCAAATCAATACGCGAGCTTTCACACCGCTGAAAGACCTAATTAAACTAAAGCTGCCCGAACTCGATCAGGCCAACATTGAGGAGCTGTGCAATCTGCTAAAGACCATTGACAACATCAGCTTTAAGCACTTTGATCTTAGCTGCTTTGAGCTCGTCCTGGGCACATCATTCAACGAGAGCCTCATCCAGGCCACAGATCCCCCATTTAAGCGTGTGACGTCGCTGCCAACAACACCAAAAGCAGCGACGCCAGCGACGCCGCGCACGGGTAAATTAAATAAACAAAATGTCAACTTTATATATATATACTGATGAAAAAGTAAATCTGTCTCAGCAGCCAATCGAAATCGAAACAACAACAACGGCATGTCCAACGAGACGGTCAGCAATGTGGCCAAGGCGGGCATCATGACTGAAAACGGCGGCAGCCAAATCCCTGCCAAGGAGGAACCATATAAGGTGCCCATCTCCCAGGAGGTCATCAACACACTGCTCATATGTAAGTGCCACACAAACTTGATGATGATGCACATTATGAAAAATGTTAATAATAATTGCAGGCATTATGTTCATAGCGGTTGTGGGCATTGTTGTGGGCTTGCTGTGCCGCAAGGATGTGGGTGGCATTAAAACGAAATGCTGCCGCACCAGTAAACCGGAGCCAAAGGATCAGGTGCATCCCACCGAGGAAATACCGTTAAATAAGCTAGCCTAAGACGCACATTCGCTTCTCTTCTGCCTTACATACACATTACACATAATTCCAACAATTCCATTTTACGGGAACAAAAATTGCGTTTATTACGGAGACAAGACGAATCGAGACAAGACGACATTTTAAAAGCTCTGTTCGCACAAAATGTATTTCCAAAATTGTAGCGGGAATTTTAGATTTAGTCTATAGTTAGTTTTAAGTCCGCCTAGTCGCTTAGCCCTTTATTGTTTGACTATTTAGCATTGGTAGCAACAATATGTATATTTTGTAGTCACTTTTGGACCACACACACACGCATCAAATCATATCGATAATATTATCTACGACAAAAACTGTTAGCTCTTAGTCATTTTCCTACTCTTAATATAGACCTTTTGCCAATTACACAATAAAATTAATTATTGTAAATAGTCTACAAATAAAATCGAATTTTAAATTTATTGTTGCAGATGACATGCAAAATAACACTTAGTATTGGTACTAATTAGGGAATTTTGAATAGAGTAGCAACGACGTCGGACTATAAACGCGTTTGCATATGAAAATATATAGATTAGTCGAAGGAAATGTTAAACATATTAGTTTTCATTATACCTATATATTTCAACGATCTGCGGCCTCCTAATATGTATAGATATATCTGTATTACTAGTCGAGTCCATATAGTCATGTCCGATTAACTTTATTGCGAGCTACTCCCTCAATTGATTCTCAAAGCTATATTGATGAAGATTGGAATACATCTGTCATATTGCCGAGGCCCATTGTATCGGATCACTATATCATATAACTGACAGAGAACCCGTGGGTCGAGACTAAACATATATTGTTTACGTTATTGAGCTGCTGTATCTACCATCTTATAGTGAAAGTTTGATATACGCAAGGGGATCTAGTGTTCGACGTGCCTTCTTTTTATTTAAATAACTTTTCACACGAAGCACTCGTCACGTCATTTAGTCGATGGAATGAATAGAATTATAGCGCAAAGTTCGCTATATATGTATATGTTAATTGAACAAAAATAAACTGATTACAATACGAATTAGAGCACAAGGAAGGGCATTGGATGCGGAGTCAGGGTAGACACACACGGAATAGGAATGGGGTCAAAGTCAATCAAAGCAAACGCATGTTTTTATGTGCAGTTTAACAAAAAAAAAAAAGAGGAGATAATGAATAAATAATCTATACTAAAAATATGCCTATGCATATGTATTGTGTTATTGTAGCACCTGTACAATATTTGAATTGAGCCAAGGGCAAGAGAATTCACATTACGCACATCCGATAAATCTCTTTCGTAAGGGATTTGAATATCTTTGTGAAATAAACAATGTGCTGACAACGAAAACGACGCCATTTAATCTTATCAATCAAGCAATAATGCTTTGCCGAGGAATCTGACCTATTTTCGAAATCATAGAATCATTCAACACTGCGCGCTAAAAATATGCGAACGCTTATAATGGGTAGTGGGTGTAAACAAAAATAAGCAGAAAACAAGGCAGAGACGCGACATCAGGAAGTAAATTATCAGATAGTTAAAGTCAATAAACTTTAGTCTAGGCTAAATTGGCAAAGTCAAAGCCAACAACCCGTTCACAAATATTTAAGCAAAAATAATCCCACTTTGATACTAGCCACTATAACAAAACATTTAAGAGCACACCACAAAGAAGAATTCAGAAATCTTATTAATCGCATAGAGGACATATAATTAAAAACAAATGAATCATATATATTTTTATAGTGGACGGGGAATGGGAATTTCTATATTACTGCTTTCTAAATGTTACTCAAGACGTATATTCAATCAATGTGAGCGGTTTGAGCTATAGGGTATACCAAAGTTGAGAACTTGAATGTTACGTTCTCTGTGTTTATTTGGTTTTCGTATAGAATTCGCAACTTCCGCAATTAATTGCGTAGCGTTTTAGCTGAAAGTGCCCCCCGGACGCGAGAGGGATGCGACGCGTGCTGGGGCGACATGAAATGTGGCTACGTGCAGTTCGAGGTGCACTCTGTGGCGACGGCGAACAGCAACCGAACTGAGTCATACGATATCATTGATGTTTACACCCAGTAATCGTGCAAAACATTAGAAGTTCTCTATCAGAGTTCTATAAGCAATGACGTTGCACATTTCGGTTTTGACTTCTGATTAGGCAAAAAAATAAATAAAAACAAAGAGAAAAGAAAAGAAAAGTAAAGTCAACTCACCTCCATGACCAGATTGACACAATCCTGGGACTCTTTGCAATCCAACAGGGCCACAACGTTCTCATGGTGCAGCTCCGTTAGTTCCTTAAGAATTTTGATCTCCTTGCCGAGTAAATTCTGCGTCTTGATGAGCCCCTTTTTGGTAATGCATTTAATAGCCACTGGCATGTGTTTCTGAAATCACACAACACAATATTAATTATCATTAATTAGAGTTGGTTAACGCACTAAAGTCATTGAACGTCTACCATAAAATCTGTATATGTATATATAAAAATGCAAGTGAAACTCCCTCAGGCTTAACGTGACCAGAATTCTCAACGGTTGCTCACAAAGGTAAAAATGAATGTGGGTTCATTGCATGATTTTAATGACTCACGTGTTAATTAGCGAAAATCTGATATCTGATCTGGTAAAAGCGAACAGGCACACGAAGTTAAACAGAAGTGTTACAGAACTTTTTATGACAGTGAATTACATTATTTTATGATATTTAAGACATGCATTAAATCTTATTGTCATAAGAAAAATGAACACTCAATTACATGAGACCTAATAGTGAAAATTCTATGAGGTGTTGATATAGTTTGTGTTATTTGATAAAACTGAGTGCATTCATACTCAAATAAATCACAAATTTCTTTAAAATTTTAGATTTTTATCAATTTTATAGTTTAACAACACCTTTCACTACGTGTACATTTATTGTCATAACAAAGTTGCACACTCAATTACTATTTTAAATGACGTCTTACAGAAAAAATTTGATGAGGTCTTGATTCTATTTATGTAATTAGATAAATTATATTCATACTCAATAGAAAATTATTTTTATGAAATTGTAGATTTCAATTTATTTCTTTTTGTTTTCTTTATATTATAATTCAACAATACAGAATACCTATTATAAATATCATGTTAGATCTTTTTTAGATTGTATATAATTATATATATTATATTATTACCTAAAGCTGAGTACACTCAAATCATTCATTCGTAAATGGATAATTGTTTTGATAGTATAATTGTTTCCATTTTATATACTATTAAAGACAAATAAAAGGTACCTACAAATGGTAAATTTACGAATTAATTGTGGATTGCGTGATATATATAAATAAATATATTATTTTTTTGGTCTGATTGCGATTTTTCTGGGTTTTCCCCAATCCATCAACAATTGTTGGAACAATTTTACATTTAAATACCCACAGGAATGTTATACATATTATTTTCTGTGCCATCGACAGTAAATAATCTTTTGATGATTTAGTATATGGTATACGATAAGTGTTATTCATAGTCTGAAGTCTCTAGCTCTTACAGTGAAGTCTCTTAAACAGACACACAGTTTACATGACTAGATCGACTCAGTTGTTCATGAGAATCAAGAATATATAAGCTTTATGGAATAGTAGATCAATCCTGTTGCCTGTTTCATACTATATGACAACTGTATTTGAGCTTTTTATCTATTTTCAGTTAATAAAAATAAATATTTATGAACTAAAGCAGTATGTTAATATCTATTTTCAGTTGATATAAAATAAATATTTATGAATTCAATGTTTATAATTCTGAAAGCTCTTGTTCGTTATTAATTAAATACAAATCGGCTAAAATGAGTGAAAGAGAAGCGACTTTGGCAATCAAAGGCTGCCTTCTGCACAATTTTAGTCGCCTTTGGTGCAGTACTTCGAAAAACACCCTCAGCCAGCACACGATAATAACTGCAACTGTTACCATAAATTATGCATTCTATATCCGCGTGTGTGTATAGGAATATGTATCTGAAAGTGCTACTTGCAGAACGTGTCCCGGGTTTCTCGAACACCATTGCGTTTTATTAATTTATTATTAGATATGCATTTAATTGCGTTGTTGTTTTTTTCTAAAGCGCTTGCTGACTGACTGTCTGCCCAGGGCCACGTTATACACTTTACCGTCGACTGGTGGACTTAGCGATAAGCGACAAGTTCCGCCCGTTTCTCTCGTCCAGCATTTTATTTGCCCCACACTTAACAAGTGACAATGACTGGTTGTCTGTGTTTACCTGTTGGCCTTCTTTCCTTCTTGTCATCTTTTCCCCTCCGGAACCACAGTGGTAAGTGTTAATTTGTGTAAATACCTTTCATTTTGAACTTGTATCAAATATATGAAATGACGCGATATAAAAGTTGCGGACAGATTTAGCACAAAAGCACTTTTAATTCTCCCAGTGAATAAATCTGTCTATTTTCCAACTATTTAAGTCGATTTTCCCTTACTTTCAACTTATTTGCTTAAAATACTTTGACATCAAGAAAATCGCACTTTGCGATAAAAATTGTATGAATGGATTTAAAACAATTGCACTTTCTATTATTGTTGACAATCAAGCAATTCTCGCAGCTTGACCGATAACACTCAGCTGGATTCCACAAAGCATCTAAATATAGCAAAGAATGGCTTTCGTTGTCACACGGCTTTTTGATTAAAAAAATGTTTTAATGATACTTGTACATAGATCAGCGTTGGGTCGCAAAACTTCATTGGGAGATATGGCATTTACTTGAGCTGATTACAGACTCAGAGTCAACAAAATAAAAGCTTACAACCAAACGAAATGAAAGAATATTTATAGACTTGAGAAATCATATAAAACAAATGATTTCATTTGCACCAAAGCACCTTCCAGGGCAGAAGCAACAGAGATAGAGAGAGCAAGCTTGTGGAAACTCACAATTGGTGTCAGATGTTGTAAGCCACTTATGATTCAGCAACGCTCTAATTTCATCGATCTCAATTACAATCCTTCCAATAAAACATTAATACAAAAGATAGAAAGTGTGGCAACAAATCAAAACTAATGTGAATTATAATCGCATAGACGGAAGTCAGTAAAAGTTCATTAAAATTGATATGTAATAAAAAAAACAAACAAACGTTTGCATGGGAACAACATGAAACACGTATGAATGCTCTAGTCGGGAGAGCTCGACTTGGAGATACCCCGAACCCAAGTCTTCACTCCGCTTGAGTCTGCTTACATTATGTAAATTATTCTGTCAATTAAACATTTGTGAAGTATGTTCCAAATTTTAGAAGTTCGCCCAGATTTTTTTTGTCTTTTGCAATGATGATAAAGTGGTTTAGACCTGTTTTATTTTTCAATTAATTGTATTATTGTTATTTCACAAAGATAAATAAAAAAGGATAGGAAGAGTTTGTTGGAACCAGACATTTATCACAGACAACATCACATTGAAAAACCCATATAAACAGAAAATACAACCAAAAAATATAAATGTAATATTTACTTGAATGTTGCTCAACATATTTTGATGATATTTATGCAGATAATCAATATTGTGTCATCGTATATATATTATCATCTAAAACGTTATATCTTTAAAATTTTGCTTTTTATTGCTATCAAAAATTAATTTGCTAAATTGATATCTGCCTGTAACATGCTTTACCGCAACTTCGATATACTTCTACACACTTTCAATTAGTTCCCGGCACAAAAAGTAGGCGCAGTCATTTATAATCAGACCATTGAGTTACGACACTTCAAAACGACACGTGTAGACGAAATACATATATATATATTTATATATGCGCAAAAATAGCTTCCTATTGAATCAGATTCCCACATAGAACGTATCGCGCACTACAATATTCATATCAGAATTCGCATACAAACTGGTTTATCAAGCATTTTGAGACTAGTTCTACTTCGCTTACGTACTACACATATTTATTTCCAAGTCATATTCTACATAATGTGGAGTAAACAATACCCGGCAGAGTTTTGGCGATACCCTTGAAATACACATAAGGGGCAAGGCATATTAGTTTTACAACGAAGTAAGTGCCATTTTTTCTGTCATTGAAGGAAAACATTTTGAAATCAAGTTTCTTAACTTAAAGCCCGTTACAATCAGAGCGCAAAGTGTAGCCAAAAATACAGGGTATTTCATGATCATGCACATTTGATTGCCGCATTCCTCGCAGCTCTATTCATATTGAGTCAATCACGCGTTGAGCGAAATTCAAAACCTGCGACGTAGTATTTGCCAAAAGAGATTTCTGTCCAGCGTTTCGGGTTGCTTTTCCGCCAGGCTACATTTTCACCAGGCATAAACCAGTTGACTCAATTATATGAGTATTTGTGTGTGTGCGTGAGTGTGTGTATCTGCTAGATACTTTTGTGCGCTGCTGCAGATTCGTTTTGTGTCTCGCATTTTCTGCGCAATTATTTTTATTTATATATATGTTGTTTTTTTCTTCCATTTCTATCAAAAATTTGTTTTCCTCTTTAAGTTGGGGGCCATTGCACTTTGGGCTGAAATTTCTCATTCGCTTTTTGCGCTTTTTTTGTGGCCTGCTCTGTTAGCCTTATCACATAGAGGTGCATTGAACCTTAGTCAACCCAAATTTGTTATTCGTCATTCGCGCAAACTAATTTCGACAGTCGCACAAATAACATTTGTTTTGTGACCAGTCGGGGAGTGTTTTGGGGAGGGGTCGTCATGGAGTCAGCTTCCGTTTGGAGAGTTGTTAACTTTCACATTCGTTGCGAAACTATTTTGGTTTGCATTTTTTTTTTTGCTGTACTCGGGTTTCGAGCATATGTTTTAGATGCTTGTTTTTTATGCATGCATTTAGGTGATTAGGTCAAGAACTTTGTGTTTGTAAATACAGTTTACTTTTATGGCATTGAAATCAATGGAGTTGAATTTTGAGAGTTTCATTTAAGTGAAGTTAAGCTATCTCTTTCCGTTATTGGTCTGATTGGGTTTTTCTGAATTTCCCCATTCTTTACAATAAATGTTGGACCATTTTACAGATCCAGTATCTACTTTATGTTTACTTTTTTCCAACTTTAAATTTCAATTTCATTTCAGATCATTTAATTTTTAACTTTAATTTTAATTATATATTTAATCTAAGCATTTTTAGTTTGGTTGTAGCCTGTTTAAAAATTCACGTTACAATTAATACAAATAAATAGCTTTACAGCCGTAAAATAATATATTATAAAAATTGTAATAACAAATAACAATAAACATTAATGACATTCAGCAAATATTCTCTAACTAAATCACATACAATTTAATATGTTTGCAAACATGAACTGGACAAAATCTACAATAGACAGAGTTGATAATTACTATTTTACAATTGACAATTGATTAGAAGCTACTCACACAAGCCAGCCAATTTGTCGATACGTAAAAGCGACAACAACAATAAAAAGCAACAGCTGGAATAAAACAAAAACAAACTGGCGACAAAATTCAAATGTAAAATGCAATTGCACAATTACAATATGAAAAGTAAACATGCACAATAACAACAAGAAACACAACACACAATAACAACAACGGCGAGAATGTAAACGCGTGCAGTCAAAATGCCAGACAGATAGGAAAGCAGTTAGCTGTCAGACAAGGGGAGGGGAGCGGGGCCGGAGAGAGTTACGAAACCTTGTCATATTATATTAGGAAACATGAAGTGCACTGCGAGGGTTGCCTAAACATTTGGCAAAAGAACGAGAGAGACAAAAACAAAAGCAAATCAATCTGGGGTTTTTACTAAAGTTTGTGATTGAAACTCTTCAGATATGATAAACGAGTGGATATTTGTATATAATGCATATTGCATAAATGTGTTTAGCATATTTCTATTTTGCATATTCAGGCAAATTTTTTCATTAAATCAAATCAATTCGCAATTCCGATTACGATTTCACAACTAAGTGTTTTATTGTGTCTGGCAACGAAGAAGCCTATAGAAACCATATCTTCACTTTTGCACAACTACAATACAGGGTATGGACAAATAAATCTTGATTATATACTCAGTTCTGTGAATTAAGATATGATAACACATATTAAGCCAAAAATATAAAATTAACGAAGGCATGCATAATCAGTGCTAAGTAAGCGTTATCTACAGATATTAATATACTATTTATATTCATTTATAAATAGTAATAATAATTGATATCTGCAGCTGCCTTCCAAGAGCTGCCCTCGTCTATGCACATTTTATCAGAATATTACGACTTTAATGGCATTTTTGCATGATTCTTGCTCAATGTGGGATTCTAAATTATGCAATGACACGAGCGTAAACAGAAGCGTAAAAGGAACGATGATGATATAAACAAATACAGAAACATAACCAGATATGGGATCATTAAACGATATCATTGAAACACGTGTCAAAAACAAACTATTTTTTGCATAAATTGGCGATTATGTTTTTTCTGTTTTCATTGAGATTCATTCATTTGTCAATCCATTAATTCATTCATTCAGTTTTGCTTTATTTTCTGCGTAGATTTGTGTTTATTTTGAGCATCATCGTCTTTGCCTCACGTCTCTGTGTGGTTTGTTTGTTTGACTGCTGGCTGCAGGCTGCAGCACCATCTTTTGTTGTCTGCTGCTGTCTGCACATGTTCCATGTGGTCAACTATTTATAGACGGTTACCAAACGAAGCACGTGCAACATCTGCCAGCCAACGTTGTTGAAATGTCACAGATTAAAGAGTATTTCGTTGGCTTTTGTTAAGCTAGTTTATTTCCAGCAAATCTGGAATGTCTTGCATTTAAGAGCCAATCAATTAAGCAAAAACTTGTCAGCCACGAAATACTGAACTTCTCAACAGATAGAACGATTTCAATATATGTATTGCTATTTGTGTTTAGTAAAAAAGTCTTGTCACAATCGTATGTTTAAAAAAATATGCCATCAGAGCAAAGTAAAATTTCCGAAAGCAATCGTCAAAACACACAGGCAAAGTAAAACGCTCAGAGAGAAAACATTTGCGGCAACAGCTGCCCGTTATTGCATCAGCTGATTTCTGTTTCTATAAGATACGCACCTTCGCATACATATTTAATGGCCAAGAGTATCAAACAAATGTGAGACGGTCAGTATTCAATTTGTTTACAACAAACAACCAAAAAAAAAGACAACTGAGAGCAAAGAGTAAAGCTATATATATAAAATCGCAGTGCTTATCAACTGGGGCAAATAAAAAGCTGACGCATTCAAATTGTTGTTTGTTTTTGGTAGTGTGGTTTTTTCTTGGGTTTTTGTTTGTTTTTTTCTTTTTGCTTTTTCAAGTTGCTCAAATTCGTCTCGCCTTTAGTAAGTGATATATTAATTACAAATGCAATAACAACAATAAGATATGTGTTCCACATCTCTTTCACACGTACATAACTGTCATTTGTCTTTATTATGCTCGCTCTCTCTCTTTCTGTCTGTTGTCTTCTTTTTCCCTTTTTGAATTTGGCTTCCCGTCGATTGGTAAATGAGTATTTCTTGACAGGCATTTTTACAAAAGAGCTGCAACTTTTGATTTCTTTTGTGTGTGCAACACACACAGGCACACACCTGCAATCAGTTTTGGGAACCTGTTATTGTTAATGTCGTCACCTTCTATTCCATGGCATCTTTTATCTTTTTTTTTTACTTTTTATGGAAACTTTAATTACCAGGAAACTGTTTTACCGGTTTATTTAATAACTAACTATTTACACTTTTCATCAAATTGAAATAGAGACATATAATAGATAATAAGAAACTTCTTTGCGAATTGCGAAACAACTTGATATACAAAAAATAGATAAATAAAATAATATAAGTGGAACCGGTCAATCTTTTAAATAAAATTTGTAGATAATAGTTATCATTAGTTGTTTCACCAATTAATTTAAAACAACGATTTGAATAACGGATAAAAAAATGATACGCAAGCCTCTCACAAATAAAATTAATGGCTTTCTGTGATATCAGATGTTGCACAATTAAACTATTATGGTAATCCATCTATATCGACACACGAGAAAAACATACACACACCCACAAATATAATCCGTTTTCGTATCGAGGTGTATTATATTTCATCAACAAATATTCTAATTTACGTTTAAAACAAAAGTTAATTAGATTTAAAAAATATGTCACAATCTATTTCGATTTTTCTCTTTCTTGATTTGCTGTTCGCTTTTGCCCCAAAAAAGCTTCGCCTTAAAACATAAATGAACTGATTGAAGCCCATGTACACATTTTTGTATTTATTGACCCTGAACTAGTTCAAAACACTCTTCAAATAACATTCAAATACACATGCATATACACACATGTGCGTTTGTATGTACATATATATTGGGAGGCCTCACAAAGAAAAACAGAGAATAAGCAAACTGAGAAACGCACGTGTCTACTCAGCACTTTGTAAAACAAAATTCTCTTGAATTAATTAACAATAAAACCAATGAGATAAGCAAGCAATATGCGAATATGCGAAACATAAACAATAACAGCATAGCCCTTAGCAGAAAAGAGAAAGAGAGAGAGGCAGTGACTGTGATGCCGAAGGAGATTTCGACAGGCAAAAATAAAATACAAAACAACAAAGGGCGACGCCGCGACAGCTGTCGTCACATTCTTCAGGCTGCTTTTGCTGCTGCCTTTGACATTTGGCAAGAGCAAGACCAAGACAAAAAGTAGGAGGTAATATTTGTAGGTGTGGACACACTTTTTAATTGCGTTTTATGCGAAATTCGCTCGTGTTTACTGTTTGTTGCTTTGACAATGGCGTTTTGTGAATAATATTGTTGTTGTCATTGTTATTATTATTATTTTTACAAATGCGAGTCAAGCCCACACGCTCAAATCAGCAATAACAAAATGCAAAAACATTTGCACACACACAAACACACATACATACATATTTAGTCATATATGTTAATAACTGATAAAAAAAAAAACAAGTCGCATTTTGGCGCATTACTTGACGCTTTGCTTACCTTGCGATCGCGTCCTTTGTAGACCACAGCGAAGGCGCCATGGCCAAGCATATCCTTGGAGCTGTATTCATATTCCCCGACAATATTCATTGCATGCGCCGGCAGCGAGGCGCGTTTAATTTCCTAGTTGCCTTTTATATCACTTGCTGCTGTTGCAGTCAGCCACACAAAACACTCGCAGACACACACACACTCTCGCACACACACACGCACAGTTGATTGGGGGTGTTGGGTGAGGTTTTTACTTTTTCAGCTGGCTTCTGCAACTGTAATCGCTGTGGAAAATCAATTTTTTCGCATAACTCAGTTTGGGTTTTTTTTTGTGTGTGAACTTTGTTTTTTTTTCTCTCTCTCTGTAGCCAGCTGTTTCTTCCACTTACACTTGCTATAAACAATTATCGAGCACACATACACAGACACACCTGCCTTTTTGGGTTTTTGGGCTTGTAATTAAATTAAACTCTCGTGTATTCTTGTGTGGCTAGTACTGCTGTGTGTGTAATTTATTTAGTTTTCTCACACACACACTCACACTAAAACCCACACGCACACACACACAAGAAAAATAGTTAGCTCACTCGCGGTATTTTTTGTTTAATCAGTATTTACTAGTTTCTACAAAATTGTACTTTCTGCATTTAATTTCAATTGTGTATGTCTTTTTCAACTTCGCGATTGGAAATGTTATGTTGAACAGCTTGTCTTCTTCTTTTAGGAATGCCTAACATTTTACTTCTTCCTGCAGCAGTTAGTCATGATGTTAACGTGCTGTTATACTCAAAGTGCACTGGTATACTGTGACATCGGCCAGGGCTGTCCAACGATATTTGTTTTTCCAATGCTATTCAACGATATTTATTGTTTGCCAACAGCTGTTCTAAAAGATTATGTCTGCAATATTTATTTTCTTGTATTGGGAGCAATCCCTTTAATTTATAATTATTCATCTTCGACAGTATTTTTTCTTTATCCTTATAAGCTTCTTCTCTTCTTCTCATTAGACCGTTGATTATATTGTTATTATTCAAATCAAGTATTAATTTGTGCGCGCTGTTAATAACATTTTCGTCTCTGAATTCCCACAGCTGTACATGTACTGTTAACTGTTTGTGGTATTGTTGCCCACTTTGAAAAGAAGAAGCAATACTGAAATTGTAAAAATAAACAGGAGCGTGGAAAAAATTGTAAAGACTCAATTGTACAGTGTGCAATAAAAAAGAGAAGCAAGGTAATTAACTTAATAAATTCACTAATTTCACAAGTTTATGTACATTTTGTGTGCGTGTATTCACAAATATAAATATATTTATATATGCAGACGTGTGAATATGCATGTATGTGTGCATTTGTATGTATGTGTAAATACGTATACACCGTGTATTGATAAGAAAAACGCAACGCGAATAGATGTAAAGTATTCAATTGCTATTTGTTTGCATTTCACGCAGTATTTTTATCAATAAATATACTGCGTTCTTGGATAGCATGAGCGCGTCGAGTGAGGGCGGTGCGGTGGGTGGCGGCGCTGGAGGTACAGCTACGACAACGACGCCTGGTATGTATTTGAAAAATAATATCCACTATGTACATATGTATGAGTGTGTTTATAACATTATATACATGGATTAGCTAGAAAATAATGTGTTCATGTGTTGTGTGTGTATACATAACATTTTCCGCTTTGCAATGCTGCACGTGTATGCGTGTACGTGTGTCAGTGTGTGTGTGTGTATATTGTGGTTAGTTCCCTTTTGTGGTCGCATACGCGCGCAGTGTTTGTTACACTTTCCGCTTCTGTCTCACATTCGCAGCAGCATATGGCTGTTTCAATGTGTGCGTGCGAGCAAGTGTGTGTGTGTGTGTTTGTGTATTGTGTTTTGTTGTCACTGTGAATTCGTTTCGTAGTGATGCCAGTAAGCCGTAGAATTCATGGCGTTGCCAGTAAGCACAAATGCAAAAAGTGTTGCTCCATCAAAACAACAACAAAAAAAAACATTTGTTTCTCATTCCAAAATGTAGCCACATTAAAAGCCGTTAAAATACGCACTCTGCCACATCAAAACACCAAGCACTTGACAACAACAAAACCAAATACGCACATTCAACAAATGCGTGGCTCGACAAATCGATACTCATTATCCCATTTGCCACCCGCAGCACATTCCACAGTTGCCGCCAAAATCACGCACGTGAAATCGGACGGCGGCGGCATTTCCATTACGGGCACACCCATTATTAGCGGTGGTACTATCAAAGTCGCCACAGCCGGCAACACAGTGCAAGCCGGCTCGCTCAGCGGCACACCAATTTCCCTGAACGCGGGACAGTCCACCACAGCCGCCTCGATTCGGGCCATTGGGACAGGTGGCCAATCGACGCAGGTGCGCGTCATGATGCCGATGATTAAGCAGTTGGAGAATGTCACAGCCACCGGGCGCACACAGATCACAGCCATCCCGGCGACGCCGACACGCAACGTATCGAATGCCTCAATTACGGTCACTCGGCCCGTAACACAGGCCACCTATTTGCCGCGTGCCAGCGTCACGGCCACCCAAATGAGTGGCGTCAATGTGACCGGTGCTCAACGGCTAGTGACCCCCTTGCGTGCCACAACAACGGCATCAGTTGGCGTCAGTCCGTCGCCCGCCGGTCTCAGCAGCACCGGGAATTTTGTGCGCACCTCGCAGCCATCGACGGTGATTTCGTCGGCGAACAGCGCAACTGCGGCGACTGCCTGGATGCAGAGTCCCACCGGCCAGGTGCAGCTCATACGTGCCATTCATCAGCCCAGGCAGCGTATCATCACCACATCGGCGGGGGTTAGCAGTGCCAGCGTTTCCAGCACAGCAACACCAGTTCAGGCGCCCACAGGTAAAGATCTACAGCTAATCACCAGATCAACTATCTATATACATGTATTAATCTATCGCCCAATCCTTGACAGCTCTCACCGTTTCGGCGGCACAGCCGATGCCGCCGCAGTCGTCGGGTGCAACGGGTGTGCCGCAAGCTTATGTGGCAACGGTGCTGCCACCGCGTCAACATCAGGCGACGCTTGTCTACTCCTCCAATATGTCGGCAGGCGGCGGGCCAAACACCAATCCCAATGCAGCGAATCAGTTCAATCCACGCTTTGCCGTTGCCACGCCACTGGGCAGCTCAAGTGGCACTGTGGGTAGCGGTACCACAACACCGTTGGGCACCACCGTCACGCCGCGCCAGGTGCGTCCTATACCGCTGAGCAAGAGCTTTCCGGCCACCAAGCTGAACACGACCAGCATCAGCATACGTGCGCCCAGCATACCTCAGCTCAGCTCCAATGTTGTGCCGCCCACGCCGGTGAGCGTTTCGGGCGGCGTCACAGTTGCCGGCCGTGGTCCAACTGGTGGAGGTGTTGCACCCGTGGCGCTAACTGCTGCCAATCTGCCCACCACTCGGATCATTCAGCTGCAGCAGCAGACAACAGGCGGTGCCCAACAAATCATCGGCTCCACCGCCCGCCTCGGTGGCAATGTCATGTTGCAGCCCTTCCTTATGAGCACCAGCGCTGCAGCCAAAATCGGTAAGTGCATCATCAACTATAAATTTGTGGATGAGGCAGCATTTAAAAGTCAGAAATCAATTTGATAAGTGGCACAACTTAAACTGTTACATTAAAAAGAAAGATATTTTGTTTATTATTGTTATTATTATTATTAAGTATTATTATTATTATTAATTATGATTATTATTATTAATTATTATTATTATTATTATTAATTATTATTATTATTAATTATTATTATTATTAATTATTATTATTATTAATTATTATTAATTATTATTAATTATTATTATTATTATGCATTATTATTATTATTATTATTAATTATTAAATATTAAATATTATTATTATTATTATTGTTAGTCTGTGTCATAGTTCTAATCCAGTCCAATCATGTGCAGGCATCCTATGGCCAAAAAAGTTCAGCTGGTTGCTTTCCTTACTACTGCCTCAACAATCGTATTCCCCTGTAGATTTCCATAGGCTTTTCCAAGTTTATTTATGAGCTCTCTTAGCCACACCCTCTTTAAGATGCAATGATAGTTGCCTGGCTCCTTAAAAAGTTAGCAGTATCTTTTCTGGATTACCATATTTGGAGATTTCCGCTGTAAAATGCTTGAAAATCTTGCTAACGTTTGATGGAACCGAACAACTTCTTATTTGAGATTAAATAACCTTGCAGACTTTCAAACATTTATTATTTATAATATATATAGATATTTAGTTGCCTCCAGGTCAAGTTGTTTTCTGGGTTACTCATTTTTTAAATTCAATAGTTGACTTCACAGATTATTAATCTCTCCCTGAAGATGAATCCCGAAGGATCTCAAAATATGTAGGAGAATTAAAAATAAAATAGTGACGATTTTGCCATTGTTAATGGCTCATTTAATTTCTTACTCATAAAATCACCATCTAAATATATATTTAACATGTAAAAAGTTATAGCAAAACATAAAACAACTAATATATATATATATATATATACATCCCGTAAAGTATCAGATATGATATCTCTATCATTTTGAGAAAATATTTCAACTGTTCCCCTAAACTTGTATAAAATCTTGGAAGCTTCTAACATATAAAGACTAATTAAATTTGAGTTTGTTATATTTTCTGTATAAAAGAAAAGAAAACCATTTCCTTAATCACTGCTCCGATCTTTATGAAATTTGTACAAAATAAAAACATGCTAATTAAATTTGAGATTGTGCAGCGATTAATTGATAGATTTCCAAACACGATTAGTTAGATTCGTCTGGAGAATCATAAAGAGGATGCATCTAACAAAATGAAAAAATTAACCAATCTCGCATTTAAATCTAACAACAATCTGATTAAATTGCAATAAGTTGGCAACTGAATTGTTCGCTTCGCGAAGAAAACAAGTCAAGAGAATTGAAATTGTTATTTTCGTTGCAGGTATTCGGCCACCTGTGACAAAGGTGCAGCCCTCGCTGACCATCACCCAGCTGAATCCTATTGGCAAGGTATCGACGACGAGTGGGGCGGGCGGAGCGACAATGACGCCACAGGGCGTGGCAAGCATACAAGCGGTGCACGGTGTTTCTGCCACAGTAACGGCCACTTCTGTAACAGCTGGCAGCTCGGTGGCAGCAGCAGCATCAGTTGCTGGCGGGGCAACAATGCAATCGCTGACAATTGGCGGCCGTGGCGGACCCACCAGCAACATCTTGACGGGCACCCTGACACCCATCAAGAATGCCAGCGGCATAACCGTAGGCAAAATGATGATGACCCAGTCGTCTGGCATCGATTCGGCTGGTGGCGCCACTGGGTTGCAGTCCGGCGGAACACCGACCAACGTATTCATCCAGCAGCGCAGCGGTGCAGGCACTGGTGGTGTCACTGTCTCAACAGCGGCCACATCTGTAGCCACATCGTCGACGGGTGCAGCGTCCTTTCTGCCGGCAGGCAGCTCGGCCATCTATTACGAGTCGATGCCGGCGTCGACGGGCGTCCTCTCACTGACGACGACGACTGTGACGCAAAGCACACATACGCTTGCCCAGACCCAGGCACAGGCACAGCAGGTCCAGGCCCAGGCGCAGTTGGTGAGCAGCAGTGGCGGCGGCAGCAGTCTCTCCGTTTCCTCGCTGCCCTTTGCCAGCCATGCGCAGCAGGTGCAAGCAGCCGGCGGCACTGGCTCGACGGCCACATTCACCGTGCTGCCATCGTCGGCGACAGCTGGTGGCGGCGTCGGTAGTCGCACCATTGGACACCAGCAGCTCATCATACCGGCGGGTGCTGCACCGCCACAGCACATGGTCATACCGCTGCACACGTCCGTCAAGGTTACGACGGGCGGCGTGCCCACGACGACGGGCGGAGGTGCCACAGTCAGTGCGCTGCCGATGCAAGTACCGGTGGCAACCAACTCGCTCGTCGCCAGTTTCATGCGCAAACGCGATGCCGAAGGATCGCCGATACGTGGAGTTAAGAATTTGGCACCCACTCTGCTCTCGATGAGCAGCAATAGCAATGCCTCAGCGGCGTCAGTGGTCAATCTAGCGGCAGCTGCTGCGTCCGCATTCAATCTGCAGCCGGTCTCAGTGGCACCGGTGGTGCAACAACCGCCGACTACAACAACGGTGAGCAGCTCGGCCCTAACTGTGGAGGCACTGGCCAAAAAGGACAGGGAGCGTGTCAGTTCGTCCATTGCAGTAGCAGCCGTTGTTGGCGGCGCATCCTCAGTGTCGACAGCGTCAGCGTCGACCACCGCTGGCAGCATTGTTGGCACACGGAATGTGCGCGCCGAGTCGCCAGCCTCATCCGATGGCTCCACCACAGTCTCGGCCAACTCATCGCCCGGCGTCGATCAGCAATTGCAGGACAGCAATCTGGCCATTAATCGCATTGGCGATGATCCAAGTTGCGCTGCTGCAACACACTTTAATCCCATAAGCGAGGTGAGTCTTGATATATATATTCTCGATCAGCAAGCCAACTCTGAAATATTTATTTATATGTCCTGCAGTTGATTGCAGCACATCAGTCGCAGACGCTGCCGACGAGTGTGGCGCATGCCACATTGGGCTCACGAGGCAGCGCCTTTGTCGATGTGCCCCCGCAGCAGCAGGCGCCACACTATGTGTCCTTGCAGACAGCCACACTGACGGCCAGCCAACTGCAACAGGTGCGCATGAATGGCACAGGTGGCGCTGGCTACGATGGCCTGGCGCGCAAGAAACCGCGACGATCCACGTAAGTTGCGTGTTTTTCTATATTTCTCTAAATACATTATTGATTTTATTTCTTGTGCCTTAAATTAGCAACGATAGCCAGCACTCGAATCAAAGTCAGGCTTCGCTGTCGCTGTCGCTGCCACCGCCAAGCAGTCTCGGCAGCAGCTCCACCCAGGAGGCCACCTCCAGCTTCATGCAACAGCAGCAGCAGCAACAGCAGCAGCACAATCAGTTGCCGCATCAAGCACTCAACAATGGCGGCCTCCTGCTGGCCGCCGCTGGCAGTGCCACACCCAATGCCAGCGCGGGCGATGTCAACAATCATCGACCCGCTGTTGTCGGCAACAAGGAGAACGCAAATCCCGTCGACTTTGTGCTGCGACGTCCGCGCAACTGTGCCCTGCTAAATGTGAGTTGTCATTTATAAAATGAAAATCTATTTATATAATATATAACTCTACTTGTCATGTAGACGTACAAGCCGACACACAAGCTGGCCAACAACCATTTCCATCGCTACACGGATGTGAAACCGCGAGATGAGCGACGTGCCACAGTCATTGATCTGGCCAATCAACCCAACGTTCAGGGCAAGATCAGTGGCTGGAAGCTTTATCATTTGCGCTCACAAATGGAGGATTTGGTAAGCACTCAATAAATTATACAACTCAATTATGGCTAAAACTAGACTGAAAACCTATTTAATTTTGCAGAACGACTCGGAAATGGGTAGTTTGGTTCAATTGGAGACCATGTTGAAGGTACTGGAAAAGGACAAAGACAACCATAGCGAAATTGAGCGTGTCAGTGAACTTTTAAAGGTAACTTCTAAAATCAGCATTCTTTATATTTTCTACATCTATATTGAACAAATTCTATTTTTGCTACACAGGGCAACATACAGCGGAGTAAGATTATCACTGATGGCATCAACGAGGCGCAGAATCAATTGATGAAGATCTTTGACCACAAACCACATGTCTCGGACATAATCAACCGTTTGCAATCGAAGCGCAATTTCAAGAAGCGCGAAAAGTTATAGAGACAAGTGTGGAAAATGTAGAAGCAATTCCACAACGACTTGTGCGCCTTTATGTATAACTTTTCATATGTTTATAGGATTGTAAATTGCTTTAAATTAACTATGTATTTGTCAGTAATTTTAAATTAGCATTACATACATATATACATATATATATATATTAATATGTAAGATATCACATTACAAAAAGCACACAAAAACTACAACTACACAATAATTGAACGCAATATTTTTTCAAGTTTCTTAAGCAGAAAGTCCAATACAAATTGTACTTATGACCTTTAAATGTGAATCGAGTTTTGATTTAGTTATTATTTAGATAACAGCTCCAATTGGAGATGCCTAAATATTTGCCAGGATATTCATGTTTAATCAAGTTGCTCAGAAGCGGATGCAGAAAGTAAAAGGAAAACAAGCTTTTCCGAAGAGCTTCCGCAGGAATCCTCATCCGTAAATCGCCCCACAAAAACAATATTGTTTTAAAAGTAGTTTTTTTTTATTTTGTTACTAGTAGAAGGAGATGGATGATTACATGGGTGGTGGCGGCGGCACACCGTTGAACATGGGATGCATGGTCGGACGCGGTGGTCCTGGCATTGGAAACCCGGCTGGTGGCCCCAGAGCCCGATGCAAATTCGGTGGTGGTGGTGGCATTATTTTTGGCTCGAATTTGAAGGCGAACTGCAAGAAGAACTGTTTGGTATCTCGATTCCAGTGCGTCCAGAACTTGCCCTCCATTTTCTCCACCTCGCGCGACGGCACCTTGAACCCAATTGTCTCGTATGGCTCAGCAGCGAAGAGCAGATATTGCCACTTGCGATCTGGTGGCTCGATCTTTTGCTCGTAGGCGGACATGAAGCGATGGCGCGGCACAATGCCATCGCTGATCTCGGGATAGTCTATCTGGAATAGCAGCGACTGCTGGTTGTTGGAGGGTTCGCGCTGTTTTGTCACTCGATAGCCAGGACGACCGATTTTCACGAACTTTTTGGGCTCGACGCGCGGCTTTTCGGGCGCCAGCAGTGATGAGGGTGATTCCTTGGCCTCTTTGGCCGCACGTCGCGCCAAGTTCTCCTGATGCTTTTTGCCCTGCGTGTGAGCCAAGTAACTGCCCTCGTTGTTGTGCAGGGTTAGGCACAGTTTACATTCGTAGGAGCCGAGATGGTTTTTCATGAAATACGGATCCTTGTTCAGATCAATGGTTTCGAGCGCCAGCTGCCGCAGGCGTTCTTTGCGCTCGCGATTGGTCTCTGACCAGGAGGCTACACCACCGCTACCGGTTTTGCCACCGGCGCGATTTTGGAAATCCATGTTTTTTAATTAAATCAACAAAACGTTTTACAAGAAAAATAAACGCCGGATTTCTGCTACATAAAGCAAGGTTGTCGAGTTTTCAGTGCCGCCTCTTGCCAATCGACTATAATAAATATCGATATTTTAACAATATCCATTAAATAAATTGTAAATCAAATAGTAAATCTGAAAATCGTTAGAAATAGTGTGCAAATGAGTGAACGTATCTGTGGGAAGTAGTTCAATTTATTATCTATTGTCGGTAGCTTAAGTCGAAAAACTAAGCTGTGATACATCGATACATCTTAACACAACTATCGAATATATAAGCAGAATATTGATACAAGTTACGGTCACTCTGATCTGTACTAAAAGTTGCACATGTTTCGAGTTTTTTTGCATTTTAAGAATTTCAATAATTATAAAGTGCAGCCAGTTAAAGACACGAAATAAGTGAGTGTAAACTGTTAATGTGACACCAAGCAAAATACTCAACTCGATATAGAGTGTATTTGTGGGTATAGCCAGAAATGTGCTGCTAAATTCAATTGTTAATGTAAGGTTTGAGTGATTTACAACAATACGCTGCGTAATTGATGAGAGCATAAAAATGCATTAATTGCAATGGATGAAGAAGCGGACAAGCATTGTTTTAAAATACCACCGAACATGGCCAATGCTCGGCAGGAGGGTTATGGCAACAACAACGACGGCAACAAGATTTCGATGCCGTCGCAGTCGGCAGAGAAATCGGGAACACCGCCCAAGCGGATTATCAATAAAATACCATTGGATTTCAACAAACTGAAGCAGTCGGGCTTGCATCGAACACTGGCAGAGGCATTGAGCAAACACAATTTGCATGCAGCCAAAAATATTGCATCAGGCGGAACAGCGGGGCAAGTCTACGCCTCTGCCCCAGCGCTGCCAACTGAGGCGGCATCTGCAACACAAACCCAACAACAAATGCAGCAACTTCAAACTGGTAATTGAATTAACTTCATTTATTACATGTAAACTAATCGAAAAAGAAAATCAAATCTGCTGGGAGTGTTTTTATGCTTGGTTGTTTGACACCAATATGTTATTGTGTAGCTGTATAAGCCGACAATCCCAATTATTCATAGGTAGCGCTGTTCGCTGAGTTCTTGCAATATTTTAATTGTGTTGGGGTTCGGGTTCGAAATAACGTTTTTTAAAAAAACGAAACTTTTTCCAATTATTTCGATTTTAAATATTTAGAAATCATTAAGAAGAAAGAATAGAATAGTTTATTAGATCTTTTTGGAAAAATATATTTTATGGTTTTAAAAAAAACAATTCCGAAGATCAAATTCAAATTTGTTAAAATAGTAAAGAAAATATTTCTGGACAAGAAACCAAGATTACAATGCAATTTAAAATACTTTTAATCAGTTTTAATTACCAATTGAAAAAACGTCGAAATGAAATACGTTTAAGGTTTGCGCTGATAACGTCTTTTTTTTAGTAGGCGCCAATTTATTACAAGTGATTTACTCTAATATTGAGTATCTATAATTTTTTTTTGAACCCCAACATTGTGAAATTCGTTGAAGTATCACCCTTGACATCAGAATTTGACGTCTCTCGATGGTGTTGCATGATAAATGTACGTAGTAGGATGCTTTATTTTCCAAGACGTAGCCGTTGGCCAGGGTTCAACTCACAGCGCGGATTGTGTTATTCCTCCGCCGGGGTTAAATGGAGCGATTGTGTTTTGTTGTAGACATTTTGAAATTACTATTTTTGAACACGTTCAGAGGTTCTCAGAATTTAATAATAGTCTTAATACTCTTCCTCAGAGTAGGTAAAAGAGTATGTTGGTTTTTTTTTAAAGTTCGACACCCAGAGACTTGAATCTTTGCATATATATTCGTCTGTGACCTCATCAAGGAGTTAAAAGTGGGATTCAATAAAGCCAAAAGCTAAAGTTATAAAGCTTGAATTAAGAAAAGGATAAACATCAAAAAATGTCTAGTCCACACCCAACTCCGCTGGCAAAAATCAATATCTCCCTCAATTTTAGAGCTAGATTTACAAAACTTGCGAAATAGATTCTAAGCTTCCCTTCCAAGAACTAATAAACGCCCACAACATTATAGCTAGAAATAGCAAGTTTGAATATGTCTTTAGCTGTCTCCGTATTTGGTTTGTTAGCTAACTGATGACCTCAATCAAAGATGAACAACAGTTTTCATCATAATCAATTTAATCATTATATTTAACTGGAATTGTTTTATGTACAAATTCTGCAATCTATTTGCAGCTCCATTGTCAGCTGGGAGTAATAAGCCCATGCATTTTGCAACCGCCGAGGAGCAATCGTTGCACATAAAAGCGCTGATCAAAAACAAAATATTGAACAAAGCTAGAAATTCGCCAGTAAGGCAACAGCCAACAGCCACAGTAACAGCATCAACAGTGACCAGCGTGGGTGCTGGTCAATCGGACGGTTTTACGGTGCCCCGAGCTAAAGCCGATTTGATAGTGCAATCAAAGCCGCCGCTTTTGCTTAACCTGGTAAATCAGCTGCCGAAACATCGTGCCATGTGTGGAGACAGCCGAGCACAGCCAAGGCGGCAACTGGAGCCACCAACACCAGCACCATCCCCACCACAGCCACCAATTACACCACTCGCACGAACAACGTTGGTATCATCTCCACCACCACTGATTGTGCTCGAGCACAAAGTATTGGCGCCAGATGAGAAGATCGATTTGAGAGCCTTGCGTCTGCCAAACGGTCAGCCAGCCACAGATAACAGCCATGTGGACAAGCCAAAAATGGTAGCCCCAAGGAAGCCCACGGAAATGCCCAAAACGACACTCGGCAAACTGCAAGCGTCCACGGCCAAGAAGATTATACTAAATGCCAATAAGCTGAAGCTGCCGCGTGAGCAGCTGGCCCAGTTGGCCAAGGAGGTGCGCAAACAGGCGATGCAGCAACAATTGCAACAGCCAAGTCCCAATATGCAGCCAGTGCTAATTCCCACCAATGTGGCACAATCAACAAAGTTTCGCACTGAAACGTGCACCAGTTCTGTGATAGCCTCCAGCAGTCGCATGTCGCTGATGAATCCAATTGCAGCCCTAGTCCCGCCCACAACAAATATTCACGCATCATTGATAACGCCATGCGTTGAAACTGCCACCAGTCCAAAGGCAAAGGTAACAGCGCCCATCAGCAGCGATGAGCCAACGGTTGGGAAAACTGAACTCTCCGCGGTGGATTTCATAGCACAGTTGACTGCAAGACGTGCCATCGATCCAACTAACTATACGGAACTGTCCGAGGAGGAGCTGAGCATGAATGCCAAATTTGGTTGCAGCCAAATGTCTGTGCCGCGTCCAGTCTCTGTCAAAGTGGAGGAGGACTTGCCCATTGGCAAGATACTGCAGATGCAGGACATGGACATATTGCATGCCACACTGAATGTGAACGGCAATGAGCCGAACGTCTTGTCCATTAGTCCAAATGCCATCAAATTGCAGAGCAGTCTGCAGCCCGAGGAAACTAAATGTCTCAATACTGATAATTCGGACAAAGACACCAGTAACGCAGCATCGAAGGATGAACCATTGAAAGTAACCACTCCGAAACATGTATATAGCAATGCCAAAAGAAAGAGTGTTTTGTCAAAGCCACCAACTTTGGTCGTAACTGTGCCCACTGAGGTTGTGGCTACCAACGATGAGCAAGCAGTTAAAGTGCCTTCGCCCAAGCAGCTGGAGGAAGATAACCAGAACGCCAAATTGGTGCCATTTAGACCCAAAAAGGGGAAAGTCAATTTAGTGCAACGCACCAAGCGATCAAGTATATCCAAAGCGAATGAGCCAATAGCCGAGAAGAAAACTGAAGAAACTCACCAAGCACCTGAGCAAGCTGAAATTGCTGAAAGTATTACTCAACGGCCAACGGACAAACTGACTGAAGACTCAGAAACTGAAAAATCAGCTAAGATATCAGTTAATATAGACAATGAAGACTTGGCTCCGACTATGGATAATGGCGTGAACATAGCAAATGTGGTTAAGACAACGGCTAGTGAAATCGTAATCTCGAACCACACAGGACCTGTGATAACTGAAGAAACTGCAGAGGGAAATCAATCCGTGGAGATTCAATCCGTCAAAGAAAGGGACCTTACACAACTATATCATCCACCCAAACTGCCGAAGCAGAAACTACAAAATCAAAGGGACAACAACAATGAGGTGATTAGCAAAGAAGAACTGCCAGATACACCACAACCAGCCGTATCTCTGTTGGAAGTGCTGGCACAGGAGCCACCGCCAGCGCAGGGCGAAGCTCAATTGCCATTTCGAAGCAGCGAACAAGCAGCAGTGGCCACGAAAGCGAATACCCTGGATGGTAATGCTGTGCAAGGTTTGGGTATTCAAAATCTGTTACAGCATTTGGCAGCTGAGAATGTGGTGGTGCCGGCCAGCAAAGAGCCAGTTAAGTCAGCGCCCCGGAAGAAACTGGTGAAAACACGACCAGTGCTCAGCGCCAAGAGGTCAACAAAAGCACTTGAACCCAAGACGGAAGCAGTAGCATCAGCAGCAGCAGAAACAGCTCCCAAGCAACTGAAAGCAGTGCATCCTCGCAAAAGAGCGCTGCTAGCGGAGACCAACACAAACGGTTCACATCGTGTACTGACCTCTAGCACCAGTGATGACGACAGCGGCATGTTTCATGGCTTTGAAAATGAAGCATCGGCAAACACGCAATTAAAGAGTAACGAAACGGATATTAGCGATGATGCCACGCCCGATTATGATGAGGCGGAGGACGAGCCACAGTTAAACACAGTATCGTTGCCGGCCAAGAAGATAAAGACTGAATCTGCTGCTCAAAACAAGCAGGATGAAACCAGCCCTAAGCAGTTGGAGGTGGAGAAGGTAAAAGGTATTGAAATAATAAAGTTGGTGCCTGATCCTGTAGAGAATGCGTCGAACACAAACTGTGAAATGCAGGACTCCAAATTACAAGACAAGAGCCAGCGTGATGTAAAAGAAAATGAAGAAAATAATGAGTCGGAAACAGCGGCGGAGAAATTGGAAAATGAGCAGCAAGTAAATACAAAAATATCTGCAGAAATGCCGGAGCAACCCGAAGATATTGTGATAACGAATGTGCCTAAGAAAAGGGCGCCCAGGAAAGCCACTCAAATGCAGGAATCAGAATTGCAAAACAAGCGAAAACGTTCGCGTCACAGTACTGTGAAAGCAAAAGAAGAAGACAACGAGTCAGAGTCTTCGATAACAGCAAACCCGGCGCAAACAGAAAGTGCTGAAACCGAGAAAGAGTCGACTGCAATTCGGGCGGACAACGTTGAGACAAAAGATGCGCCGGGATCACACAACAAGCGAAAGCGTCCCCGTCACAGTGATGTAAAGGAAAAAGACGGAACGACTGAGTCGGAATCGACAGAAACCCTAAAAGGGGAAACCCCAGCAAACGGAAAAAATGAGACAGAATCCTTAATAATGGAAAACACGAGTCTACCTACGGAAAATACGAAAAAGGAGGAAGTAGTTTCGACTGCAGTTGAGCTGGACAATATTGAGATGAAGGACGAGTCGGAATCACAAAACAAGCGAAAACGTCCACGTCACAGTAAAGTGCAAGAAAAAAACATTGCATCTGAGTCGGAATTGCCAGAAACCGTAAAAGGGAAAACTCCAGCGAAAGCGAATACGAATCCGGCAACAGAAAGTGTGAAAGCCGTTGGCACGAGAAGGCGAGGACGACCCCCAAAAGCAGGCGTAAGAGCTGCACCAGTAAACACCACAGTCACATCAGATGCATCCGATTTGCTGGATCCATCGGATTCAGCCCCTGAAGTAGACACACCCAAACGAGGGCGAAGAAGCATGAGAGCACAACTGGTAAACACCTCCACCCCGGAACCAGTGACGCCAGCAGCGCACAAGCGACGTGGTCCCAAGGCCGAACCAACACAATTCCTGACCCCAGATCAGCTAACCAGCTGCAGCGAGTCGATCAGCGACTTTGATTCGCGTTTGCTACTCATACGCAAACGCGAGCAATTGAACAGCGAGGAGGAGTTGCGGCAAGATGGCTGTGGCAAGGGCAATAAACAATGTGGCCTGTGCCTCGTGCGCTTGGATAACTGGCAGCAGCATCTGGGCGATCATTACGGCGTCGGATGGCTGGTGGGAGAACCTCAACCGGTGAGTAGCAGCACTTGATATTCAGGAATCTATATACAGTAAATATATGCTATATGTTATGCAGGTGTTGACACGCAAAGTCGTCATTAGAATGATGAAGGCTTATATCGATGCGGGCCATAAGCGTTTGAGCTGTCGTCTCTGCGATCGGAGTCTGACCACCGGCCTGGGCATGCTGCTACATCTGGAGAGCTGCGGCGTCAAGGAGCGCATTGTCTGTCCGGATTGCGCCGGCAGCTATACTAAATTATCATTTCCAAATCATTGTCGCACCTGCCCCATGCGGCAGCGTCCGCCCAGCGAGGAGAAGATTGAAACCGAGATGGTATCGGATGAGACACCAGTTTACAGCAATGCGGGTCGCTTTAAACGCAAGTCCACATTAAAGTGAGTTAGTCATAGTTGATTGTAACAATTGTATTCTTCAATCATTTCATTCTTGTAGAGCCGAATCGAAGCTAGTTAAAATTGCTGCCCAGATGAAAAAACAGTGCTTGGATGAACCCGAAAGCCGTAAGAAAACCGATGGCAATGCATCCGATTATGACATCGGCGCTGACAATGAATCGTCTGACGAATATGAGTCGGAAGGTGTGGATTCCAATGAGGATGACACATCTGTGAATTCGTCCCTAGTTAGGCCAACGCACATCACAAACAAATCGAGAATAAGCCAAAAGACTCGTGAGTTATCAGAGTATGCCAAGTGAATTCCCAACTCAATTTTATTTTGCAGTGTATGGACGTATAAATGTGGAAACGGTGGCAGAAGATCGTTGGAAGCATTTGTAAGTTGTTTTTGCCAGAATATATATCTATAACAATCAATAAACAATAAATTCATTAACGTTTCTTTCTAATATTAACAGCGCGAAACATAATTATGCAACAGGCGTTTTATATCCGCATCTATTGCCACGCTACGAGAAGTTATTGCCTGAGGCTGCCAGTTGTCTGCTGCCCTCTAAGGAGACCACCTCCATGCGCTTAGCCTATGGTAAGGTGGATGACAACGCTTGGATGCAGCTGGCGCCATTCGAGGGATTCAATAAACAACGTATGCATATTAATTAACATGTTATTTAATCAGCTAATTAATATTTTATTGCCAACCGCAGATGAATATATATGTTATGTGGGTGGCGCTGTCAAGGAGCTAGCATGGGTTCCTCTGCCCCCGACAGTAGATACGCAGTACCTATTGTGTTCCCAGCGCAACAGGATGAATAGCTTTGCGCGACATTCTAAAGATAAACAGGAAGACGCCCTGCTGTTGGTCTTTGAATGCAAAATGTCGCCAGCTGGTGTCGACAATATCTGGCCGCTGCAGATGCGCCTACATTATGGCATTTCTCTTGCCCAGGACTCAGTGCATAGTATAGCACTTATGCCCAGCGGTGGTTATGATGAGTCCACAAATCGATTAGGCCTTTTGGCCGTCGCCAGCTCATCGGGAACTGCTATTTTCGCTCTGCCCTTACATCTGGCAGGCTGTGAAAAGGCCGGTAAAATTAAACCAGATGCTGTAATTGCATTGGAGCCGTTGCTTACACTCACTCTGGATATAGAAAATCCTGTGAAGGATCCGTGCACTAAAATTTGCTGGTCTGAGGTGAGTACTTCATCTGTTGAGAGGTGGATAAACCATAGACTGTTAGGCAAAAAAATCGAAATCTGTAGTTTTTATATAACTTGTTTGTTTTCATTTTAGAGTTCTGGTCACAATTTGTTAGTGAGTGGCTATGCCAGCGGTAACGTTGCTTTTTGGGACATTTCCGACGAACAGGGACTCAACTGCTTTGAGCGGAATAATCGTCGTCATTTTCTACCCGCAAACATATTTTACTTTGGCGAGCGAAATATAAATTGTAAGTAATAATGAAGTCCAATTACCCTATGGAATAATGCAATAATTACTCGTTGTGCAGATTTGGAGCTGCATTATGACACAAACGGACCACGTTGGCTGGCCGTCGGCGCCTTGGTGCGTAAACTATGGATCTATGACATATCGAACTGGTCGCAGCCATTGCCAATTGTTGGCGATACCATACAAAATTTATTTTTGGGTGGTGTAAACTGGCCGCCTCTGTGGGATTCGTTGGTCGTTGGTGCAACCGAGCTGTACAAGTATCGTAAGTTCTACTTTGTTCCGTTTGCCAGTTTTTCGGTTATCATTTTTTTGTTGTTGATATTTCAGAATATCCACGCTTGATAACACTAAATCCTTCGGGTATTAACTTTGATCACGGGCCGCTGGATGCGCTGCTTAGCAGTCCGCGTGCAGTGCATTTTAATTGGGATCAAGTGGCACTTGTCACAGTAACCGATAACGGTGATATCACATTCATACAATCTAATCAACTAAATATGGAATCTCAGTTACAAAAACGAACCACAAAGTGCCGCACTGTATGTGCAACAGAGGCATGTTATTTGAATGGCACTTCGGAGCCAGATTCCGTAAGCCCGGATGTTTTTAGACGAGACTATGGCCTGTTGCTGAAGCCTCTAACAAATGTTCCCCACGCAAAGAACACAACTTATCGAAACTCCAGGATACAAAGCGGTTTTGAATTGTTAAGTCTCACGCGTCTCAATTGTGTGCGTTGGAATTGGAACCAATGCGCACGTAACTGGATAGCTGTGGGTGCTGAGCACGGCCTATTACGAATCGTCAACTTTGATCGTACCAAACACTTTACGATAATTTAAGGATAATATAACTAAGATGTTTGCTTTCTAAGAAGTTACCGTTACTGAAGTTTTTCGCTTTAGCATAACCTTTGAATAATTTGTAATAATTTATTGATAGCTGTTATGGTGATTGACACAGAAGATGTATATAAAAATATAGATGTATCTATTTAATATTATATCGTTTATACAATATATTGCAATACTGCAAGTATGTAATATATTAAATATATATATATATGTATTTATCTATAAAAAAATGCAAAAATAAAACATAAATGTTGAAATGTGCTGAAAATGACTACACTAAAAATGTAGGATTGTTAATCAATGGAAATTTATAAAATGCTTAAAATAATTTATGGATTAGTTGAAGATACATACATGCATAATTACGAATCTTTTCTATTTATCAAAAAACCTAAAAAAAAACCATTTCGAAATCGTATCAGCATTTCAAATAATGTTAGCCGCATAAAAAAGGAACTGTCATATCAACAACTTAGATTCATTTAAAATTCACAAAATACGTGGAACTGATATTTATTATTGAAAGTAAAGCTCAATGGATGGAAGTATGGAAAAATATTTAGGAACCGGGCCTCTGGAGGATTATCAACAAAGATTGGACCGTTTGATGAAGCAAATAAAGCGCCTGGAAAACATTGTGGACTCGCTTCTATTGGTGCAAAGCACTAAGGATAAGGAAACGGTAAAGGAGAATACTAAAGAAAACCAACAACCCAAAGAAGATAGTGAAGATTTTTAATTTAAAATGTATAACTGATGTGGCTGGCCCTTGTGCAGATCTATTAATATTAAAAATGCCATTAAAAATTTATTTACAACATACATATATTTAATATATTTCTCACTACCATCTGCACATTAGTATGGTTGCCGTATATGTATACATATTTATATATATATATAAATTACATCAATATTTTGAAATGGATGCAGATATTTTAACAATGATATAACGCAGTATTTTTGAGCTATGGTAAGCATCGATATCGATATAATATATTAATTGTCCTCATTGCGATTAGAAATGTTTGCAATCAAATAATCTTAAATCATACTGGTACATACATGTATAAAAAGTTGAAAAATTCTTTTAGTAAATAAATAGGTTGGCAAAATGCATGGCTTACAAACTAAACAGGCTAAAATGCTTACATAAATTAAAACTGAATGTTCCGAATTACACATAGACAGCTATCGATACACAAATGTGCGCACAGCATTTTCAAATTTCCCCTCAAGAATACCAAGATTACATACAAAAGATCTAAAAAAAATATATGAGTAATATTTATTGAATGTATATATCTTCGAGTGGGAGTGTTTGTGTATACAAATGCAGTATATTTACTGCTTATTTCTATTGTCTTTTCAATGGCCGCTTGAGGGTAGCAGAAAACACAAATCGCGATAATTAAATGAATATGTGGCTGAGAGAGTAGATTAACAGGGCCCTAACATATCTGGCTATTATGCACTTGACTTTCAGTCTTCATTCTTAGTACAAACTCATTTTCCCGTTCACCCTTCCTTGTTTCCTGTGCTCGCTTTCATTATTTTGCTGTGCAAACTAAACTGTATTCGGACAATAAATTCTATTAGCCAAATCATCAATTGAAAATGGAACTTGACTTGCACTTAACACATAAACGTAAAGTTACAATGAAATAAAATTTCGTAGCTGAGCAGCTTTTACTTCTCGCTTCGTATAGCATTTGACGGCTCCAAGTTGGAGTTGCCAGCCAATTCCTGCTGAATCTCGTTGAGGCTCTTGCCCTTCGTCTCGGGCACGGCAAAGAAGACGAAGATGACACCAACAAGAGTGAGACCAGCGAATAACCAGAAAGTGCCACCAGTGCCCAATCCCTCATTCAGATTCTTGAATGTCTTTGTTACTACAAAGGCCAGCACCCAGTTTGTGGTGCCCGCAATAGAGCCGGCAAATCCCTTAATATCGGTGGCAAATAGTTCGCCCATCATCAACCACGGCACCGGTCCGAAGCCAATTGAGAACATGACAATGAATACGCACAAGCTGGAAACGGGCAGCCATCCCAGATTATCCACACTTTTCTCATCCTGATCCTTCATATAGAAATAAACACCAATAGCAATGGTCGACAGCGCCATAACAATTCCCGAGGCGAGCAACAGAATACGGCGTCCCAGCTTGTCCACCACAAGGACGGACACAAAGGTTGCCACCACCTGCATCACACCAATCAGAATTGTTGACATGTCCGACCTGATTCCAGTGTTTGCAGCCTGCAAGAAAGCCAATTTGTTATTACCAACTAACCAAAATAATTACCGAATCGACTTACTTCAAAAATGGCATTGGAGTAGAAAATGACTGCATTGATGCCGCTCACTTGTTGGAAGAACATGAGACCCAAGCTGATGCTCAATGCCTTTATGGTAACGGGACGGGTCAGTGCTTCCATGATATTCACTTTGTTCTCACGAATCTCGCGATTTGTCTTATGCAGTTCCTCCAATTCGGGTGCGTAATCGTAATCCTGGCCACGCAACCATTGAATCGAATTCACAGCAGCCTGTGTGCGATCCTTTGAAACCTGTTAAGTGCGATTGAAAATCATTAGACAAATATTTCTGAGAATTCTACAGATGTTCAATATATTTTTTCAATATTCTATATATATTTTGATTAATTTAGAACTTACCAAATATGTAGGTGATTCCGGCATGAAGAAGAAGATGACACCAAAGATGATTGGCAAAATGCCGCACACGACGCTCATCCAAAAAACGTTGAGACCGGCACCAATGCCATAGACGAACAGAATACCAATGGTGATCATTAGCTGAAAGAAGCTGCCCAGAGTGCCGCGAATATCCTTTTGGGCAATCTCGCCCGTGTACATAGGCGCTGTCACACAGAAGGCACCGCCAGCGATACCCAGAATGAAACGTGCGGCATACATCATGCCCACATTCTGTGCCCAAATGAGCAGAGCCCAGCCAAGCACAAAGGGCAATACAAGGAATAGCATTGTCCACTTGCGTCCAATCATATTGATGAGGAATCCAATCGGGATGCACACACAGGCAGCACCCAATGTCATGAACGAGCTGATCCACGAGAACTGCTCTTTGCTTACATCAAAATCGTAGGCGGTGCCATCGGCGACGATTGGCGTATCTGCTGGCGATGTCCAGCCAAGCACTGTGCCCGCTGCGAATGCACCACCAGCTGCTGCCAAGGCGGCAACATATTGCGGCAAGACCTTCGACTTGTTCTCGGTCGACGTGTGCACCATTTGGCCAAGAAGATTCTGCTGATCCTGCAAAACACCAGACGAAACGACAGACGTTCAGTATTATGTAAAGCGTTCAACTGTTGCGCGTAGTTGGTCGTTCGACCAACTAAGTAGAACTGCTACCTATATCGTATAATCGCAAGATTCGTATCGCAAGCCGTACTAATGTCCCTTACATCACCCACCACCAGAGATTACGAGCTCTTTAACGTTGCGATAGTGTGTCAAAGTCTCGGACAAATTCTTCGTTACTTGCCCAAAATTATCAAGTATTGGCCCATAAGCCGCAGCTTTATCAGAAATAATAACAAAAAAACTTCTTGGGTCAGATTGAGTTATTTAAAACCCAAGCTTATTGATAAGTATAAATTGTTAATGGTAAAGCGATTGCCATTTGATGGGAATTCACTATTTCTGATAAGAATACCCTGTTTGATAACGATAAGTGTGGACATCCTGCATCGCTGGTGCAATATAATACACAGTAGACCTCAATGAACTTTATGACTAGCAAGCCAAATATCTTTTACAAGCTTGTGCGTCATTGATAATTTATATAACATCCTAGAATGCTAATAGAGCAATTTAATGTTGTAGACTAAATGTGTGCCAAATTATTTAATTAGTGAATTTCTAATTATTAAAAGTACTTATTTAAGATGAAGTTGAAAATTGTATGTAAGCTGAATGCTTCATAAACTTTTCAACAAAAAAAAAAAAAACACCTGAAGCAGATGTGTATCTATTTTTTTAAAATCGCAATTGATATTTAATATGACTTCTAAATCGCTTTTAAAGCACATCGAATATTTATTATTTTTCAAATGGTAATAGGCTCGTCAAGTATTTAGTTTCCAGGGCTGTGAGCCACTGAGGCGGCACCAATTAAACATTTTTGCAGCCTTGGCCATGGCAATAAATTATTCAATTATAGGTACTTATTTCAGAGCATATGTACTAATTTTTATCGCATGTCTAATCAATGTGTTAAATATCTATATAGATACTACTATGCAACGCAAGCCTGCTTTGGTCATAATTCTGCCAATTAATAATCGATAATTCCGCAAGAATTTATTATTCGTATAATTACCGATTGGTCAATAAAATATTTTTTGTGCGAATTATGATAAAAATGTTAAATACACAATTCGCTAAGTGGTAGCACTTAAGAAAAACAATTTATGTACACAGTAAAAAATAAAATTGAGGGCATTGATTAAGTTGTTTCTTTATCCTAATTTTCGGCTATGCCGCACTCAATATTTTTGAAGTGCTTCGTACTAAATCAAGTTATAAATTCTCAAAAATTCTAAAAACATTTGAATTTATAAAGTACAAATATCGGCAAATTTACAAATATGTCTAATATATATGTGATAATATATATATTCGAATATTTATTTAAAGATAAAATTATCATATAAATATAAATAAAAAACAATATAATTAAATAACCGATACTTAAATATTTATCATATTTAATAAAAATTAGAAAATTTCTAAATTAATCTAAAATTCAATTTAAACATTTCTTATTTTTTTTGATTTATGTTATGAGAAAATTCGCATACTGTTTTTATATACCCAATCTAATGAATTGTTTACTTTCACATATCAATTACTAATATAAGTGCGACAGTAAAAATAAATCTAAATAAAAATCGTATAAGTAAATATATAAAAAAAACAATATAACTACATAAATATCTGATACTTGAAAAGATATTTAAGTTTTAATAAATAATCAAAAATTTAATTTATACCTTTAAAATGTTGTTGCTTACGTTATATTAAAATTTACATATTTTTGTTGTATACCCAAACTTATTAATTATTAACTTTCATGTTATACACAGACAGAAAATGCATTCGCACTCGTGAGTATGTGTAGGTTTTTTTGAGTGTTTCTTTCTCTTTAGTTGCGTTTTCTTTTTGCCATTTGCTCTATCACATTTGACACCCACTCACATAAAGTGCCTCAAATCACTACTTGCAATCCCATACATCGTGGTATGCATATCCAATCAAAGCCCACATCGGAGCAGCACAATATTCACTTCCGCACATGGCAAACGCTGGCCGAGAGTTGCATTATCCAACCGGTAACCGAGAAGGGGCGCGCCCACGCCCACAGACTGATCCGACTGCTCCGACTGCTACTTCTATTGCTGTTTTTGTGGTCGGGACACACCTCTATGTTGGTAGTAAGTCTGCGATGAAATCGATATTCGCTGTATTGTGCAGTGTTGTTGTTGTGGTCATTGGGACTGCTGCCAGAGTACTCAGCTATATTTATATTTAGATTTACGTTGGCAGTTAACCAAGTCAATAACTTGTTGGGCACCCACGGCCCAATAGACTCTGATCTGCGTTGGGACGCGTCAGGATGAACTCAACGCCGAAGGTCATTGTCATTGTTAGCCCTAGTCCAAGTTCGTTTCAATGTCATTTAAAGTACTACGCATTCACAAAAGAAATATTTAAGTAGATTCATTTTGACTTGCTGATTTACATAAAAATGTGAAGAAAACTAAGCCGGAAACTGGTTTAATCCAACGTTCGAAAGAGAGGCTGTTAAGGAATCTTATAAATACCCCCATATAACCTATATATGAATAAGGCCATAATAATCATTAAATTTAATATAACAAGATTAAATGCAACAACAGGTTTATATGAATTTTATCATTAAAATTTCTTCCTCATTTTCTGGATATTTTTAAACAAATGAGAATGCAAATACTACGCATATTTGGTATACAGGGTGTTTTCGTTGATATGAACTAAAACTGAATACTCTGCTGAAGCTAAAAAGAAAAACAACAACCCTTCTTTGTTTAATTCAGTGAACATCTTAGCAATGCAGATATTCATAATTCATTCATAATTTAATAGTTGAGATTGGTGAGCATTGGCATTGAAAGCATGACGGCATTTTATTTAGTTTGATATCGACAGATGGATATAATTATATGTGTATTTTCAAATTTCCACTTTGGGTTATTTAGTGCTATGGGCAAGGTCTCCTCTCCAAAAATAAAATGACTAACGCAATCAGTAGTCAGCAAGCAAATCTGGTTTAAAAAGCCAAATATGATAAGGGTTTATCGAATAATTGTTTTATTGGGGGCGTCGAAATCAAAACTTGTTATTGTTGTTATTGTTATTGCCACATAAAATAATAATAACAAGGTCTAGCGTAAAAGTAAATATAGTAAATTCCCAAAAAAAAAAAAAAACAATTAAATAAATAAATAAAAAATGATGTTATATTATTTGAAACTCGTTCCAGCTCATGCATGAAGTGAATTAACAATTTTTTGGACATTTAATATCATATTCGTAGACCGGCTTTGGTTGAACGCTTTTGGGATCTCACATAATACTTTATATATATATAAAGTAGATGATACATAGATTCTTTTTTTTGAGTATGAAATATGTAGTTGACAATCCATACATATATAATCTAGTCTAATCTAAATCCATCTTATCTTTGATTTATGTTTTAATTTGACAAAATCCATCAGTAACCATTTGAATGTTTTCCAATGTCTTCTTCTCTATTTATTTTTTTTTCATTTCCAGTTGGATGACTAATAAATTGCTACAAACTGTTGTATGCTATCAGTTCGATAGCAGACTCTTTATTAAAGTAAATATTAAAGTTTGTATGCTCTGGGAAAGCAGATGAAGCGAGTTTTGCTTCACATAACGATAATTGGGCGTGCCGCGGTGCTTTAATTTTTTTCCTACATTGTCAAGGTCAAACATAGTCGACTCATAGATACAGGTCGAATGGTAAGGTTAAGCGGGGGGTCTAGAGTGGAGCGAGAGTAACTTAAACTTGTTTTTGTTAGGTTTAATGCCAGCACCAGTTAGAAAATTTGTGTATAATGTTTGCCTACTTGGAGACTGGCATTGGCACTGTCATTGACATTGGCTTTGATGATTTTTACCGCTTGCCGAGAGCCATATTTGGCACCGTTCTCGTTGGTCTCCAGCAGGTGGGAGCTCTCCTCATTGCTGGCATCGGGCTTTTTGTTGGGCTCATCGCCGCTGGAGTTACTCGATGATACCGTTGACATGTTGCTAATTTTGATTTCCTATTGCGGTTTCTATTGTTTTGTTTTTTTTTTTTCTTTCTTTTATTTATTTATTGCTTTGGGCTACTAATTTTTTAAACAAATGCAAAGCTTTTACTCGCTTGATGTGTATATTATGTCACTTGTGGATATGTTTTGTAAATGTAAAGCGTTGTTTTATTCGTTTCAGTTGCAAAACACTTTTTTTTCGTTGTTTTTCATGTAGCTTTGTGTTTTTCTTTGTTTTATTTTTTTTAAATGTCAAATTTGTTGAATAATACGCTCGCGCGTTTCAAAGTCCTTTTGGTTGTGCCCGACCAAATGTCCTTTAGCACATCGTCCACCCGCATACATAGATTGTGGAATACTGTTAGGCACATGCGCAGTGTGTTGCAAAAAGTGCATTTGGATAGCCAAGATAAGCACCCAGCACAACACACACAATAATCAGACGGCTTGCAAGGCGTTAAACTATCTCTAAATGTATCTCTCTTAACCGCACGCAACGACTGTTGGATAGCAAATGACGCGCCAAATTGTAAAAAAAAAAACAACACCAGCAACGCCGGGCTCTGTACTGGATATGGACTCTCTCTCTCTCTCTCTCTCAGACTTGCAGTCTTCCTCGCTCTGCGTGTGTGTGTGCCTCTCAACTGGTCTGGCGGAGACGCTCTCCCGGCGTCGTTGCCTGCCGCCAAATGGGGTGGCCACTGACGCTGTCGAGGCTATTGACTTGCAGCAGCAACAGAAACTGGAAATTGTAAGCGCCTTTGATTTGATTCTCCTTCGCTCTGTGCTCTACTCAAGATTTCTTTTTGCGTTCTGCATCGCCAGCAGCAAGAACAACAACAACAACGACAACTATCGAGTCAAGAGCAGACTGCAGTCCACGCTTAAGTGCATTGAAGTTTACATGCCTTCCCCGATTTGAGTCCACCACATTGTGGGGGGAACGATCCTCTGATCGTTTCGCTGAATTCGTTGATTGTGACCTTAATTGACGGACAAACTTTATACATCCGACTTATAGAAATGTTGTCCTTTACAAAAAAGAATAATTCAAACTATTTAAAGCGCATTGAATTGATTCGTTATATAAATCATGTGCAACAAGGCACAATAGTAATTAATTAAATAATTTAAAGCAAGGGATGCATTTATCTTAAATTTTTTACGTACTACATTTATTTTTTAATATAACATTTAAAATGTAGGCATAATTCAACTATACTCTGTTCTAGCCACATACAGGGTATTGAAAGCACAAAGTGATTTGTGAGGTTATCAAACCATTTTATTTATCATCTTTTGTGCTTAGTACAAGTACAGTTAGACACTTCCAGCTAATAGCCAATTGCAATCTATATGTGTATTTATTTATGCAATTAGCCAAAACAGGGCAATCTGTGTGCATATTTTGGTAAATACGCAATTATCGCGCAACAAAGTTGAAAATTTCAATTTCCTATTCTCGTTGTCCACATGACTGCTAGTAGTAAGTAGATACAAATGTATATTTTAGCCAGTGTAAATATTCTCTCTCATGCATTTCCATATGCACAAATCTCCAGGTTGCTACATATGCGCATTGCTTACAAGCCATACGTAAATGCATATGAGAGTTTTCCTATATATATATATTTATATATATAGACATGTATATATATGCATATTCTTCGATAAAGGCACTCTTTCTTGTACCGGTTCAGTTTTGAAAGCAATCAAGCTCTTCACGCATTAATGCATTCGTTGAATAGATCGTGTTTGTCTTTCGGAAATATGAGAAAAGTAGGCATAAGAGTTCCACAATGAATATGCGGTTTTGAATCAATGAGTGCATCCACATCTATGTCGTTGTATGTATTTTTGTGTACACACATTTGAATAGAAGCATACAGCTGCATCTAATCGTCAACAAATAAGTAGTAAGCTATCAGTTATCCTGTAGCAAATTTTAATTAACCTTTAGTTCTGTTATCATTATGCAATAAAATAATTTAAGCTTAGGAAATTTAATTGATACACACAATTAATTAATCTTCTTATATTATAATTTTTTAATAAATATGAATCTATTTAGTTCGTATATGGGTCGATAATCTTGTTATAAACTCAACATATGTACACATTTATTTATTAATTTGTAGGGTGCAAATACCAGTGAATAAACATGACAATGCTGGAAATGAGTGCTTCGAGTATGTGAGATGAGAGATGAGCACATTTACGCATGTCACATAAATAGAAGAAAACAAAAGCGAAATAAAAATCAACGAGGCGCAGAGAATGATTAATTAGACATCTGTGTTTTTTTTTTGAAAATTTCTATGGTTCATTTTCAGCGTTTTCTTTATTTTTGATGTCAAATATACATAAATATCTTTATATATTTTTATTTATTTACATAGTGTAGACTGAAAACTGTCCACAAATATCAAAAAATATTCTATAATAATTTTCGTTTACTAGTGTGGATAAATTTCTTGTATTGCGTTGCCATTTATTATTATTGACTTGCCAGCTACTCGGAATGTGTGTATTTTTTTTAGTGAGTACCCCTAGTGTCTCGTACCCACATCTGGTTAACACACTCAAGTTGCGTGGCAAGCTGGGACTGAAATACAACCAAACATTTGGCACGCTTCTAGTTGGGGCCAGGCGCACAGAGCGCCTAAAAGCATGCTCACCTGCATCTACACTCTTGTTTAGTTCCAGATTGTCTTTGTGTGTGTGTGTGTGTATCTGTGTGTATCAGTGTGTCTGTTGCTATACCTATGGAGGCCATGCCATGACCAAAGCACGCAATGTGCCACAATGTGTATGTATACTAATTACGGAGCTCAGCCGAGCCAAACGCAGAGCCAAAGCACAGCAAAAGCAGAGCAAAAGCGAAATTCGAGAACCCGAATGACCTCCATCGCTAGAGTTATGTAAAAGCTCATTAGGGCGACGAGCGCGCTGACGTTGACGATTTGAATGTGCGCTAGGCAAGCGGCGAGTGGCGCTTGATGAGGGGCGAGAGGGGGAAGGCGTTCGCAGTGAGTACGTCAGTAGCAGCGACGTCATGCGATTGTATCTCACACATACTTGTTACATTTTTACACCTATTTGGGTTAGTTGTGCGCGTGACGTCACAATAGCCAAGCCCCAAAACAGTTGGCCAATGGGAGAACGCGAACGTGCCCCTCAAATACTATGAAAAAAATATGCATTTCAAGATTTGAGCTAAAATTTCAGTGAAGCTTTTTTAGTTGCTGTTTGCCCACGCAAATCACGCGATTTGCGGCAGTTCAAGTGCAGCTATGAGAAATTTGCTGTAGTAGCACAATTTCTTTTGTTATGACCTACATTTGAACTTGTGATGAAACACGCGTCACAATTCGATATATTTTTGTTTTTATTTTCGCCTCACGGGCAAGCTAAAAATCAATAGGGCGCCCTCGCCTGGCTGAAGGTGAATGTATCCATCACATGCCGTGCAATGAATGCCTCAAGTGTCCTTGAGTATAAGATATATTGAGTTCGGAATGAAGACAAAAACATGACATTTATTTGTCTGCCAAAACTGTGGAACTTATTTTAATGACCTCATTTGAATACACATCTAAGTAATGGGATCCATACAATTTTCATCTGGATTTAATTAGCTTGACATATTTTCTCGAAATGTTAACAAAATATATTTTTATTTGTATAAAACATAATCATATTTTATATTTACCTATGGCACTGAAATCCAATTGGTACTTCTTCTTTTAAAAGAATTGGCTCCTGCAAATAAAAAAACATTATGGAAATAAATTATAATAATTTATATCAAGTTATATTAAACACTTGTTAGAATTCAATTTGAACCGCCAAAACAAGCAGTACAAAAGCTCCTATTGAAAGCTTTCAGTGTGAGTGCAGTGCTTGATGGCAGTGCTGCTCAAACTGTGGATCAAACGTAATAGTATCCAAACTGTTGTTGTGGCCTGTCGTAAAAAATATGTTTTATGATAACGAAAATGTTAAATAAATAGTTAGGAAGTGTTGTAAAAAAGTGGTTTCAACTTGTGAATTTAAACTATTGCTTAAGTAAACAGTACATATTGCGTAAAGTACACTTTTCTTAAAAGAATATTTACAAAAGTTAAATTCCCAAAACAAAAACAAATTCCAGAGAATTAAATAAGACGAGCTCTAATCTTACATGAGCTTATCAGCTTAAGCAAAGCAAGCTACACAATCATTATCAATAATATAGAAATTGGTTCAATGCATTATTTATTTATGAAATATATATATATATACATATATATATATGTATGTCAGTGCACAAGTATGAGTGACACATTTGGCTAAGGACTTATCGCCGGTTTCCGCGCCTTATCGTCTTATGTCATTCGGTTATATTGTATGTGCCGTTTAAGCGCTTTATGACCCTATCGATATCAGTTATTCAGATATGATTATTTGATAATTTCAAACCTACTTGTACATGCATATGAAAATTGTATTTGGAGTGCATTGTTGATCAGTTTTCGAGTGGCCTGTCACTAAAAAAAGAACGCTGACATATGATTGATAGCGCGCAACATTTATCCATTGACTAAAACACAGCAAATAAAAAAACTCGCCCACATATGGAACTGATAAAGAGACACGCGTACGTTAACAAGTAATTTCCTTATTAAATTCACACAAAAACGGGAATTAAATTATTGTGCGAAACCTAACAATGGAAGAGAATCTACCTATTATTTGTGGCAATTGAGCGCATTTTTGTCTTATACTTAGTAATCTTTATGATCTTTGGCCGCAGATATAAAAGTGGGCAAAAAAGATTGTAGCACTTGAGATACCAGGCAAACCATAAAATAAATAAATAACTCTTGACTCGCATGGCAATATATAAATAACTTGAATGGAAGAAAAACGACAAGACTTTTTTTTTAATTCCCATAAATCCAACTGTACCTAAATGCTCAACATTTTGAGAGTTATATACAATAATTATATATACGAATGAAATTCTTTTGACATCTGGGTTATATTGAAGAAGGTTGTCATGGATTTTTATAAATAAATTCGTTTGTGGTTTGCGGTACACATGGGCATTGGACCTTAATCAGGGCTCTGTTCTTCAACCTAACAATTCAATGTTCATTGCATCAGTTAATTGTGGGCATTCAAGTTCAAAGACTTTTTATCGCGGGGCATAAATTTGCGTAAGGCATTAGTGATTAAAAAAATTATGAAACTCCTATACTAGCAATGCTTAGCTTATTATACTAATCTTTGTCAAGAGCCGATCCATATCTAGTATGTGGAAATAGTACTTATTTTACAATTGACGCAAGCACTTGAATTGAATTGTTGCCAGTTTCAACGAACCCAGAGAGATGAACCAAATCAGTGATTAGACTCAATCTAAAAGCATATATATACATATTAATATAGATATATATATAAATATATATATATATATATATATGCGTGTGCTATGTAAGTCCATCTCACGACATTGGGCAGCGTTGACAACAATAATAACTGACGACAACATCAACGACAACAAAAGATCAAAGGGGGGTTATCAATGCCTGGCGAGAGGCCCGTCTACGGGATCTCAATTAAATTAAGTACTTGGCTGGATTATGCCGTTTTCCCTTGATCGCTGACAGTGCTGTTCACCAATTGCATGTAAAAGGTTGAAAGGTCCACAGATCGAGCTGAACTCAATGTATAGTCAAGTGCATTAAGATTAGCTCTGATGATAAGCTTTACAAAATGTACTGCTGATTAGAGCATGTGATTTTCCAATAAAGTATAGAAGCTATGTGCAATTATTTTTAATGAAGAAAACGGGCCCATTTATTATTAAGAGCCCAATCGAAAGAATATGAGTAGTTCTTAACAATGTGTCTCCTTTCCCAATGTGTCTCCTTAAAACTATGCCGCACTTCTAGCTAATTAGGAATTGATTTCACCTATTATGTATTACTATTAAACACTTGTATTATTATATTATTTACAATTTTAATATGTAATTTAATTTTGTAGCTGAAAGTGAATATCATTGACTTAGCAAAATTGCTTTTTATTTGTTGAGCAGTGGACTGTATATCAACTATCAAATAAACTTTCCAAACGGCTTAATTATGTTATCATTTTGTCAGTACTAATATTGCTTTTATAAATCATTCGACTCTTATCTAATATATTACAACAAATAACATATCTCTAATAAGCAGCTTTAAAAAATGATCTGAAAGGGAAATGTGAATTATTGAAAGGTTTTGCTTTCAAGTAAACATTGAATTCTTAGAGCCAGCTGCAATTGATATTCTTAACGTTTGTAATCGAATTAGTATTTTGGCGTATTTATTATTGCTTTGCTCATCACTTATTGTTGATACGGACTTATAATAAATATGATTGTTTTTATTTTATTTTAATTTTTACACAAAAACTGACAGCGCAATTAAAGTGATTACTTGTTGCGGGCTTGGGACCTGTTGTTAGTCATGAAACTCCACTCATGATTTTAATTTATTCTATTTATTCTACGTGCTCTTACTAATAAGTACTAATAAGCTGCGATTTAGAAAATAAAATCAAATTTGCGCATTAAATTTGTTTTCAGAATTTACTTCCTCTTTATTACTTACGCAGCAAGTGCTCACAAAAAATATGTACTTTTAGCAACAATAAGTGAAATTAGATCAAACTAATTTAACGAATTAAGACCGAAAAGAAAATAAATATAAAACGAATAACGAGTTTACAACAGTATAATTTGAGTCAAGACGTTATAAAATTTCAACCTTAACGTGAACGTCTCTGAAAATTAAACAGCTGTAAAAATAAACTTCATTAAGTACTTGTTTCTTTATTTGCATACATTTGTTTATGAAAGGTATACCATTTTGTTTTCGATTTTAAAATACAAAAATAAACATGAAGTATCGTAAATATTGTACAATTAAGCTACAATTATAAATTGTACGTTTGCTTGTGTGTGAAATAATATTACACAGAACTCTACAATATCAAATTGATTTAATTGCTTTGCGTTTTGAAAAGTGCCAATAATATTAACGGTAATTATCTATTGCCGTTTAAATGTCACATAAATATGTAATTGGAATTTGTAAGTTGAAATCTACAACTCACTTTTTAACTATACGAGAACATTTTTTTATTTAATGAGCTGCGACTTTTTTAAAAATAAAACTTACTCGTGTTATTCTGGTTAAGTTATTGTTTTGGCAAAATTATATAAAAGTTTCGGTTGATTTTGTCGTCAGGCTTTACGGCTTTCTAATATTCAACGCTGGTTATATGTAAATAAAGCAGTAAAATATATGATTCATACTTTATATTGTTGTTTACTTTGCAATCCATTCAACACAAACAAGTGTTTTGATTTTTTATGGATACTTTGCTTTCCCAGTGCTAAAAGCTTCAGCTTATTATTTAAAGCACTGATCACTAATGAATTATCAGATTCTATACAAGTAAAAATAATTGAGTTCATTCACATATAAACAGTAAATATTGACGAGCAGAAATTTCAAATTGGTTACGATCATTTAAATATGCTATACTCAATATTAGATAAGTTAAATTTTATAGTAATTCAATTTTTCGGTTTTAATGATTTTTAAAATCGTGTTAAAAATGAATAAATGGTTGCAATTTCCATTGTAGTTTTTTTGTAGTAATTTTAAATAAACAAAATATTTAATTTCAATTCAGTTTTCAAATTTGTTGTTATTTTAATGTTATTAAAATAATAAAAAAAAACATCGACTGTATTTTTTAAAGGCGACATTTTTATATGAGGAAATAATTTTGTACTGCTCTGACACATTTATTCAGCTGTTGAAATATTTTGTCTGGATTTTATTTACAAATACGAATATATAGTATATATTTTATTTTAATTCAAGTATTTTGCATATTCAAAGCGTGGGAGTTGTTGACGATGTTCCTCAAAATTTTCATGCACGACGTCATAGAAATACTTTTGATCTATTTATTGTGCGGATATTTGGATATTCAGTAATAGATTGTAAGAATATTGTATATAATATATATTTGAACTCGATTTTGAGCATAGTAAGAAAGCAGAAATGTTTTGTTCTCAAGACATAATATATATGTTGTATATATTATATTATATTTTCTACATGGATAATTTGTCGTTACTCTGGCTTTGTCTCTTTGATAGGAATTCAATAATAGCTGAACTAATTACGACCTAAAGTGAGTCAGCGTGGCTAAAGTGAATCTGTAACTGAAAATTGTATTTGTGCTCTTGCCATTGTAAGTTGTTTACAAATCGCTTGTGAAAAGAAAAAACAATTTGCTGACGTCAGTTGGTTACGATGGGATAGCCACGGACATGCCCTGTGGCGCCTCCTCTCTTACACCCACCTGTAATTTGCATTTACGTTTAAAAATTTAATTGTACATGCTTTAATATTTTTTTTCCCTCTGATATTCCCGCAATTTCAAATTTGTCACTAATGCAAATTATCTCTCAAATGAAAATAGCCAATATCAATTGAACATCTAACATGTTTCCTACATTATAAATTACAGTTATTTATCTATTTTTCACGTCGTGGAAATTAATGATTATTGTTTTTGTTGTGTATTTAAATAGATTTATTTTTAATCAAATGCAAACTGGTTAACTTGGAAGCGTCGCACTTAAAATGACATTGTATCCATTCAGTTCATCATCGAGCCTTTATTTATCTTACAATGGGTCTCGACAAAACAAACCGAGTACAGACCAAAATGCACGTACTTATTACCATTTCCAAGTCCAATCAACGCTGAAAATTGATTATCAGTAAACTCAACAAGTTTACTAAAAGTCATTTTGATTACACGAATATTTTATAGACCTTATCAAGCGGCAATGGAACAGAATCCAAACATCACAAAATTGTATGGCATGCACACGAAAAACCTTAAATACGTGATTGTTTTTCGATATAAGAAAGTAGAATATTTAAAAGAAAAGAAACATAATATAAAGTAGCTTCGATTTGAGATTAACACGCAAATGCTAGATTTACATACATTATATATAAACCTATCTCTATTCTGGGGTTTTTTTTCGATTGCTTTCATTGTTGAGGGTAATTTCAATGTGGTGATTTAACAATTTAACTGTCGAGACTATTTGCGTTAGTGGGAAATATATGCGCAGTGGTTTTTCGTATGAAAGCCTCTCGGCGCAATTTGTCAAGAAATGCGTTGAACAGGTAATTTAAGTTGTAAGTTAGTATGTAAATCATGTAGTTATGAATCAATATATTTTACATAATGCTGACAACTGGCACGTTCCAGTGTCTCGCAAATTAAACGCTTAGTTCAGCAATGATTTCAACGTGGACCTTAATGTAACACAAACCAACTTTAATTACACACAGTACATTGTTCAGTTGCAGAATACATGGAGCGTTATCAAGCCTGGGAACCACCACTCATGAGCAAAAATTACAAATTTAGAATGAATGTTAAGCAAATGTCGCTTCAGTTACACAGTATTTTTGTATTATTCATTCCGCATTTAAAGTCAAAGTTGTCATCTAAAGCTGAGCGCAGAAATGTACTCATACATTTCATCAACTGTTTTTAATTCCTTTGAAATATATGATTAGTTCCGGAAGCATGATTTATTATTTTTACGAATAAATAAATAATCATATTATAAATATAATTTGCACATTCGATATCCACTGTATTTAGTAGTTATAAATGCTACCATTTATCTCCTTCGTTGTAACGCAAAGTGGTTGAAACTATTGTTCGAACAAAATTTGAACAGTTCCTGTCAAACTGTCAAAATACCGGCGAATACTTACCGAAAATCAACAAAAGCAATCACGTGTTAGCTTTAAAAGGCTTTTGCAGCTTCCAGCTGGTGGTTTGAACTTGAATTGTCCTTTCTGTTGTTCTGCTTTCGGTGCAAAGAAAGCGCTCGTAATTATATTAAAATATACAGAATTACAAAAACACAAAACAGCAAACTAAATTGCAGTTCTTTGTTTTACAAAATAACTGTTCACTTGGTTCAAGAGAGAGCACAAACACACACACACCTATAATATGGACATGAACATGGATAACGAAAACGCAACGGTTCTTGCCGTGTTCACTCAGATGGCCAGACGTTTTAGTGACCGGGCGCGACGAATTCGCTAAAACAACTGATATCGTTGATATGACGGGCCTTCGTTGTTGAGTAAGTAGCTCAACAGAATTTCACGTCGAAGCGACAGCGCACAGTGATACGAGCACCAATCTCTTCTGAAACGATTCATATGTGAAATCTTACTGCCAGCTGTTTTGGGCATTGGCATTATACATTTATGTATACTTAGACTTTTTTTTAAAATAATAATAATAGAAGTGTAATGTATTACCCGATACATAGTTACAAATATTTAAATTTTGTATACAACTTCGAACCGAAATAAAAAGTATCAATAATCCAGACAATATAATGCGATTACTCTGAATATTATTTTTCTATAATTACAGACCACTGTGCGTGGCAGAGGCTCACACAAATTCACAGAAGCGGTGATGCTGCTTGCGCCCTGCGTAAAAGTGGGAAATTTACATTAATTTTTGCTTAACGTTGCTGTCATATAATCACAATGCTTGGCTTTAACTAATCGAATAAGTGATTGAAGCTGAAAATAACGTTTGACGTGCTATGTGGATTTAGAACAGAATTTAAAGCTGGGCAAATTTCGTGCGGCTATTGGGCCGGATGCGTATGTGTGGGTAGCTATGATTCTGGGTGTAAAAATATATATGCTTATGTGTGCTTATATATGCATGTGCATATGTGTGCAGAGGGATGCTGTTGAAAACGTTTAACTTTAGCGTTGCGTTTCGTATTGTCCTTGGCAAAGGACACAACATTTCGCATTTCGTTAGAGCTTACGCAAGAAACGAAAGATTCACACGTAATTGTTTAGCGCGTGTGGAGAGAAGAGAATTAACGTATTTTCAAATAAAATTCACTTAAAAGGAAGCTGTATATTTGGGTAGGGTTGTACTTTATTTGCTCATACATGCATTAATTCGTTCATTCGAGATTTATTTATATATATTTCCGGAAATATATCAAGGAAATTGCCATTACAAATGAGCAACCATAAAATTATCATTTTGAAATACATAAAAGGTGTGGAAATATCGATTCTGATTGAATTGCGCACGAAAATTTGTAATTTAACATTTTTATACATAATTAGCAATAATATTTACTAGTAAAACTTGAATTGAAACAATTACAGAATTAATTTCCAAATTTTAGTAGTGCCGAATAATCGATTTAAAGACCTTTAGAATGTTATATTTATTCTTAAGAATAACTTGGTTGCCAAATTGACGGTAATATGGGTTCCTCCAAGAATTCTAAGGAACAGAATTGAATTAATTTAAATTAAATTAGTATTCTCAACAAATAATTTTATAACAGAAAATAAACCTGTTTGAATGCTGTAGTCGAGTGAACTCCACTAATAGGAAATACCCTAAAACCAACTGTTAAATGTATTAATTTTTTCAAAACATGTTTTAATATTTTTCCCATTTTTCCCCATGTTTGGGGGAATTTGTACACTTCAAATTTTAAGGTTCCAGCTTTTATGGGGTCGCACATGCTTCCTTCTGCCTATTATAATATTATTTTTAAATTACTCAAAGTTTTGTAATTATAAAATAATGTTCGTAAGATAGAAACAAAAATAAAGCGGTAAATTTAGCATTAAATTTATTGGTTCGTATTATTTCATTGAAAGCAGATTTAGCAACATTTGTTTGGTGTCTTTTCATAATATGCATTAATAATGTATTCAATATATTTGTGTACATCTTTAATTTGCTTACATATATATTTTAATTGTTTAAATAATTGAAACGGTAGTTCATTGTTGTTGTCATAATTGTTGCTGTTTGTGTGTGTGTGTATGTATGTATAGATTTATTTCCTTATAGCTTAAATTAACTGCAAATGTATGCTCTTAGAAAACTGGTCTCATTTATGTGATTGCATCAAACATATTTTTGGTTAAAATGTCACTTTGCGCTCCTCCCTTACCACTAGTCACTACAATAGTTGTAACTTAATTAAAGCATTAAATTGTTCTTGTTGCTGTTAACGCTCTGTTTGCATTTGCATCCAAAGGCTCGTCGGTAAAACCACAGAAACTCCACTTGGACTGCTCAGACTTGAAGAGATTGGTATATTTAGTGAGTACATTTGCGAGTTCATCGTTGCTCCTTAGCTGCAGCGATTTAAGTAGCATGCCCCGCAAATAGCTAGCAATGCTGGCAATGTCCACGCCATGGGGATGCAATACCAGAAAAGCGGAGGTTAACGCTATTATTTTAGCCTCAACCATAGCCAGCGACATCATATTGCTCTGCAAGTGAAATAAAGTGTGTAATAAACATATATAATAACAATTGTTGTATATACCTTTTGTGTCGGCACTGATTCCACAACTGGCTCCACAACATCAGACTTAGGACTATTCTCGGATATGGGCAATTGCTTGGCTTCATCGTCAATAGCTTTGTGTGGTTCTGTTGTTGGCTCGAGCTTCTCATCGTCCTCGATCTCATGAATTTCAACAACGCCGCTTTGATGCTCGATAATGCGCACATCGTCGTCTACTTTATCAATATCGATTATTTCTAGATCCAGAGCAACAGATGGAAACTCCTTCTTCCCTGCCGACCGCACATCTTCCGCATTTCGGCTACACGAGTCACCGCTGCTGAAATCAGCATTCGATGAGTTCGAGACGTAGGTTTCTCTGTCTTTTAGTTTATCCGCAGTCTCCTTGATTTTTGTCTTGAGCAGCAGCTGCTTAACGCCCGCCTCCTTAAGGTTACGCTCGAGCTGCTCGATGGTTTTGGAGTCCTTTTGTTCGCGCAGCTTCGTTTGCAACAGCTGCGTCTGCATGTTGCGTATGGTCTCTTGCAACACTTTGATCTGCTTCTCACGCTGCTGGCAATCGCTGCGCTCCACAGACATCTCATTGCGCATGGCCTCCAATTGACAGCGTAGCGAGTCATTTTCGTCCTAAAAACCAAAAAATCAGGAGTTGAATTAAAGTTCAAATAAATCAGATGATTTGCGACCCGCTCACCTTGAGTCCATCGCTGTCGTAACGGGTACGTTTGGGGCGCTTGTCGTAGTCGCGTTCATCGTCCGAGATTTCCATTTCATCGTCGTCGATTTGGACCGTTCGCAGTTCCTGCATGGCATTCCAAAAGGTTTGTTTTTGTCGTTAAATAATTGTTGTATTAATTGTAAATAGCTCTTGTTGCATAACCACTTCTTACGATGGTAATTTCTATAGCCTAGATATAATAATTTGTTTGTATATCGAAAATGCATCATATAATTCTTATTTGGCTCTTTGTACTGTTTTCGGTCCGCTTACTTACCTCGCCACATTTCAAAAAGTTCTATTAATTTGTATTCATATATTTTTCATTTATACTTATGTTAAATGCCGCACAAGGAGTTTTATCATTTTTCTTTTAGGTTTTATTGTTTACCAACGCAAATCGCACAGCCAATCGAACGCGGTGAGTGCCTTAGAAACTTTGCAAATGTTTTGCTATTTATGATTTTTGTTTTTTTTTTTTTGTTTTTTTTTTGGTTTTTTTGTTTTTAATTGTTTGCCAGTTTAATAAATTGTACAAGTTATTTGGCATTCGTCTAAAAGTTAAGTAGTTATAATAAATAGAAATGGAAAGCTTTTAGGAAATGCTTAGTTATTTTTCTTAAAACCACATAGCAGAAGCAATTTTACTACCAATTATGCTAACTTTATAATATTATTAAGCTGATTCTTAAATATGAAAGCAGATGATAGTTCTTTCTAAGCCTGAAATGAATTAGGAAACTGTTCCAAAATTAAAAGCGTTATGCAAATTATAATCTTCTTCACTGTTTAATGTAAGATCAGCTTTAGAGTATTTTAGTTTAAACAAAATATACAAAATTTCATTTGGAACAGATTCCTTTGATCAATAATATACAATGATACTGAATGATTCTTAATACTAATGTCAAAATAAGAAGATATTAGACACTTAAAACAATGCGAAACTCATGTTGTCAAACAGATATCAATTTGGATTGCAATAAAATTTTATTGGGATGTTAAAATAAAAACAAAACTAAAAATGAATGAACTTTAAAAGTGATGTGATAATTACATAGGAATGTTTCAGATGTCGAAAAGTTAACATGCAGAAGGGGGTACATGCAGGTAGAGTTATATCAGGTGTTAATGAAAAATATACTAATTAGAAGTTTATACCAAACATTACTAATAGAATGACAATAAGAACAGGCACGAGAATCACAATTCAATAGTAGATAGTTAGTTAATTAGTTAGTGTTTATTACGATTACTTCATCAGTCGAACTTCTCGTAATTCATTCTTTGAACATTTTTGTACGTACCGTGGCTAATTTCTTCCATTGGTCGATGTTTTTTCTTTGGGCTTTGGTGAAATGGTCCCAAACCTTCTTGTGACTAGCGGCATTGAACACTTTTTCAATCTGAGTGACTGAACAATAATGCAATAATATATAATAATATTAAGGGAGGACAGAGGGTAGATATTTTTTTTTGGTTTTTGGTTTTTTAAGTCGTGACCATTTAGCTAGTAATGGAAAATAAAAAGTAGATAAGACTACTTGAGAGACCCTCGCAAAACATAATATTTTATATAGTTCTTATATGGTAAAGTCTAATAGTATTGTACAACATATTGTTACCTACATATACATACATTTGCATGTATACATTTAAGGACTTCAATTGCAGTTAGTTGTTAGTTGCTTTCTACAGACAGCCTGAGAGGCGGTTGGTGTCTGGTCCGAGGTCTACGTTGACTTTATATGGTGAGTATATCTCTGCTTGGTTTACAAACCTTTGGCCTGGACTTACAATTTTGTGATACAATGTCTTCAGACATGGTGTGGTCAGTCAGACACAGTGAAACGAGTCACTGCACAGTGGCACAAAACACGATATCGCGATCAAAATGTGAAAGATTGAAATCTATTTAAAAATTGTGTACTTTCATTCACAGCATATCCATACTATTCTCTAAACTATACTTGATTTAAAAAATAGCAATGACCTTATGCCTGCCCGGCAAATCAATTGTGAGAAGAGTTGCAAGTAAAGTGATTCGGTTAATATGTCTGTCTGTTAGTCAGTTATGTCCACTAAATTTGATCGCTTTCTAATCGAGTTTTTGGCCACCATGCAGCACTGGAAGTTGTGGCTGGACTTTTACCTGCGGCTGCTGCTCGTTTTGCTCCATCGACTTGGATTTTGTCTTGTACTTTAAGAGCAAATTTTAGACAGTGAGATCTTGTATGTTGTGGAGTTGGTTTTTGGCTTTTGATAGCACGATGACTAAATTGCTAGATAGTGTCGGTGTGTAAGCATGTGTGGTGTGTGTGTATGTGTGTTTGGTGTGTGTGTATGTGTGTGTGTTGTTTGTTGTGTATGTAGTTGTATATGTTGAATAGATTGTTCATGGTACAGACGCTAGACGCTAACCGGAGCGCAAACAAAAACAGAAAAGTTGACAAAAGGAGCGAACCTAAAACCCATCTAAGGACTACCAACGACAGAATCTAAAATTGTTGCCACTTACACTGCGTGGACATGGTGCCCATTTGCTTGCGATAGCATTCCCGTGCCTTGCGCAGATCCTCCTCCAGCTGCTGTTTGTCCGTGTGCAGGCGACGCACGTGCGCGTGTGTGCTCTGTATCATGGAGTAGAAGACGTTGGCATTGCGCTTGGTGCAGTCGCCACGCTCCAGCCATGTGGTAATTGTTTGTATGGCTTTTACAAATGTCTCGTTATTGCGCAGATGCTCCGCCACCGCGGTGGCCTCGTGATCTGTATAGTGTGGTATCGGCGGCGGCGATTGCGAACGCATGCGATCCAATGACATCCGTTCGCGATGACGCTGCTCCCGTTGCAATTGGCGCTGCTTGCACTCGTAGTCATATTGATCGTCTCGCGCCTGCGCATAGTCCACGTGCAGCCGCCCAAAGTTGGGTGGCTCATTTAGACTGGAGATGCGCAGTCGGTAGCCGGATAGGTAAATGGCACGATCGATGGCCGCCTCATGGCGATAGCGTATGTGGCAAAAGTTCTTCTTGGACATGCGAAGTGTGGTTATCTCACCACACGATTCGAATATCTCACGTATCACTTCCTCCGTAATGTTCTCGGGCAGGCCGCCCACGAACACCGTACGACAGCCGGGCGGACGTTCGCGTATTGTGGGTGGCGGCGCATTCGGATTGGGTGGGAACAAAATGCAGTTCTTTGTCTTAATTACCTCCTTCAGTCCAGCCGTGGAGCCGTCTGCAATCGAAATTGAAATCGAGTTTGAATTTTAATTTAACTTTGACCTATTATGCAGGAATACTTACCCGCTGCTAGAGTGCCATCCAATCCTGTTCCCGCAGCATCGGTGGGCATGCCAGCCGCTGTTGCTGCAGCCACATAGCCCGCAGCGGCATAATTATGCTGCATTTGTTGCATGGCAGCTGCCATCATTGCCGAGGGATCCATCAGCATTTGGGCATTCGAATTGCTCGCATTCCCTGACGCAGTTGTTGAGCCACTGGGTGTGGCTGCCACAACAGCTGCGGCCGCTGCTGCAGCGTTCTGTGCACTCGGAAAGTACAAGTAGCCGGGTGGCGTGTGCATCAGACCATTCAAATACAGTTGCTGGGCGGCATCGGGCAGCGTTAATGCTGTGCCGGGCGGTAGCTTATCGCCGGCCTTGACAGGCCCAATCACGTCGGAGTCATCGATTTCATTCTCATTCTCCAAATCCATTGGGGCACTGCCCTGCGCGCTGTGCGGCTTCATCTTGCCGCTGGCTGTTGTTGTTGTCTTATTTGGTGTTGCAGCGGTTGTTTGAGCTGTTCCGCTGCTGCTATTTGTTGCTGTGGGCGTGGCAACACCCACCGTGGCGGTTGTAATGGCAGCCGCCAATTGATTGATAAAATTCGGATGATTTGGCAAGCTGACGCCGTTTGGCATGCTCCCAAAAACTGGTACTAAAAAACCACAACAAAAAGAAAACAAAAGATATGATATGAAAGAGAGAGAAACGAAAACAAATAAAAGTCAGCTGTTTATCACAGACGAAACAAACAGCAAAGCGCACATGGCAATATTTGAGCGCATAAAACGTAATCTGATAGCTGCGTTTTGGTATTTTTTTCATTCACACATTTGCTTAACGTGTTGGTGTCTTTTACACACCACTTGCCACAATAACTTGACAACATGCAACTGTATGTTGACAAATTATGCGCACTTGTTAAGTTCATCTCATATTTAGGGTATTGCTTACACATATTATCGGCCAAATTCCCATAATTGAACGCCATTTGGAAACTTTGTCAAATTAACTATACGAAAAATACCATCTTCGGTATTGGGTATCCAGTTGGTTATGCGGCGTTAAAGCTGCTCACATTTTCCACTCGCCGTGTGCGTTAAAAGCATACGCATTGCTTTTACAATCATTTTATATTATTTTTGGTGAATTACTCTAGAATCGAGAGATATAAAAACTATTCAACTATATCTAAGCTGTGTGGAGTCAGCAGTTCTTTTTTTTTGTTTTTGGTTTTCAGGGCTGCTGTAATAATGCAAAATAAATAATATGGTATTTTTTAGGCCTTCCCTCTCAGCACATGTGTGTACACACTGTTCATGATTCATCAGCTGTCGTCAAAGCGAGAGAGCTTAGATTGAAAACACAACGTAATTTGCACTAAATCGCGGAAATTTATTTTAAAAAAATAACTATACGGCATGTCGGTGAATACGGCACACGCCAATAATGGTGTGCTCATCCATGCGGGCGAGTAGTAAGTACAAAACACATACACATACAATTTGAACTACAAAAGTATTTGCTGTGGCTGCTAAAAAAAATCTGACGTCATGACAATTATGCTTAAGATTGCGAGCCACTTCCTTTGATACGCGAACAGAATTAAAGCTTAGCAGGTTGCGTAGGTTGCTGATATCTAGTACCCCGCAACAGACTTTAATATTTTATTTTTTTGCCCATGGGAAATACAACAGCTGTCGACCGCAGCAAAATCTTTTGATAAAAAATGTGCTTAGTAACGATTGCATTTGTTGTTTTTCATTGGCAGCATTCTGCTGCACAGCGATAGCATTTCAATGGAGTTTTCTGGCCAGGATGGTCAACTGTTCAAGGGCTCCAAGCAGGGTCGCATCTATTTGACATCGCATCGCATGATCTTCAACAGCAAGAAGCCCAATGATGTGATGCAATCCTTCAGCGCACCCTTTGTTGCGCTATCAGACGTGAGTACACAATTTATTCATGATTACTACATCATTATATATTATAATTATCTTTCTTTTAGGTGGAAATCGAACAGCCCGTGTTTGGGGCCAATTACATCAAGGGCAAGGTGCGCGCTCAGCCGAATGGCAACTATGTGGGCGAGGTGAAGTTCAAGCTGTACTTTAAGGCTGGAGGCGCCATTGAATATGGCCAGGCGCTGTTGCGCGCTGCGAAGACCGCTCAGAGCAACTTCCATCGTGGCGGTCTAGCTGGCGATGATCCGCCACCGTATGCGCCCGCTGGTGCTTGGCATGAGGCACCACCACCGGCTTATCAGCCACCGCCCGGCTACTATGGCTGGTTGCCACAGCACGATGCATTCAGTGGCCCGGCTCCGAACACTGTGTTTATCAGTGACAATCCGCCGCCATATCCTGGCATCAGTAAGTTACCCACTTTTAATTCCTTTGCCCCACACTCGGCTTTTGTTTCTGCACAGCTGTTGAGCTGATTTGAAGTTAAATTGGCAAAAAATCAATTTCAGCATGCGTTCACCGCTTTTTCTAACTCAAACGCACCGTTCCACAAACCACTTTCTTCTGTCTTTTTCATAGCACCACCCAACAATCAACCAGCACCACAACCGCAGCCGCATTCGCAGCCCACTGAACCCAATTGGTATGGTTTTTCAGCACCACCTGACCAGCAGCCGCAACAGCAGCCCGGCTATGGTGGCCAAGGATGGGCCGGTGGCTTTGCACAGCCGCCGCCGTACGCATCCTTAGGCCCAGGCGGTCAACCAGGCGCTCAACCGCCCTATGGCGGACAACCAGCTCAAGGCTATGGCGCGCCCGCGGCGCCCTATGGCGGCTATAATCCGAATGTGCCCGGTGGTTTTATGCAGCCCGGTTTTATGCCGCCGCAACAGCCCAGTGGTTATCCAGGCTCTTATCCTCCACAACAGCCAAATGGTTATCCGGGCGCAGCATCACCACAGCAACCAAATGGTTATCCGGGCCCAGCGCCACCACAGCAACCAGGTGGTTATCCGGGATCAGCGCCACCACAGCAACCAGGTGGTTATCCGGGCTCAAATCCCCCAGCTGCTGGTGCTGGTGCCAGCGGTGCCGCTGGCAGTGCGGCCTCCGTCAACTTTATGGGCTTCAGCTTGCCACCAGGAAGTGAGTATTTGACATATATGCCTACAAAGCCTTATTTATTTAATCCATCATTCATTTTATTTGTTGTCCAGACTAATTGATCAAAACATTAATGGAAAATTAAGCAAAATAACCGTATGCAATCTCAGCAAGATCTTATCCGTTACGAATAAATTGGTGTGTTATAATTTTTTTTCTTGCTTCAAAAATGTTATTTAATAAGTAGAATTTAAAATGAAGGCATGTAAATTTGCTAGTTAGGATCAATAGACACTCTTTTATTTGAGTATGAGTATATATTTAATTCGAGTTCATCTTATTGTATCTTATTGCCTAATTTATTAGTCGATATCTAACAAGTTACAAAACTAACACAATCATTACCAATTTGGCATCTGAAACAATATTTCTTTTGTTTATTTTTACCTTTTTCACAGTGTAAACTGCAAATTATAACAAAAACTACTATACCGCAAAACAAGTAAGATTTCATAATGTTCTCTACCATTTACATACGTATATATATATAAATATATTTATATACAAAATGATATTGATAAAAATTCCCAAACAAAAGCCGAGCCTACAGTTTTGCAAATTTGATTTTTAATTAGTAACTTGAGTAACGATATGTTCATTTCTTTCATTTTCCAATGCAAACTTTGCAGGAACCAGCAGCACGCAATATTATTATTACCCCAATTGTTATCCAGTTGCAAGAACTTTGTGTTTTATACCAATACCTGTTATATTACCATAAAAAGGACTGTAAGACATTATTATTGCTGTAGTAAAATGTAGTCCTCAAGTCTTGCTATTTTAATCCACGACCAAAGTAAACAATTGCCATTATTTCACACAGATTCCAAAGAAGCCGAGGCCGCAGCAAGCGCTTATAATACACCCTACAACCAACGTGGACCCAGTGCACCAGGATCCAGCGATATGCCGCCTTCATATAATGTGAGTAGTCTAAAATATAACTATCGAGTCTATTGTCAATTTGTAATAAATGTTTAATTTTACAGAGCATGCCACCCAGCTATAATGATGCATCGGAGAAGCAACAATAAAACAAAGCTTGTCAAAATTTAACGAATTTTACATAACTGAGCAAAAACAAAAAAAAACCGGCACATTCCGATTATTATAACTCGAAATTATTGTAGTTCTCTACACTCATCGATTATTTGAGGTCTGTTTCAGTTCTTAAAATTGCAAGAATCTAATTCTATCAAATCGATTTGTGCTTTGCTAGTTAACACTTGCTTATTCGATAACAATTGGAAAATCGATAACAATTGGAAAATCGAACACTTTTCTTATTATATTATTTTAACAAATTGATAGAAGTCTCAACAAGTCCTTGATACAAACATAAACACTGACATTTTTGTTGTTTCTACTGGATATTTATTCAATACAGTTTATGCTTTGTCGATTTTGAGTCACAATATATGTTTAATCATCTTATTATTTGGCGTTATTAATTGTTATAAAATATAATCATAAAATATATATATAAATGCAAATAAATCTATTATTGTTATATCGACATAATATAAACAAAAAAATATATATTAAATACATGAACATAAATTGAGTATAAATATATATATGTACATACTACCAAATTGCATATTTGTTGTGATAATTAATATATGTATGTAGATATATTATCGTGCTGGGACTTCATTGTTTCCATAATGACATCTGGACCATTCCACTTCTCCAGTCTCCATGTCTCTTGTAGTCCTGCAACAGGAACTTTCCACTCGGCGGCCATCTCTGGGATTCAGCTCTATTTCACAATTAAAAGTTCTTAAAACTAACTCTAGGACATCAAACGTGGCCAAACAGAAACGCAAATTACAGCAGAGAACTCTTTAATCTCAGTCTGCAATAATTCGCGCCATAAAAGGACACTGGCTCGTTGGAATACATGCCAACAGGCTGCAGTTGCCTTATAACGACTTCTGTAGAAGCTGTAAAGAAGAGCACGAGGAAGAATCTCCTGAGCAGTTCTTCAACTCTGCCCTGCACTTGCCAGGAAACGTTTCTCCACTTTAGGCAGTCATTTCCTACCTAATCTGTCTGTGATGGACCAGCCAAGATTGCCAATTTAATAAATTCAACCGGCTGTTTAGATTTTTGATAATGCTAACACGACGAACGGGGGAAAACCTAATTCGATACGGTATCACAACTGGCCAAAAATGGCCTATGTGTGTCGACCTTTTAGGCAGACAACCGCCTAAACTAACCAATCTAACCTAACTCTAGGACACGGGATTCCACAACACAAATGATGAATTGCACTACAGCCACTTGAGCCGTATAATAATAACATAATGTAAGCTTTATTGTATAAATAGATATAATTATTGCTTAAGCCATACTGCTCCACAGCTTATGCTATATAATAATATAAAATAGATTAATGCAGACACAACTCTTATTTTAAACAGTAGATGATGTCTGAGAAGTGTAAGGATATGATTCGGGAGTTCTCTTCACTATTTAAAGCACTGACATTTGCCGCAGGATATCTCGGTCTTCAATAATACAATTTTTAAATTCTAAATATTATTGTATTATAAGCAGATTTTTAAATTATATAAACTATATATACTATTAATAATCAATTAAAGGTATTTGTCTATTAGAGATTCCAGATTCATTCGCAGATTCATCTTGAAACAATCCTTTGCGATGGCTGTTGGTTAAGGTCACAGGATTCCGCAACATAAACGATGACTTGCACAATAGCCAGCGCAAGTGCGGGATGTCGTCCAAGTTGCAAAATTCTGCTCCATGGCTTATATTATATTACATTTTTATATGTAGTGAACTCATGCAGCCACAGCTATTATTTGCAACAGGACATCGGGTCGCGGCCATAGCTTTAAGCAGTGTAAAAGAGCACGAGCTGGACTCAGGAGTTGTTTCTCTTCACTGTTTAAAGCAATGACAACTAGGACGGGATGTCCTGTTGTTCAATAACTGCATCAGTTTATGCTTAAAGTATTATTTGTTGAAACAATGTGTAACTATTAACTACCATTTGGTAGATTATTGTTGCTTGCGGCTACAGGATAACGCAACATTAACGATGACTTGCACGATAGCCAGCGACAAGTGCGGGATATCGTTCAAGTTGCATATTTCTGTGCCATGATTTCATTCAAGTTGAATTGATTCACCGATTCAAGCTTCTTCTCTTCACTATTTAAGGCAGTTATTGATTTATAAATAAATTTTCATAATTGTTTTACAAATATGTTTATGTCTTCGCGGGTGTTTAATAAAATGTGATTAAACGAAATTTTATGCTGACTAAAATAAGGGTTTAGATTGTGCATTCACTCACAGACAGGGGTTGATTTATAAATGCATAAATTGCATTTATGCATCAATTTGTGTGTATCTGTCTATAAATTTTCAGGATCTTCTCATCGATGTGCAAATTTTCATACAGATACATTCAATGTTTTTTGGAATAAATTTAATTAAAAATTCGTCAACAAAATTTGTGACTTGTTTTAATTTTAATTTTTTGTCGTACATTTAGCATTATTTTCTCAAATCACCTGTTACCTTTTCTACCTGTTATATGAAGTTAAATGCAACAAATGCATTTAATGCAGACTTTTTGTGGATTCTGTATTAAAAATATGGAAAAAAATAAATGTTATTAGTTATATATTTTTGTTGTAAATATGAACAAATAATTAATCGAATAAATAATAATAATAATTGAACAAATTTAAATTTTAGAATTTTGTTCTATTATACATACACTTTTTGCATGATTTATTCACAAGTTTTGAGGCGTATTATTGACCGACCAGTGCAAGAGCTAAGGGATAAATGATTGACTATCTGAGACTGATGGGGCATGAAAAATCCATTTTACAACACATGCGCTGTGGCGTTGAGCCAAGTGGTGAGAAAAGGACTGCAAGGACACCCGCTGGCAAAGGATGGCAATTTAGTTGTGCATGCCTAGCGTGGACTTTCGGCATGTTCAAGCAAATGTTGTCAATAAATACAAGCAAAGTGCAAAAGAAATGCTAAGAATTCAATTAAAAAGTGTTGGCGATTGAAATAGCAGGATTTATATGAGAATAATAAGTTCTAAATAACGTTTGAGTTGGCATTCGATTACCGCGACGTTGAGTGTAATATATTGGAGCAACAACTTGCGTCTGTTGTTTATCGATTTGTGTGCCACAAATAGCTCTTTGTTGCAGCCATAACAACACCCTGTATGAGTGCGTATGACGAACATTGAACGTTAGATTATTCCCTTCGCTGCAGGTGTGTCGCTTTCAACGCATAAATTATGCAAAAGTCAATTGCACTGCACTAAAAAAAATCAACATCAAAATATCAAAAGCAGCCTCCAAGTAATAAGAAGAACAACAACAATCACAACATATAAAATGGACGTGGGCGCACAGGAAACCACATACGAACCGCTGGAGGGGCGCAGCGGTCGGGGCTCGGCCAGCGGCATGAGGCATCCGACCAGCATAGATAGTCCCGAGTTCGATACACGCGCCCCCAAGGACCAAAGACACGCCGTCTATTTGGCCCTACTGGCGGCGGGCATCGGATTCGTTTTGCCCTACAATAGGTGAGTGCAAATGTGAATGTGAGTGTGAATTCCAACTGGAGTGAGCATATGGGCACTGTGAATGGTATTCAGAATGGGAATGATTGATTACGATGTGCCCGAGTTGCGCGAATAACATGGGTTACATGAAGCCTAATTTATTACCAGTAACTGGCAATGAAAACTTATACACGATGTGCTTGAGCATATTGCAGATCTTTATTTATTTATTTATTTGATGTGGACTAAAGACAGTCTACAGTATTTAAAAAGGGCTCTTATTATTAAGGATTTCAAATTAAATTTAATATTATAGTTACAAGCTCAATTATATAAAATTAAAAAATTTAAATTAACAATAGAAATGAAATTAAATAAAGGATATAATAAATAAATCTGGGGGTATTAAAAGTAAAATGTTAATGGTTAATAATTAACTAGATGGATTGGGGAGACACGCAGAAAAAATCCAAATTTATTACATTTAAAAATAAATGATTTAAAAATAAATTAATTAAATAAAATTAAGCATTAAAATTAAAGAAAAAATAAGATGAGTAATTAATCGTCATGTAATAAATTGTAAAATTATCAAATATTTATTGCAAGGATTGGGGAAACCCACCAAGAACCAAAGCACACCAAAAATTATTGATCGAGAGTTGTATATTTATGGCAAAATCGATTTTACAATACTCAAGAATTATTAAAATGTGTAATATTATTGAAAATTGCTTGTCAGTAAGTCTAAAATAAATTTAAAGTAGAAAATACACTTTGCAATAGATTTATAATACATTAAAAGAAGAAATAATGACCGAAGATTATTTAGGTTTATCTTTCGATCATTTGTTTACTTGGCAGAGAAAATAATAATACTATTTACAATTGTGAATTTTAAGAGTCCCACAAAAGTACTCTTAAATTTCATTGCAGAAGTAAATATTGAAACTTAAATATTTTATAGCTTTAGTAAATATTGCAAATTGGTTACAAGATTTTAATTATGTTTTTGCCAGGCTTAGGTAAAAGCTTAATTTTTTAACTTCTATTGAAAGATAATATAAATCTATAAACATTATTAATTTATATACATTTTTTAAAATTTGTATTTAGTTTCATTATCGCCGCGGACTATTGGCAGGGACGCTTTCCCGGTCGTCCTGTGGCTTTGGACATGTCCATGACGTACATCTTCGTGGCCTTCTGCACGGTGCTGTTTAACAACATTGTGCTCTCACTGGCGCCATTCCAGACACGTGTGCTCTTTGGCTACATGGTGTCCTTCACCACCCTGATCTTCGTTGCCGTCTGCGAGGTGGCCTGGCACATGTTCGCCACCAATACCGCCTATGTGGTGAATATGTCGGCAGTGGCTCTGACTGCGATCGGCTGCACTGTGCAACAGTCCAGCTTCTATGGATTTGCCTCGATGCTGCCCAAGCAATATACACAGGCGGTGATGGCCGGCGAGAGCATTGCCGGTTTTCTAGTGTCTTCCAATCGAGTGGTTACCAAACTGCTCATCAACAATGATCGTGTCTCGACGGTCATCTTCTTCCTGACCTCCACGCTATACATACTCTTCAGCTACCTACTTCATTTGGCCACCATCAATTCGCCGTTTGTCCGCTTCCATGTGGAGGCATGCTCCAAGATTGTCCTGCGACCCGATGAGGTAAGTTTGTTCATCCAAAATAAATCATATTCTTGAACACGGCACTAATAGAAGAGTTAGGAATAGCGAGCAGTGAGGAGGGAAGGACGAGTGCAGAAATTAAAGGAATGTACTGAGCAGGACTTAAAGAGTCAAGGGCATATTAAGGATCAGTTCTGATAGGCAAAGAGAAAGAAAAATTACTTATATATAGATATACATATATATATATATATATATATATATATATATATATATGCAGATAAAGATATGGATATAATTATAGATATACAAATAGATATAGATATATATATTTATTTATTTATTTAATGTCAACTAAAGTCAGTCGACACAAAAAATTACATAAAGAAAAAAATGATTAAATAAGATTAAAAATAATACTTAAATTAAATTTTTACTGATAAAACTGAGAAATATTTATAAGATATAGATATAGATATATATTGTCGAAGAACAGTTCAACTTTAATTCCAATCAATAGATTTTTCACTGAATCTCAAATCGAATTTATTCAATTAAATTAAAAATACAATTTAAATTAAAAAATAAGAAATATTTATAAGATATACTCGTAGATACAGTTAAAGATACAGTTAAAGATACAGATATATATATATATAGAAACACAGTTCACCTTTGGTACCCATCTATAGGTTATTCGCTGAATCTGAAATCTCGTTAATCATTTTGTACTTTTGACAGCAAGAGATTGATGGGGCCACCAGTAGCACCAAATACGGCGTACTCTCGATGGATGGCACCACGACAACAACAACGGCTGGGCCGCATCACTCGAGTGGCAGTGCGACGAATACGCTGAGCTTTAGCAATCCCGTGTATGAGTTGTCCAATCCGACGGCAGGCGAGAGCATCATTGAGGGTCTGGGACAGCTGCCCGAACTTCCGGCGACGCCGCATGAGCCGACCACGCCCACAACGGTGGCCTTCAAGGTGGAGCATGTGATTACGCCGCGTCGTTGCCGGCCGAGCAAACTGGGCGACATACGGGAGGGATTCGTGACGCGATGGCGTGTCGCCCAGGTCATCTATCCGTATATGGTGTGCATTGCCCTGGCCTACTGTGTCACCTTGTCCCTCTATCCGGGCATCGAGGTGGAGGTTACTTCGTGTGCGCTGCGCTCCTGGATGCCCGTCTTGCTGATGTTCTGCTTCAACACATCGGATGTGGTGGGCAAAATACTCGCAGCCAGTCCATATCCCTGGTCGCGTCGTCAACTGATCCTCCTGTCGGGATTGCGCATTGTGCTGGTGCCGATGTTTCTGCTGTGCTGTGCGCCCCGTCATCGTCCCGTAATCTCCGGCGAAACGGCGCCCTTTCTCTTCACCATTGCGCTGGGCGTGAGCAATGGCTTGGCGGGCAGTCTGCCCATGATGCTGGCACCGGCCAAGGTGCCCGGCACCCTCAAAGAGGTGACCGGCAACATAATGACACTTTCGTACAACATTGGACTTTCGGCGGGATCTCTGATTGGCTACGTGTTTGAGAGCATGCTGGGACCGCAGCTGGAGAATCCCTGTCCCATGTATCCGTATGTGCCCGCCTCGATGATGGATCACTATCATGGCCATATACCACCACTGCTGCCACCCACCACCAGCGCCACATTCAGCGTGAACACGACACTGGCGCCGCTGCTGCTCAACAGCACCATCGCCAGCATGACCAGCACCAGCACAGAGAGCAGCTCATCCACCAGTGGTGTGCCGATGCCGGCACTGGCCACAGTCATCACAACCACGGCACTGGCGCTCTACAGCACCGTGGCGGGCAGCAGTGCGGAACTGGTGAATGCCACAGTGAGTACAATGCTGTCGGCGGTCTCCTCATCCGTGGGGGATATCAGTGGCGAACTTGGAGGCAGTACAACAGATCCCCAAACGCCCGAGGCGCTGCTGCAGGAGATCTAATTTAAACTCAGAGGAACTTTGAACTGCAGAGAGAACACCGATCCACAGATCCACTGATGCACTGATCCACTGATCCACTGATCCACTGATCCTTATGCATCTGCATACAGGCAAGGCCATGCAACTAGCACAAAAGAAATAAATCCATATTCCATTTGTTGTACGTGGACAACTCTCTCTCCCTCCCTCTCTCTATCTCGATCTCTATTTCTCCCGATATCTCTCCCTCTCTCTCTCCCTCTCTCTCTCTCTGCCTCTGTCTGCGAACTTATATGCAAGTTGGTTTGCCACTATCTATCGAAGTCAAGAAATATTTATAAACTCTAAACACTTATATACGATACTATTTACTACAATTAAGTGCTATAATACTCAAGTTTGAATCTGTTCATTTCGGGTTTTGTATAGAAAGCAAAGTAGGTAAGTAAATTCTCTGTGTGTATGTGTATCTATGTGTGCATATGTGTGCATGTAATTAGACTACGGATAATAATGGATAAGTGCAAATGGTTGGCTAACGAAAACAGACGTGGAATATTTTTATAAAATCGCTAGACTTAATTGTTTGTGAGGTAATTCATTATTATTAGGTGTAATTATTGATTGCAATCGTCAAATTGTTTGCCACAAATTCTGTTAAGTTTCTCATTGAATGGCGAATAGCATTAAGCTTTAAACGATCTTTAACAAAAATCATTTGAATAGTTATAGAAAACTCCGATCCAAAATAGTGTGCAGCAAAGTACATAAATATTTCTATATATCATTTGTGACGTGTACATAAGTATATCAGAAAGTTGACAATTCATCTGATTTGCGTTATTAGTTAAAAGATATATATATATATATATATTTTAGCCAAATTGTTAGCAGGATTGGATTTGTTTGGACTTTGAAATGATGCAAATACCTCTAAGAATTGTAATAATTGCGTATGTCAACAGTAAATTGTATAAAATGTTGTCAGAATAGAAGTAATAAAATTAATATTTAATAGCTAAATATAATATTGAGTTTCTCAATAGCAAACATTGTTTAAATGCTCGTGAAACAGAAATATAACAAATATTATTATTAAATAACTAGAATAGTATCCGGCATTGCCCGGAATACAAATCTATTTCTTTTATTTGCCCTGAATCTAAATGGATAAGAAGAGTAAAAAATGATGTGCAAAAGTATGTTACAGGCAGAGGAAACTATTCTCGCTATATTCTACAGCAGGATCAGCAGTCGAGTCCCATGATCCAAGCGACTATAACAGCTAAAGACACATTAAATTTGAAATTAAGCTTTTCATTTTATCGATAATTACCCCCGGATGGATCGCATCGGACCACTGCTATAGGAACTATCCGTCAATATATCAGAAACATGTTTCCTTTGTTATTCACGTAGACCTGGATTGACACCTTGTGTTTCAACTTAATCGCTTACAAACGGTTTCAACCCTAACTCCCAATATAATCCCTTTTTTCCCACTTTCGGGTCGAACTTCCCTTCTTAGTAGCAATTCGAAGCGTAGAAGTCTACAATAAGTTAGACAGGACACACTGTTTTACTTACCGAGTCGCCATCTTGTGTGTGAAAATCTTGTGAGTTCATGTTTGCTCTACTCAAAGTCCTTTTGCTACAAAATTCATTTATGCTATAAATATAAGGGGATTTTTACTTATTTCCCATTGAATTTCCCCTTATTAAAATGAATTGCTCGACAGAGTAACTCAGCTGACTATAAAACATTGAGAGCCGCCATCTTTTGAGCGTTTTATTAATTTGGCACTAGATGGCGCTTTAGGTGTGTTCATATTTATGTTGAAGGGGATTTTATTAACTTCATAAATAAATAGAGCTGACTATCAAATATTGGGAGTCGCCATCTCTTGAGCATTTTATTTGACACTAGATGGCGCTTTCATACTGAAGTTAATAACCAAGCTGAAAATGTACTACATAATGGGATTTTTACAAATGAATCAAACTTCCCTTACAAAAGGATATACCTTTAGATTTTTCTGTATAAGATTCAAACGGATATTACTTTAATATTATATTATAGCTGAGATGGATAATCAAATACAATACTGGGAAATTACAAATAAACCTTAATTTTAGGTTATTCAAATTGACAAAGGACTATTCTCGTGGACTTTTAATATAAGACTGAGGTTATATTTATATATTTATATTTATATTTGTTTTTAATATTTTTTAAATTCAAATCTGATTTGATATTTTTACAAATTTCAACAACAATTATGAGAAACCTAATATGTCTATGTCCTGGGGAAAATCTTTATTAGTATAAATATATAAATGGAATTAAATGTGAAAAAGTAAATATATTTAAGCAATATTAAATGACATCTGTAATTTATAATTTAAACTGAATTAATTGTGCTCTTGGTATTTTTAAATTGTAGTATGGTATGATTCCTGATAAATATGCTCAAGGATTTTATTTGAAGAGCATTCATGAATTTCATTCTATAATTTCTATTTACATCGGAATACAAAATATTTATGAGCAATTGAAATTTTGATTTTATTATAATTCTATTGATGCTTTTCGCGCACGCCAAGTGCCTGAATAAATTGGTAGTCTGTCGGGTGTCCAAATGAATACAAATGAAATAAATTAGGCGGCATCCACCTTGAATCTAAGTCAAAGCGGATGCCAAAAGAAACGTCAACTTCTGTCGAAATTCGAATTGAAGTGCTATACAGGTAATTTTGATATACCCTCGACAATTACTCGATGCAAGCTCGATGTATTTCTGTCCTGTTTATCAGCTCAGTTATGAGTTATCAGTTCTTATCGGCAGTCAAAATGAAAAAAAAAAAAAAAATTAAAATAATTTGTTCATGCTGGCAAATAAAAATTTCAATGCAAAAATTCCATATTGATGTTTTTGTGCTAAAACTAGAATGTTGCTTCATACTCTGCTCTGAAGGGTATTTGTTTTTTCGACCCCAAAGAAAAAAAACTGGTTTGTTTGTTTATTTTTTTCTGGCCTTGTGAAAAGCGGAATTGATGAATTTCAATTTCCATTTGTTGTTGTTTATTTGGAATTTTTAATCGTGAACGGAAACATATGCAAAAACGCCATAAAATCTATGCAGAAATCTGGTCAAGTCTGCAGATATTTCCGCAATACAGAATATGCAATTAAATTTATTTGGGATGCGCAGCAAAGCAAATTTAGCAACATTTGAGAGTGGTAGTGGGAAGGGGGAGTGGGTGGTTTGAGGGGGGTAGTTTTGTGGGGCAACTGCCAACCCACAATTGCTTAACTTTATCTGCACACCAGCGGGCAGGCTAACTAGCTAACTAGGTGGCAACTTCGACAACGGGGCTACGAAGGCTGTTGCAAGTCGCATATGGAGTAACTTTTATCGATTGGCAAACTTCGTTCACTGCACTCTGACTACAATTTACCACTTCCCCTCTCCAAAAGAGGATATGGACAACCATTTCAAAGGTGTTCTATTTGTAGGCTGTTGGTGTCAATGCCCCCCAGGCAAAAGTCAGCGAATTTTACTTCCGCGTTCGTCACACAATTAAAATAAATAAATAAAAGAAAATACTCGGACATGCTGCCTATTGTGATTGTATATAAACCTGTTCGATTTGGAGCTGATATTGATTGACTATATATTATATTTTAAATTCAATTCCCTTGCAGTAACGATATTTTCTTATTGAACATATATTGAGCCTTACCATATTAGCACTCATCATGTTAATACATATTGAAAAACTGATGTAATATATTTTAATTACATTATTCCTTTCAAATGTTACATGTTACAAATCGCTTAGTAAAGCTGATCATTAATATGTATACTTTGTCGGAGACAGGTACTTCAATGAAGACATAATTATAATGCAAGAGTATAAAAATTAATTTGTAATTTTTTTTTCATTATTTCATTTATTTTAACGTGAATTAACATTATTATAAATGGGATGAGAGCAGGGGATGTTCTAAGAATACTGAACGGTAATAAATTGAAGTAAACTCAATTTGGTCTTTCAGAAAGTCTTTCCCTAAAAATGGTCAAAGTCATTCTTATTGATATGATTTGTTCAAAATAGTCGTAGAGATTGTGTGGTATCAGAAGTGTTTCTCGGGATCCAAATTAGCTTCATTTTTTGGTAGTGCTTAGAAAGCAGTCTTCTGATTTTGCTGGGCTTATAATCACAATTATTATTGTTTGATATGATTTCAGGTCGTTTGTAATTGTTTTGTGGCAATCTATCTGCGCAAGTTATTTAAATAGAACAATTTGGTGATGACAGAGTTTGATTTGAGATGATTCTGCTCTCTAAAGTAAACATTGATGAACTGTTTAACAAACAAAACACCTTAAGATGATTCATCACTGCTGCTAAAATCCAGATCATGCCAGAGTAATGATGGCTCAGCAGCAGCTGCGTCTGCTGGCTGGGTTTGTGCCTTTGGCAGTTTTGGAGAAATGCTAAAAGCCGCCTTTGGGGACAGTGTACTGGCCTTATCCATTTTCGACTGATCTATGTTATTGTCTTCTTCTTTTTTTAGGGCCTTCTGCTCCGGTGGTGGAGAAATCATTTCTTGGCGCCAGTAGAAAACAGGCAATGCTTTCGACTTATTTTGCTCGTTTGTGTCTTGGTTGGTTGGTCTTGGAGAATCGCTGTAGTCCATCTCTGGTGGCGAGTATACTTCTGGCAAAGTATTGAACCCATCCACATTCTTGTTTATGCCGAGTCTTGTGGATTGCTGTTGGTCAATTTCTTCGTCCGACGAGTCATTTGACTTATTTGAATTTAGATTTGGTGAGTTGCCTTGTTGTGCGTCCAACGAATCCTCATCGTGCACATCGTTCTCCATCTGCTTTTTGGTATACTTTTCTCGCATTCGATCGTCATCGAGTCCCTGCGACAGCTTCTGCTTTAGCTTGTTGGCTGCATCATCGAATGCATCGATCAGGTTATTGGCTCGCTTTTCTGCCTCGCTGGAATACTCCTTCTGGCAATGCTCGACGCTGCTCTCAGCCATTTTCAGCTTGTAGAGCACATCGTTTATATCCTCCTTGCTCAGCTTAGTGTCCGATTCAGTCTGTTCGACGGACTCATTCCAATTGGCCGCATATTTGTTGCGGAACTTCTCAACAATATTGGTGAACTCCTTGAAGATGCTCGCGACTTCGTTGCGAAACTCCTCGACGCTTCTGTAGAGCTGGCCGTCCACTTTCTGGGACAGGGTCGCGCACTTAGAGTAGAAGTACTGGGACAAGCTCTTGTCATTGGACTTTGCCAGGGACGCGTACAAGTTGTTCAACTGCTCGCGGCACTGGCGCTGCACGGTTGCAATGGGGATCTCGTTGAGATGTTGTCTGCCCGACATCAGGGGATGCTTGGTGCTGGGCTTCTCCTCGCCCGCTGGCATTTTATCGAGCACCCGACAGAAGAAAATCTCCAGTTTCTGACAGTTGCGGTAGACATCATCGCCCGGATTATTGAACCGAAAACAGTTGTCAATCATCAAATTGACGTCGTGGATCACCTCACTGGCTGTGTGATAGTAATAGTTCTGGACTCGCTTAATGATCGTGCCCACGTCCATTGGGCTTCTGATGACGTCATAGTACTCGGGCACTCGCAGCGCCTCCGGGTCCACGGGCTCCATAAAGTCAGCGCTGAACTTCTTTGTGGCCAACTCATCCAGTAGATACTTCCGCAAATAGTGTATCTTGTTGGTGTAGACGCCCACATTCCCCGCTCTTGGCTGCACCTCGGGCTGCTTCGGAATGGGCTTCTTGAACTGCAGATTACTCAGTTTGTGTGTTATAAATGAATTATAAATTAATTAACAGCACAGCATTTACCATAGTTATACGATTTTCCCCTTTCTCGCAAACTTAAACGAAACTCACAACTCAAGCAGCAATTTTACACTGACTTTGGCTTTTCCGATGTATTTTAAAAAAGGCAAATAAATCGAATTTGCTTATCGTTTATCAACTTATTGAAATGTTTATTACTGCTTTCCGATACCTTATTGTATCGAGTTAATTAAAGTCGCTTATCGTTCAAACTGCCAATGCGTGAAACTTTAATTACTTCTACTTGTGCTCTTCATAATGATAATAATAATGATAAATTGATTTCAAATAATAAATATAAATAAAATGGTTTGTACTTAAATGCATACCGATTCAGTAATATTTTTAGTGAAGTCTGCTTTGCAGAAGCTATAGATTATATACTCGATATCTTACTTCTCTCATGTCATCTTTAGTTGTCATCAATTAACTACAATTTCTAATTGATGTTTCGTGTATATAAAAAAACAAGCTTTCCAAGTTGTGCCACGTCATTCTAGAATCGCTTGGAGTCTGAGTCTTAATTACTATGTACATATACAAATTGACAATGTGTTTATATACTATAGGTTGTCGAGGATTACAATGCAAATAGTCAAAGCAATCGTATAATGTGACTGCGTGTAAATTGTCGTGAGTGATTGAACTGTGTACGGAGTCGAAAATAAATGCTTAGATATAATTATATTCTTAACAAATGAAGATTAAGATTGAAACATTAAATTAAATAGATGTGATGTTATGTGATATAAATGATTTCTTTGTGAAATTTTTATTTTTCGATCTATAATTTTAGATGGCTAATATTTTGATTATACTTTAAATATAATTTAATGTTAAAATATTTAAAATGAATTTATGTTTATTTATTTTTGTGTGTCATATGTGCTGGTTTTCTCATGAGTTAAGGGATCTACCAGAAAACGAAATTGCCAAAGATTGAAATTGATATAAGGGCTACTTGTAAAATTGTCTAATAACAAACTTTACAGCTTAAATGAATGCCTGAAACTACATTTACAACAATCAGTGCGCCCAACTCGAGGCTGCTGGTACTTGTGTCGCTGTATAATTACATGACAGCAGCGATAGCAATAGCGATAACAAAAACAACAACAACAGCAGCAGTAGCAGCAGCAGCAGCAGAAGAAACAACAACAGCAGCAACAGCAACAGCCAGAGAAACAGCATTACAAATTACGATAATAATTTCCATTTCTAATTTCCTTACAACGCTAAAGGACTTTGCTGCTGCTGCTTTTACTGCCACCGCCTGCGCCGCCTCGTTTTCCATGCATCCGGTAACAACAGCAATAAGCAATAAACCCAGCAACAACAACGGCAAAAATAACAACAACAAGAACAGCAGCAGCGGCAACAACAGCAGCAACAACAGCAGCAACAGCAACAGCAACACCAACAACAGCAGCAACAGCTAAGGACGCGCCAGACTTTGGCATAATTCCAGTATTGCAGAAATCTAACAAAATGCAAATGCAAATGCAATCATTGATTTTTCAGCTTACATCTACATAGACATCGCGTCGTGTGTTTTAGTTGAGTGTGCAGGACATTGCCCCAATTCTGCCCCATTGTTATGAACTCAAAATAGACCGGTGACTGAACACCGGAACGATTATTCAACTGCTTTTGGCAACTTAAAACAAGTGTCGTGTCCGAAATTGATCTGTTGCCATTGAGCATTTCAATTGTTGCAAGGTTATTTATTCGGCTAAGAGATATATTAACGGAATAATATTTAATATTTATGTTAGCACAGTTTCATTGTTTTCATTATTATAATACAATTAATTATTTTAAATAAGTCTTAGCTGGCGACGATATTCGAAACATAATGGAGTATATAAAAAAAGCATTTGACCTGGAAGCAGCAAAAAACATATTTTAATTATAAAAAGGGTCAGCAAACAATAGGCTATATTAATTAATTTATTTATAATATATATTCAAATTTTAAAATTAGAAATACGGACTACATTGCTGTGGGAATTGTAATGATGTATATTAGTAATTTTTACATTATTTATTTGATGTATTTTTTCCTGATTTCTGTGAATTTTACAAAATTGTAAAACCCTATTCCGATAGGCAGCATATTAGTAAATTAAAAATATTCTTTGAGTAGGAATTAACTCTTTTGCAAGATCTGTTTGTCAACTCGGACAAGAAAGTACAAATCGAGTTGCCGAAAATGCAATCATCTGCAATTTATATTAAAATGCAATTAACTTCCGTTGCTCTGTTTAAGCAGTTACAAGAAATATTAAATTAAAATCTATGGAATTTTTACTTTGCATATATCTTTAAACATCTCCTCATAAATTTCCTCGAATTCACTGAATATTCTTGTCCATTTTTTAAATATTTGTTTTAAGTTATTTCTCGCTTAAAATAAATAATAATAAATCACATCTTATTAAGCATTTTGGGCTTATATTTAACAAATTGAGTGACGGTTAGTCTTAGGTTTCTACAAAATTTTCGATTAGAGTCTAAGTTTTGTATTCATAACTCATAACTCATAAGATAACTCTTGTTTTTAAAGAAGCCTTTAATTATGCTGGTTGTGCCGAACTGAGAAGTATTTTTCATAAAAATAATTAGTGTAAGAAAATGTCAAATGGTTTCTTCTGACATTAAAGTAGTGTGCAAAGTAGTTTTTATTTATTTAAAACAAATTTCGTTAGCGTAATAATAGTTGCGTGCTTCCTTAGCTGTTCAACTGCCAGAAAATGCTGCCAGCAATCTGGTCTTGACGAGAAAGATATGCCTCATAGTTAGCCCGGTATCGGAAACATATGTGCATATATACATAAATATATATATATATATATATAAGCATATATAGTAGTTTAAATCTCCAAGTAACAAATAAGTTAAAGCAAGCAAAAAGGTGAGTTGCATTTTGATGCTTGAATTTAGATTTCGTTTCATGCTTGTTGGTTTTGTTTGATCTCCGCGTTCGCTTGACAATTTTTGACGCTTTGATTTCGCAGTTACAAGGTGCTGGGGCAGGGGTAGGGGGAGGGATACGAATGTGTGTGTTTGTTTGTGTGTGTGGTTATGTTGTGTTGTGCTGTGTGTGTTTCTCAATCGCAACTCAAGTTGGTTCTTGTGAGCAAAAGATAACCGCAGGGCTTTCCTCGCTGACTGGTAACAAAATTTCTTTTTATGCTGCCTCTTGAGGCTGCACATCATTTTGCCACGCCCACGTGCTACACACGGCTACATTGCTACTACTACTATTGCTGTGGCTGCTGCTGCTGCTGTTGTTGTTGTTATTTTTGTAATTTGATAATGCATTTGATTAAGGAAATGAAATTTTTATTAAGGCTGTTTGCTTATTCGCTCAATGGCAGCCCGCGTCGCTTTTATGTTTACCCTGTGTGCAAGTGTGTGTGTGTGTTAGTGTGTAAATGTGCCTATGTGTGTGAGAGCGTGTGCGTGTGTATTGCCATTTTGTTGCTTGTTTCGTTTTGTTTACCATATTCCACACTCTTCTCTCCTTTGCTCTGCCCCCTCCTCCACAACCAGTTCAAGCTTTGCATTTTTGTTTTCGCATAATTTCTTTGAGTGCGGTTGGATCTCGGCGATTTTACGATGCGAGCGAGCGAGCGAGCTATCGCCAAAGGTGGGTAAGCCTCGATTCCCTTTTGAATGGCTACCCGCAACGGTTAAGGCAACAGCAGCAGCAACAGCAGTAACAGCTTCGTCAGCAGCAGCAGCAGAACATTTTGTATTGTGTGTGTGTAACAGTTATTTGATTTTGCCCCTTCTACTATTATATTCTTTCCCTACTGTTTTTCTATATGTTACACTCAGAAATCAAATCGTCCTAAAATTAAATAGAACACCAAAAAAACTTGGAAACTTAGAAAGGCTTGTCCTTTTCTTTTCCATTATTAAGGAAAACATTTCTAAAAAGTAGAAATGCAATCGTAATTCAGAAACAAGTAATGAAATTCTCTGGCTCGGCTTTCTCACTTTAGAAAAATACACCCTGAAGTTTAGAAATGTTCTAGTGAGAAAGTGAGTAACTGCGGCGACAAAAGTATGGCGAGTAACTAAAATGTAGAGAGATTTTCTTCTGAGTGTACTAGAGTTACAGCAGCGAAAACAGCTGAGCGTTGCGCGGGATTTTTTGTTTATTTATATACCATTTTTTGCACTCTCCTTTTTTGCTGATCAAATTTGCATTAAGTAAATAAATAATTTAATGTTTCACAGCTAAAATATGCAAATTGAGACTTAACATGAAAAAACTTTATAAAGAAAATCGATTTATAAAGTGCAGTAACATAAAAACTGAATGCTAGGGGCATAAATAGTTTAATTCAAATCACATATGCGACATATTCCAGTGCAAATTGCATTTACATTCCTAATTTATGCATTGCCTATTTTCTACTCTCGTTTTGCTCATTGCTCATTTACCGTTGCCATTCATTTGCGCCTACGAATAACGGAGTTATTCCAGTCAACACCATGCAGAAGAAACCAATTTGCCAGAAGGCTAACAACAACATCAACATCAAAAACAAAACATGAAAAACCCTAACCCTTCGTGCACTAACTGAGTGCGCTCATCTCTAACTCCAACTCCAACTCCAAAAACAAACTTTTCCTATTGTTATTACATTTTTTTTCATTTTCATCTCCTTTTGTTTTTTTCTTTTTGTTTTTTTTTTTTGCTGAAGCGTTGCCGGTCATTGACTTTCTCTCAACTTTCTGCTTGACATTTAACGAGCAGAACAACAACAAGAAGCAAAACAGCAACAAAATCAACAACAACAAAAGTAGGGGTACAAAAATGTGTAATAACAGCAGCGAATGTAATTTTAACATGTTAAGTGTTAGAATGAAGCCTACTTGGAGACCTACTCTACATCGCAACCCGCCGCAACTCTCGCAATCCTCGCATAGCCCATGCAAGCCAATGTTGCTCAACATCAACTCATACCAAACCACAGCTTTCACTGCTCGCTGTTCTCGCTGTTATCGCGCTATTGTTCTTGCTGTTCGTGTTGCTGTTGCTTTTGTGCCTCAGCCTCAGACA